AAAAAAAAACAATACAGTCAACAAGTGCGGCAATTTGGTAGCATTTTTTTTTTCTAATTTTTTTTTTTAATACTGACTTTAGTATTTGCAGTAAATAATATAAGCAACATAAATATTGTTGCGCAGTGTTATTATAATATTAAGTGACATGTGAGAGAAAAAAAACAGCAATACACTGCGAGAAGAGGTAAACCAATTTTTGGTAATTGATATTTTAAAAAATTATGATCATACAGTGGTAAAAACGCAATTTTTAAGAGAATTTAATACTGTGTTTACACACACAATTATAAAACCTCAAAAAACGGCATTAATTGCTACACAATTATCAAGTTAATTGCCTTAGTGAAAACCTACTGTAACACCCCAGCGCTAATAAAGCGCACCGATCCCTTTAAGAGTATCCACAAGTTGCTCGGTATTAATCGGTAGTGATAAAATGACAAACGTCAGAAGAATGCTCCTTTTGAACGCTTTCTTGAGAAAATTATAAATTCACAAGACCCTAAAAACTGATTTTGTTGTATATAAAAACCAGGGTTCGTATTTGCTCACTCATGAGCAAGAGCCAATTCTTATGTGAGCCCAAAATTGGCTCAGGAGCGTGAGCCCAAAATTGGCTCATATTGAAGAGCTGCTCACCATCGTGAGCCTTCAAGTTGCTCATATTGAAGAGCTGCTCATGAGGTCTCACGAGTCGAGAGCTCACGAGCTTAACTGTTTAATAAAAAGCGATTTATTAGTTTATTTGCTTTATTTATTTTTATAAACGTTATATGTGAAAATATATAATTTGAAATTAATTTAGCTTATTATTATTTATATTAGAACAATATAATGAAATAATAATTTGAATTTGAAACACAAACAAACAATACAAATATATTTATTGTTTGTTTTAAGAACTTTGATTATTTCCATATTATAGTTAGTTCATGATTATTAATATTTTAAATCTTTTTTAATGACATGTTTTCACAATAAAAAAAAAAATAATAAAATCTTAAATTGGGCGCATGAGATCTCATGAGCCGCAGCTCATACTCTTGCTCACAAGCGTGAGCCCATTTATAACTTAATGGCGGCTCTTGCTCGTGAGCGTGAGCTCTGTAGTTGGGCTCGCTCGTGAGCGTGATCCATCGTATAAAAAGAGTTTTTTGCTGGCTCATGAGCCGTGATCCGAATGAGCCAAAATGATCCGCTCATGGGTACGCAAATACGAACTCTGATAAAAACATAAAATTAACGAAAAAATGTGGAAAAAAATTTAAATTCTGTGCAACAATAATAAGAATCAGCTGATGTGTACCGAATACCAAAAAAAAAAACCATCTTATCTGTTGGCTCATAATTCGTTAACTAGGTAACGTTATAGTTTAACAAGTTACCAAGCATGTCAGCATATCCCTATTGATAATTTGCTTTATTGTAGCGCATAACACGGAGCACTTGAAATGCGAACCAAATTAGCACTTTTGGTGGACAAGCCTTCTAATATGTGTGGTTCATGTATGTGTACGAGTTTACAGATCACTATAGCTTAATTATTTTAATAATGTTGGCAACACTTAAAATATCAATATTTTTATCGATATGTATAAATTTCTTCATTTATGTATGCTTTTAATTCGATATGTTTCAGTAGCTGACTATAATCTGACTATATGTAGGATAACTATATCTTACAGTAAATCTTTGTATATGCCGACTTTCAACCCAAATAAGTTAAATTATATATATATATATAGAACTTTTACTTTATAACTTTTTAACTAAAAATATAATACTCTGCATTTGTTTATAAAATTCTGCTGTAAATATTTCTCAACTGAAAATATCTACAAAAATAGGATTAAGTTGTTACAAGTTGATTTAAAGGCTATTCACATTGTTAATTCAATTTATACGGATTGAATTATTACTGTTGTAAACATATTTCTAGTTATCAGAACGATCTTCAAAAGTTAATTTCAGAAAAAGATTTTTGTTCGGTTTTAAAATACTGTGTCTTATTCCTTAATAACACATTGTTCTAATAAATTATATTTATATATGCATGTATATTATATATATGCATATTTCTTTATTTATATATTTTACTCAAACTGATCATTTATTAATTAAATAAGCCAAAAAAATACTTGTGAATCCTAGCTTAAACTAGCTGCCGATTCCAGAATTAACTTTTAAGGTGTGACTTAGAAATAGTAAACTGCTATTGAGACTACAAAATTTAAGGTAGCTGTACAAAGCTAGCTTACATCAATATTCACTTCACATATATGAGATCAAGTATAAACTGGAACAATAAAATGTTAGCAAGATTATATAACGCCAACAAACATAACAGTCTACGGGGCTCTATTCATACAGAATCCAGAATTTAGACTTTATCAAACAGTAATCGCCCCTGGATCTGTTGTTATTATCATAACTTAGTGGGACCTAGAGCATATAAAAACAACAAAACTAGCATGACAGGGATATTAAGGTTGAGAATGTCAGAGAAAAAAGTGCGGAAAGAGGTAAATCTACCGTACACTTTAAAAAAAGAACACATCATAATTTTTTTAAGAAGCTATAGAATGTTGTTATTTAACCTTTTAAATTTTTTATGTAGCATTAAAAAGAATAATATAATAATAAAGTATAATCTGTTAGATACAAATTTTAAGTAACAAATTTTAGTAATAAATATATTCTAAGAGGTTTAAAACTAGCTAGAGATGTGATTCCCATTTTTTAGTAACATTAAAAAATCTTTTACTACTCAAAACACTAATGTAATAAAAAAAGAACATTAATCTGTCTTCAAAAATATTAATATCAAGCTTACTAAGTCTTAATTTTACTAATGATTATAACGCTGAACAAGAAAAAATAAAAACATTAGGCAAGGTTTTGCGCTTTATAGAGTAACCTCATTATCATTCATCATTAAAATAAAAAGTATTAGTTTTATTAATAGTTATTGTTATATCTAATGCCGGATTATTTAGAGAAGCAAACTTTCTCAACATATGATGTGGTCTCGTCGAGTTCGTAGCCACTCGTCGAGTTCGACGACCAAGTGCTGTACAAAATCCCTAAAAGGGACAACACAAGAACAACATATAGTCTGCTTGTTCACATAGGTACAACAATAACTTCATATGGTGTAGTAGAAACACGTTGATCAAGATTGATCCTTTGGAGTTTGAAGTTGATGTGAATGTCTGAAATTTTAGAAATAGAGAGAGAGATAGAAAATTCGATCGGGTTAGGCTTCTGTTCGACGCTATTTATATCAGTTAATATTAAGAAAAAAAAATGTAATACACGATTAGTTTACATATGTTGAACCAAAGAATAAGCTTAATGTATGTCATTTGCATACTCTACACATTCTATAAGATCAACTGTTGTCGTATGCACTGTGAACACCAACAATTATTTAAAGTCACTTAAACTGTCTCTAACTGTAACCTCCTTGGTATCTGGAGGAGGTGACGTGGTGAAGAGGCTCAGTAATTGCGTAGAATCTTGGAGCGATGCCGGCGGTAACATGGTTAGGTCTAATGAGAAGTAATGAAACTAAGCGCAGTTCACAATGTAGCGTCGGTACTCATAATGAGCGTCTGTTCGCCAGGTTATGTGCGGTCTTTTTAAATGTGCCCTGTCACTGCGTGCAAAGCTTACATTGCGCTTGTAACACATTATCAGGGCTTTGCTCCCTTCATTAACTATCTTTTGGAAATAAAACATGAATCTAAACACGATGGAATTACAGTCTCCAAGTGGTACCCGTACATATACGGTGAACCCACCTGCTTCGACAGCACGCACAACGGACTTGAAGGTGCGAAACTCACGTTTAAACAGAATCTCTTCGTTAGGTACAGCTGTAACCATAGGGCCGGCCCATTGGAATGAAGATAAAATTATCTCTAAAGCATTCAAAAATGCCGGTTAATGTGTACATATATATATTTAAATAAATTATTCAATTATTTACACTCCCCATAACATTAAGAAGAAGTAGAGTTACAGAGCTATGTAATTGCTTTATTTGTATTGAATTTAAATTTTCTATGAAAGTATATTGTGTATTCTTAAAAAAAGTAAATAATTGAAACTAATTAAATGATTTCTATGGTCATTTGGTCTTATTAAGTATACAGTGAATGAAAATCGGGCACTACATGACTGCAAGTTAGGACGTTACGCATGTTTTGTTACACATGCAGTTTGGTTTTATTTACAAAAAACGGTCACTTATTTTTTGACCACCAATTACAACGGAACTTTCTTAAAAATTCTAATTTCACTTTTTACGTACTTTTTAATCATGTAATTCTTATTTGGTTCCGTTGCGTTTGTTAATGTTAATGTGAAAATTACAAAATCTAATGATAATTATGTTTAGAAAAGAAAAGTTCAAAAAAAAAAAAACACAATTTCAAAATTTAAGTGGAAAATTTACGACGCAAAATAAAATTTTTACACTTTAACAAAAGCAAACGAATATCTTAAATAATTTTTATTTGTATTGAGACAATAAATATTTTAACACATATTATAACTAATCCAAGCCAAGTAAATGACTATATACCTAATATTATTGTAATCCTTTATAGCAAACTTATAAATTGAATTAAACAAAAACGTATAAATCTCAAAGGCAAAGGCAAAGGCAAAGCAAAAACATAAAATTGTAAAATCACCACAAAATTAAATTAAATTTTTTACACACACTTACAACTATTATAAAAAATGCATAACATCTAAATTTTCTTACATATATACATAATACCCATTTCAAATTGTCACTTTAATTAATAAATTTCGAACTTGCTCTTTTTGATTTAAACTATATTTTTAACAAAAACAAAATAAAAAAAATAAGCAAAAATGCACTTTTACCACTTGACAGCACTGCTGTTTTTTTAAATACTGCAAAACGTCATTGTTTCACAAATACGAACTCATAATAGGAAATTTAATTTATTTTGCTTACTCACTCTAACATACGGCAAATATAAACGCACCCATATGATAACTTGCACAAAATAGTTTATAGCGCACTCATTTGCACTTGTGCATGTAATTATTAAAAATTTTCTCTTCCCCTTGAACACAATCAACGTTTTCGTTGATTTGATGACTGAACTGATGATGGTAGATAAAAAAAACCAAAATTTCTTCACAACTAATTATATGCTTAACTTTGAAAATAAAGCTTCACCTTTTTTTATTTCGCTTTTAAAACAAATTTCTGGTAATATTTTTTTTTGTTTTAAATATTTCTTACACTTTTTAAAATATACTCAATATTTACTTTTTTATTTATCCAAAAACAGTATATTTTGAAAAAAAATAAAGGAAATGTTCGCAAAAAACACAATTGTAAAATATTTCGTCCGCTGCTTCCACGACACTAACTCAGCGAACGACAACAATGAGCGAAGGCGAAGTACTGATTTATACTGAATCAAAACAATGTAAGCCGACGACTAATTGATATGGAATCATCTTAAAAGTTAAGTCACGAATTTGTACTCACAATGACAGAGCTGTTTTTTCTAACAACTTATAAAAATATTTTAAAAATTGGTTTTACATTAAATGTAAAACTATACGTTCAACAAGAAATTTTATTAATCAATTTTTTACTTACATTAATTGTGTATAATTGGCAACAACGCAGTTACTCTGCTTTTAACTTACACGAGTTAGAGTGAGAAAAATATATTTAAAAATTTAATATATGCACAGTACTGCCAGTCTATATATATAATATTAAAAAGATTATTCGACAAATTATAATACAATTCCATACATAATATAAAAAAAAAACAATTTTAAGAGCAATTTTAAAATAAATAAATTTGTATTCAATAATATAAACCAATACATATAAATATATCTCAATTTTAATACGATTTTTTTCATGATATATGCACAATGAAAAATAAAAAACACAATGAAAACAATAAAAAACTTAGAATTGAGAATTAAATTGATTTCATATTATTAAAATATACTATTTAATTAAAAAATGCTTTCGTCATTATGGATTTCATTGTTTCTTACATCCCATGGAACTTTTAACACTTTTCTCAAAGCAATGTTTTGCTAGATCTAAAGGTCATAAATTGTTAAACTCACCACTTTACAAAACATTTCACAAGTATAAAAAAGACTTAAAGTCAATTTTCTTTTTCATGAAGATTTTAATAAGCAGAATTTCATAAGTTAAAACTAAAAAACATATAAATTAGAATGTTACAAAATCTAATTCTATACATTTATCGAACTAATTGTGAAATAAGTTAAATACGATAGTATGAACACGTTGTATTTTATTTAAATCAAATTTTCTATCGCATTAGCGTTGCTCTCAACATTTTTCAACAGAAATCGAAAAGCAGAATCAACAATATTATTTAATAACTTTTATACCAATATGTAACACAATTACGTATAAATGTATAAACTGTATATTATGTATATGTTAAATAAGACTTAAGTAAATAATCTGATATATTTATATAATTGATTTAATAAAAAATTGCTCCATTCACTTTCGGCATTATTTTTATTTACATTAAAGTGCAACTGGGTAACAGAACAGCTGATTTACCAATGAAAATTTTCAAAATCATTGACACAAATATTTAAATTTAAGCAAATTTGAGTTTATGAGTACCTTTAGTAATATTGTACAATTCCAATTCACGAATATAATTATAGTTCTTAACCAGAAGTTTTTTGTAAACATTATTTGGCACAATATTTCATAATAAAAATACAAAAATATCCACGCTCATAATTTTTGTTTGTGTATGTACTTAAAGCAAATTACAAGTAAAAAGTATTTTGAATTTTACTACACCCGCTCCCAAAATCAAGAAAAGTAATATTGGATTCATACGAGAGTTTTGTTTGTTATTTTAGATGTCAAAAACTTTTATTTTGTATTTACAGCAACAAGTGACAGCTAAAATAACAAACATGACAGCTAAAATTAAATACAAAACTTTTGTGTGACTCCAGTATAAGAGATTTTGTGAGAACAAGTTGTCATTTCGTGCTGTACAAAATTTACTAAAATTTTACCAGCAAAATTTAGCCAAATAAAATTTGAGTAAAGTAGAAAAACAGCTGATTTGCATTATAAATATGAGTATGAGCATTAAAAAACGTTTTTATCGTTATGATGTAAAATTTATATGGTGTGTTATACATTAAGAACTTAAACCACGATGTTAGTTGGCTTGACTCGAACTAAATTTAAAGAATCAAGCAAAAGCTAACTAAACCAAATCAATTATGCTGAGATTTGCATTCTTAAGATAAGTGCGGTGGTGTTTCTCGTATATAAGTTGATTCCTATAGGAGGAACCATAAGCGCAACATTGTTCATAAAGAAAACAAAGAATACTGTGTGCAGTTTGACTACAGTGATCGTAGCTGAATCAACATAAACAGTAAGTTAGCTTCAATGCATTTCAAATAGTGTAAACAGGAAGCGTTACTTTGTGTGTAGGGCAAATTTCTAAAAGAAAACTGTGATATTGCGCTTTGTCTTTTATTTGTCTTGATACAAAGTAAGACGAAACATAATTTGGTAAATATGTGGAATAAGTCCACATAACAGGTGAAATACTTTCTAATTTAATTAAATCTGTTATAAGTTGGGATTACTTTAAGTTTATTAATAATACACAAAAGAATGTTTAATTTTTTTTTTAATATTGACCCACAAAAAAAAATTTATTTAAACAGTGATATTACGAAATATAATAGAAAATCAATGAATTATATGTATACAACGAAAATCTTAGTCATCATCAATCCAATTTAAGCTCTTATCTTCCACAATACTACAAGCTTTAGAGTAACTAGTAAGTGCTCTGATTCTTTAGCATATGTAAAATACGCTGTAAAATATTCCACACATACTGTTATATAAAATAAATAATATTTACATAAATAAAACAAATATAATCATTATTCTTCATACTATCAAATATGAATTAAATAAATCTATTGCTAATAATTTAGATAATAATAATTAATGATTAATTATTAAGATTTATATAAATACAAAATACATGTTTGAATATCCTTGTTTCTTTATTCTTGCTATATACACGTGTATTTATCTTATATGAAACACAAGATTTTTATTTGAAAGTATTTCTTTTTTAAAGAGGATATAAGAATCTATTCTGAGTTTTAGCTTTGCTTGACTTTTACTTAAAAAGTACGGGAACAGAACTAATATTTTGGTTCAAAACCACACATCACACTTTGGAATTTTCGCTTGCTTATACTTTATTTTACCATTTTACGAAAGATCTTAATCGGCGTCTCACCTGAAAACACCATATATTTACGAAACTGGGTCTGAAAATGCACTCTATTTACTGGCTTCTTTGCCAAAATTCAAAGCAATCATTAAACAATATATTACTTCCATATAAAGTTATTTTAAAACCAATTTGGACTTATGGTATCTCGATCTGGAGAACAGCTGTGAAATCTAATATAGCGATATTACAGAGATTTGAATAAAAAATTCTTCGTTTATGTGCTGCTACTCCATGGTATGTCACGAATAGTACTTTACAGCTTGATCTCTATGTCCCATCAGTGTTTGAAACAATACAAACGGTCAGCAGAAACTACCGAACAAGGCTATTAAATCACCCGAACTCACTAACACACGAACTCACTACTGTTATTAGATTTCAATCATTTACGTCGACTAAGAAAATTACCTACGTCGGATCTGCCAAATAGAACCCAAAATACGATTCACCAAACTCATTTTGTTGGAATTTAATCTTCAGCGGTGTTTATTTTATATCCATTTGTAATACTGAGTTTATAGATTGTATTTACAAATAATAAATAAAAAATATATTTATAGTAGGATGATATAGTTCATTGTACATAGATTTTTATAAAAAATTATATATTCACATTCTTGAGAGATATATAAGAAAGCACTATGTATTTTTATGAAACATTTGAAGAAATGTTAATGAATAATTTTGAGTTGTCATCGGTTATTTGCAATTGAAAACAGATTCCATATATTCGATATAAGTAAATATCATACGACACACATACACACACAGTAGTACGATATATATATTTAAGATCTTTCCTACCATCTATGTATGTATTTTTCAAAACGTCTTAAATAATATGTAAATTGTTATTGTTGTAAAAAAAAAATTGTTATAAATGACTACATTACTTAAGTCTTTTATTAAATAACGAAAAATCTGCCAGTGATATGAAAATAATTAGTTATATAATAATAATTGACAAATTTTATTGAGTGTGACATACATATATCCCAATTCGCCAAAAAATTTATGTGAACACAATACATTTCTTCTAAACTTATTCTTTGTTGACTCAGTAATCTGTCTATGTACCCATTGTGCTACGTTTACATTGAGATTAAAAGAACGAGATTAAGTTAATCCATATTTTTAATCTCCACCGTTTACACTATACATTGCAGATTATTTTTGACGTTTCTCTTGTGTTTTGTTTCGTGTCTTTGATAAATTTTTAGTAAATATGCCATTTAATTATTATTTTGTACAAAAAAATTATAATATAAATTTAATAAATAGTTTTATAATAAATTTTAATTACAATTATGTACAAAACTATTATTAAACAAATTTATATACTCATAAAATATACCCACTTCGGCATTTTCAATGTTTGTTTTGAATAGATTTTGAGATTTATTCTCCAATTCTTCTAAGATCGTACAAAAATTTACGATATGAAGCTATTTGCAGAGTTGCACAGTAAAATAATCACAATTTCTAAGGAGATTATCCATTAATCTCCACTAAATAAAGATTAACTTTTGTATGGAAAATCTGCGATCAAACAACGAGATTAGTACTTTAATGTTGATTATTGCTTTAATCTAATTTTAATAACACAATGTAAACGCCGTATTACGAGATCGTAACGGATCCCATGTAAATTACATATTCACCTTTCCTTAATTTGTATTGGAAATTCAGGCTAGAAAAATTCATATATGAAATCTGGAAAAAATAACGATTTATAAATAAATTAATTAAATAAAAATAGGGGTTCAACAACTGAGACCTTATCAAATTAATTTATCTGTAAATATAAACACAGTCTTGGGCTTAAAATCGGTATTAAATGTAGTTTGCACAAGGAAATAAGGATTTTTACATAAAAGATGGATTAATGAAAAAAATTAAAAAAATTTAATTTTTTTTAAAATTAAAAAAATGTTTAGAAGTTCTAACTTATTATTATCAACTTTTCGAGATAATGTGTGGTGAATATTTATGGTTAATTTCACCAATATTTTTCTGTAATGTTGAAGTAACCTATTTCCGCGTTTCTAGTTAAAGCAAAAAGAACACATTATTATTATTATTTTTTTTTTTTAAAGGAAAGGATGAGAGAAAATAAGTGTTATAAAAAAATATGTACTACAGGTTTATATTATTTGACATTTCTACTATGTGACATTTAGACATTTTAATGTAAATTTTTTACAACTGCAATTGTCCTGATACTAAAGTTTAAATTTTTGATATTAAGCAGGGAAGAATCCACCAATCTATGGGAAAAATTCATCAACTACGAAACCAAGCCCAACGGTAAACATTACATCAATAAGAAGGTTTACTCTACAACTAATATTATTAACGACAACTAGTAACTCTCAAAACTTGCCGGAAATATTTGATTGTGGTTTATGACTCCACGCCACCCGATACACTTTTAGTTATATTTTCCTTTGAGATCTAACTTTAACTACATATGTCCACAATACCTTGCACCCTATCTTGTGAAGGCACAGCTCATCTGCATCTTCAAATCCACCACAAGTACACCTGTCAAGATCCCAGCCGCAGAGTTTATTCATAATACATTTTTGTAGTTAATACTGAAATTTCACCCAATTCGTTGATAGAAATCTATCTCAATTAATAATAATCCTCATTTCTGGCTTATATGAGTGTAGTGTCTAAATATCAAGCCTCTGTATGTTTCTCAACATGCCGGTTATGCCAATGGGATTCATATAGTGCAGCTGTTCAGTTAAAGTTGCACGTTACGTTTTTTTATTAAAATGGTCGACTTTCTAATCCTTCCACATAAAAGTAGATGTAAATGGGCTTTATGTTTATTTATTTATTAATAATGATCGTTTAGTTTATAAAACTAATAATAGCATGTATAGATATAGCTCTGGCTGCTGAGACCTTCAGCTGAGCTATGTTTATATATCTGTACCATTATTTACCGTTGGTTTTTTACTGCTATTTGTATGTTAATTACCAGCAAAAGGACGGACGGACGGTTAAACCATATATAAATATAACTACGTCATTAAGGTGGCATTGATCTTTGATGGATTACAATTTTTCTCCCCTCTCCCCCTTCTTGAAATTGCAATTGCAATGATTTTTATATAAAAGATTCTTTTATAAGTAGACCAATCCAAAAACATAGTTGTAATTAAATTTTGCAATTCGATATCACTTTGACAATTTTGTCTGTAAAAATAATATTCATAGCCATTCAAGTTTTGGAATATATTTCATTTAGATATGTTATTGTTAGCTTTTTTCTTTTAAAATAGATTATTACAAAATTTTAAGTCAATTTTTCATGCAATTGTTTTAGGAAAATCTCAAGGATGTGTGATAAAAAGGCAAATGAGAGGCCTGCTGCTGGCCTCGTGAAGAGAGAAGAATCGTACATGAACGAAATTATGGAATTGTATGATGTTATAGAATCAGCGGAGTATGCTAAAAGTGCGCTTATACAACCAAAAATAGTTTACCCTTCAGCTGCCACTATGTGTTCTCCTAATGACAACCTAACTGAACATTTTTCGACAGAAACAAGGAAGGGACGTTTCTTAAAATTTCGTGAAAGATTTCTTGAAGAATTGTATTCTAAGAAAGGTCAAATTGGATGCATAAAAGCTACCAAAGCAAAACCAGATAGTTTCAATAACTATAGTCATACTTATGGTAGGAAATATAGCGTACATCCTTCAGGATCGCACTCGATTTTAGATAACAAAACAAGAAAGGAAATAATTCGTGATAGCAAAATATCTCATCCAAAATATCTTAAAAGTCATAAGCACTATTTACCAGCAGAAAAAATTAAGAGAGGGTAAGTCTATTTATAATAGTTCTTGATCTTTAAATAATTATTACGCCCTTTTCTAGCTATATAAAACCATTCGACCTTAATAATAGTTTTGGAATGACCTCCGATTACTTGGATATGACTAAGGTGCAAAGAATCTTAGATACTGAAGATAAGGTAACTATTATCACCAAGCGACAGAAAGATGAACTAACAAAAAAATTTGGAGTTGCTGGTATCAGACAAAATAAGTAAGTATATATGCGTACAATGAGTAGCTGAAATTTACGGGGTTTTTTTGGTAAGAAAATGGTGATGGTTCTATTCAATACCTGAACATAAAATTAATGCGTCTATGACATTAGCAAAATAGTTGACAGGAGGTTAAGTACTAGCTTCCCTGCAGTCATTATAAGTTAACATAGCCGAAGATTAGTCTACGTTGATTTTCAAAGAGTTAGCCGCGCTAATCTCTTTTTCAATATTATCTGTTAAGAAACATATACTCTCGCACATTAAATTTTATTGTTTTGGAATGGTAATCAAGGGAAAGGCAGATATAAGGCTTATCTGCCTTCTATAACAGTTATAGAAGGCGTACTATTTAGATAACAGCATGTTATCGTAGTAACTTTAAGTAACTCTGTGTATACACAAGTGTGTTCTACCAGCAAATTTTCGAGTAAATAAGAGCATCTGAGAGAGCGTAACTGATGTACTCACCAGACTATATAAAACTGCTCCATGAAAATTTGTGAAAAGAGCATAATTTGGCATTTTATTTTTGTTACGCTTTCAGTTTTTACTTTACTTGTGTTTTACTTCAGTTTTACTATAAGTAGTTCGTGGAACAAATTATAAATAAATTATCGTAAACAAATTATGTTTGATTGAATTACTATTTCAATATAATAGGATATATAAATAATAAATTATAGTTTTTGTTTAAATGACCAATTAGCCCGCTCAAAATTTATTAGACTAGAGTTATATCTAAACTAAAATTGGTGACAAGGAGGAAAGAAAGATGTTCTTGTTATATAGTAATCATTGACTTTTGTCGTTTTCGATCGGTAGATCTAGTGTAACTTATTCAAATTTATATGACTTGAGATCAATTTATAACACTCTATATATTATAACAGAGTAGCAAGATTACCCTGAAATTAACAACAGTTTTATATGATATGATAAGTAAACTGATTTGCAATATCTATTTATGAAAATAGATATGTCTTTTGCCCACTGACAAAAGTATAAAAATGTATTATATATCACATATAAATATAAATTCTTTTAATTCCTAGGAGTAGCATATGGCCGCAGAAATGTTAGATTATTGTAAAAACGTTAGATTGGGCAACAGAACGTGACAACTTGAGAGTAAATTTAGATTAAATATAGATTTACCAATCGAAAACACCGTAAAAATAAATTCCATGATTGCAGAGCAGGATTTCACGAGAGACGTACACGATTTTGTTCCTCGTATTATTAAGCAGATCAATGGGAAATTGAGGTAGGTGAACAAATTAGTATAGTTTAGCAAATAATAAGCACATTCCGCTTTCTAAATTAGAGAAGTCTTTAGTGTAACCAATAAGGATAAATACTTCATTCTGAGTTGTAATGGATATAACATAACTAAAGTATAGAAATAAGTAAAATCTGTATCAATTTGTTTGTGAACCTTGCTATCACATGCAAATGGAGCTGCAGATCAATTTAACTCCGATTTGTATCCGCTGTAGAGCAATAAATGGACAACATTTGTTATATGTAATTACCTTTTGAAATAGATGTTATCGTTTGTATTAAATAAATTCTTACAATGTTGCTAAATCCCGACTTTAGTTAGACCAGACCAGTTCTTGTTGCTTCTTTTTGAAGAGTACTTCGAGTAAGTACTACGTAGTTTACGTCACAAATGACGTTCCCCTTTGTAATAGTTTTTTAAGATATGAAGATGTAATACAATGGATTGAATGGAGAAGAAGGAGTCTATTAATTTTGATAAGCTATTTGTGTATTGTATATGGGAAAAGATTGTATATGGGCAACTTATTGTGTATATTGGCAAAAATTTTTTAACCTTTCCCATATAGATAATGGAAATTTTTATACCTACAAAAATGTATACCATATAAATAACTGAAATGCAATATGTTATACATATATAATTGTATCTTGAATAAATTAACATAGTATTACTATCCCATATATATTAATGCTAATTTCTTTGTAATTCTCAAACAGAATAGAAACCGGTGATCATCAAAAAGTTTTTGGCCTGCAACCAATAGTAAAAGCGGCTGATGTCAAAACTGTATTTGATCATAAAAGTCCAGAACAGAGAAACAAAAAACTAAGTGATGCAGTACAATATGCACATCATATAAGACTGTTTCTAGCTAGGAAGTACCACATTGATATATCGGATTTCAAAGCAGCACTTATTAAAAGTGATATAGAGCAAACGGGTTATATCACATTAAAGAAATTACAAGATATATCAACTAGGGAAAAACTGTGCATTAATATTGATAGACTTATGTTGGCTCTGGAACATTTCGATATATTAAAAATGATTAATAATGTTCAATGTGTTAATATTTATGGTTTTTTTAATTTTGTTACCGGCAAAATCGCAATACCCTTTGGTAAACCAATTGAAAAATTGGAAACAGATGAATATTTGATAGACAGTGTATATAGGGAAATGTGTAAGGATCTAAGTAAAAAAACTTTAAGCAGCACTGATGAGAAACACAATGTAAGCCCTTATAAGAATACAGTACAACACTTAATTCACGATGGCTTATGTGCGCGTCACGGATTGACTCCAGATGACTTTGTAAAACCTAGATCGAAGGCAGAGATACGGGAGATTTTCTCAACAACCATAAATACCAACTTTGATAGATTATGGGAGAAAACATTAATAAAATACAAGTCAAAGAATAATATGTTATCTGTAGGAGAGGTCTTTGAAATGATGAAGCAAATAATACAAAAGAAAGTAACATAAAACTGATATATGAAGGATATACGGGACTATATATATATGTGTGTTTCTTGTTGGTAAATAAAAAAATTACAACTGTTGAAAATATTAATTTTATAATATTAACAACATCAGTGATATATTGAAATATTTTTTATAGACAGGAAAAGAAATCATGAAATCAAAAATGAAAAAGCCACTATAGATATATGAATCAATTGCTGGATATATAAATATTTACAAATCAAGTGTACTTATATGGGTCAAAATATGCAGAATTAAAATTTTTATTTATATACATATATATATATATATATCTATATATAAATCAATAAATTAATGTATTACCAACAAAGCTATATATAGCTGGTAAACTACAGCAATATTTTTTTTATTTATTATTGCATTTATATTAAATATATATATATAATATATATATATATATTTTACCATAAAAACAAATTTAAAAAAGTAATTAAATAATAATATATAATAAATACATATGTATAATCGATTTATTCAGTATATGTAAATATTTAATTTATTCATGTTATTAATACAACTAAGTTATTATTCGATTTTTTTTAATTGTTGTTTATCATCTATTAATTTAAATTATTACAATTTTTTTGGGCTTAAGACCAAAGTTTTAATTAAAAAACATAATTTTTTTATTAAGTTTTGTTTTTAATTTTATCACTACCATCGGTAGTTGTTACTAAAAAAAAACAAACGTAGTAATATTTAATTTATACATGTGAATACATTACAATCGGGAAACCCAAGTACCCTAGCTATAGTTAGTTATATTCTACTTATATCTAAACTTTTTTCAATACAAGAATATATAATTAAAACAGTGAAATAAAAATTGTTTAATATTTATTTTCACCAAGGCTATATATAAACACCCGGAAAGGTTTATAAATTATACGAAAGGTGATTTAAAACAGTCTTCACAGCTTAAGAATGTTTTCCCAAATTAAATCAATTATAAAAGTAATATATTATTATTATAGCGCCCGATTGTACACAGTTTATAACATTGTACATAAGTTTATAAACCTTATAAGATCTAAATCTATTCAATGAAAATCGTACTGGAGGTTTTAGACTCGTTTACTGACAATGACACGACAAGCAAATAATGTACATATCTTTCATTCTGCATTTCACACAATCTTAAGGTGTTAGCTTCTTTTCAACGTATTTTTGAGAGATGGCATTAATAGGAGCATACCCAGTTAAGAAATCAGTGATTAATTTGAGTTGAAATGTATAAACTGATTAATATTTTTGTTGCGGACTCGAATAAACTGTTTGAATTAGCCTAAGACTTCACACACGGATTATATTCGATATTTCTAAGTGCTTAAGTGCAGTGAATATTCCGTCAGATGAGATAGAAATACATTCGAATCGTTTTTAATTAGCAGAGAACTTTATTTTGATTCAGATATCGCGTTGGTTAATTTTAATGGTGGTAGAGTTTCCTTTTCTGTCCTAACAGATCCTAGACAAAATTTTGATACCATACACATGGTCATGAAAATCTAAATTGCAAAACCAGTAAATACGGTTGATAGAAATGGGATTATTTTTGAACCTTTATATTCCATAGTCAAAGGCAATGGCAAAGAAAGTTTTTAGTTATTTTTTTTTTTTTTTCATTCTGCATTTTTGGTTAAAAAGTATATTCAAATACTACTGGCCATCGTCATGTTCTTGTTTTTGTTGTTGTTGCAACCCGCCGGGACCTGCTTGTGGAGTCCCTTTGGGACATAGACCCGACCGTTCTTGGAACCTTCGTCCTGTTAGCACTGTTTTTAGCTTTGACAGGGAAAGTTAAAAATATATAGTAATTTTTTAACATAGTTATGGCAAATAAATATATTTCTAAAACTTATTCAATGTTACTATAATAAACAGATTCTAAAAGATATTGGTATATATCTCGAGAATAATACGATAGTTTATACAGATCCATTCAACGTTTAAATATAAAAACATTTTCTTTGATATTTCAATTTTTTTATATACTTTTTTTTTGCTTTTCTTCAAAGTATTAAAATTTACATTACTTTTTGATGTTTTAATTTTTTTTGTCTATATTACTAATAATAAGGTTTAATTTACACAAAAAATATTTAAACAAAAAACATTGATAAGATTTTTTTAATGTATAGCCAACATTACAATAAAACGCATTTTTTTTTTTGGTTAAAACAAAACTTGGCACTAACTTTACTCATCAATAAATTTAATAATGTTTTTGTTGTTCAATACAAAAAAGTTTTTAAAGCTTTAAATAAATTAAAAAAATTTACAAAAAATACTTGTGTACCCATACTTCATAGTGGGTACAATATGCTTTAAATCGCCATGAGTTTTATTCCTCAAATAATAAAAATTAAATTTTTCGAAAAATAATCAAGTCTTTTTCTCAACAAGTTTTTCTTTTAGACTTACGAGAACGATGCTTATATTTTGCAGAAGATTTTACAGGTTCATTTTTGGATTGTTTATAACTTTTCTTCTTTTTATTTCGATCAGTACTGTCACTACTTAAGCTTTCACTATCAGAATCTTCACTATCATCACTGCTACTACTACTACTACTACTACTATAGCGTTTGGATTTCTGCTTCTTAGAGTGTTTCTTCTTCTTCTTAGTTTTCTTACTCTTCTTTTTAGAATGTTTTTTAGATTTTTTGCTTTTATTATGACTGGAATCAGGACTATCAGAACTGCTACTATCCGACGAAGAACTGCTGGATGATTTAGAAGATGACGCGGAACAGCTTGCTTCATTCAATGATTCAAGTTTTTCAGATTTTATTTGTAGGATTTCTGCATTAATTCCCGGTACAGATCGTGGACCGCTTTTTAAAAAGTCACGAAGTTCATCAGTTAAACCACCCAACCCAATTGATGTAAAAAAATTAATTGAAAAACGTGTATTACGTGGATTGTCTTTTGGGAAGATACCAGCAACGCTGTCCTTAAGTTCCTCCTGTTTTAATTTAGCGTAAAGTTTGCTTAAACCCATATATTCGGCTAACTCTTGAAATAATATCTTTATAAAAATACGATTCGATGAAGTTGTATCATCCTCGTTAAGTTTAATACACTCTAGTATATCCCAGCTAATGGCATCGGTATAAAGTAAATGAGCAAAAAATTTGCTAACATTACGTAAACGATTTGTGTCCAGCCGATGTGTGGTTTCAAATGTGTCTTTAAAAATTTCTTCAAACGGTATTACGTAGGCCTTATTTATAGAGCAGAAACGTTGCGACAACAATCCAAAAAATTTCTCATATGTACGCTGTTCCGCACAACAATCAAGAAACATGTGGCATAGTTCACCTTCTTGTCCAGGTTTTAACTGCAGTTTTATAAGTTTGTGCGCACATTCTTCATAATCCAAACTTGAGTTTATTGTAAGATAAATGGTACGTCGAAGTGCAATTAAATTTGTCTCAGTATTATCAATAATCTCAACTTTATTTTGTTTACCATCTTCACCGTCGTCATCATCTTCATCGCTATTATCACCGTCTGAATCACCATCTGAAGAATCTGAATTGGCACTGTCAGTTTCACTTCCCAATATCTCATGACTCAATTCTTTGTACTTATTCTCATTGGTCTCATATTCATCATCAAATTTAAAGGCATCTAAAAATATAAAAAGAAAATATTTTATTATTTTATTTTATCATATTTTATGAATATTTATCTCAAAAACTGTTGTACTTACTTAATAATTCTTCTGTTGCATATTTTTCTGGTGGATCTAAACTCAACAGGTGTGTAAATTGATCTTCTTCTTCTACTAATTCCAGCTCCTCAACTATAGATGGATGATCCTTGAAGCCATCCTTACGAACTTGGAAAATGACTTCAATCATATATTGAACGCGTTTATCCAATTTACCTTCATGCAAAATATTCTTCAGCATTTCAAATATAGCGCTCACACCTTTGCTTGAAACTTCGGTCAATTTCATGCCACATTCTTTAAGAAAAGCAATCGCAACTTCAACAGAATCATCTGTAGGCGATTCTATAAGCAGTGAAAGTATTTCCAAAGCAATGATTTCATGTGCAACACCTTGATTAATAAGATGAGCAATAAATCGACATGATGACATACAAATGCGTTTATCGTTACGGCAATAAGCGCTTTTAAATTGAATAATCAAACGCTTCAATAACAGTTCACCAATATTGGGAAATTTGGAGTTTATGATCGCCACTAATGCAGCATACACATGTGTAAACGTTGGCGATGCAGCTTGTGCTTGAATTATGGAACGGCAGATTAAACCACGTCCGCGTACTATATTCTCACGTAATAACTCGCGTGTTATGATGGCAATGTTATCTACATTAACTTTATTGATGTAACCATGTATAGATTTCTTAAGTGCCTCCCAAGCAATACGTTGATAGGCTGCAGAGGATTTATCAGTGATTTTATCTTGCATCATACGTAATTTAGCTGGAGGTATGTAAGCACCACCTGTACGTGACGTTAGTAGCTTAACGGTATTACGTTCCCTATCCGTGATTCTAGCCTTAGGATCAGTAACAGTAGCATTATCATCTTCTTCGTTAGCTGACTTCTCATTACTACTAACTACTGGTTGTTTTGTATTTTCATCCTTACGTACAGTTTCATTTGTATCTTTTTCTTTTGATTTATCTGATTCATTTCTTCGTCTTTTTTTACTTTCTGTTTCATATTTTTCTTTATCAGCATGTCGCTTTTTACGTTCTTCCCGACGTCTCTGAAGTTCTTCATCTTCACGGCGACGACGCGCTGCTCTATCTTCTTCTCGATGCTTAACTAAAAAAAAAGATTTTTTAAGAATTTTAAAAATCATTTGAAAAACTTTCATTATATTATAAACTATTAATTATTTAAAAAATGAAGGTTATATTATGGTTAAGGTTATATTATGAAGGTTATATTAGAAAAATACGGTGACACATACGATTTGAAAGCTAATGATATATCTGCATATCATGAATTGAGAACATTTTTGGACATTTAATAACGTTTAAGAATTTATTTGGAGGAAGCTTATTCAAAGAACACAACCTCTAGTATTTCAATACAAAGCTGTGAATTAGTGAAATTGTTGTTAATATAAAATCTTATCTAAAATTTCTTAAAGCAGATGCATGAATTATTTAAATATACATAGGTCAGATGAGAAGCAAAAAAGGTTGGTAATATATATGGAAGATATGACTATATGGAAAACAGAAAGTAATTCGAATAGAGCTGATGAAAACAGAAACGAGAAACATGTTATTGTTCTAGTAGCGCTCAGGTTTAAACCCCGGAATCACTCTCCATTTCAGTTGACCAAATATCGCCAACTCTTTGTTTGTATTGAAATTTGTTCATGGGCCATTCCGTTTTATTTTTTTAGTTTTGTTGTAAGAACTGAATCTAACTCCGTTCCTGGAAACAGTTATTTGCAAGTAGATAGATTTGATGTTAGTTATAAAACTCCGGCGATTTGTTTTTTGAGCAAACATTCAAACAGAACTCAGCAGCCTATTTTAGTGAAAAGCAAATTCAGCAATTTTAAGACGAATTATAATCACAGCGGCAATTTTCTTGAAAATATAACTACATCATGTAAATAGTTTATGAGTAAATAATTACAAAATATTATGATTTTTTTAAACAAACTCTTGAATTTGATCAAACAAAAACAAATTTCACAAACTCCGTGGGCACAGAAGCAATTTACACAATAAAAAAGAGATATTACTTAAATGCGAAGTTTTCTTACATATTTTCATATCTGCACCTGTAAAATTAAAAATAATTAATATATTCAAGTTTGATATATTCTTTATATGCGAAAAATGAAAAAACAAAAATTTGCTTCTCAGTCAACACGTTGTTGACTTGAATATTTCCACTTGTGCGAAATAAGTAGTATTGTCCGATTATGCACTTAAAAAAACGTTATGGAATAAAAATGCACTAACAAATTTTTCTTCTTCAATTACTTCAACGAATAAAAATTTTAACTTCAAAATGTAAATCAAAATGTCAAATTTAAATTTAACAAAAATTAAATTAAAATGTTATAAAACAAACATAAATTTATATTAGCGCGGCAAAAATAATTTTGCAGTGTACATAATTTGTATTGACAGCAGCTGTGAGTAAAGGGTCTACTCAGAAATTGGAAAATAGAATAAAATTTTTATACATGAAGTGAACTAAAGATTACTTCCAGAAAAATGAAACAAAAGTTAATCCCAACAAATAATTTGTTTAATTTTCAATATATATTTTCACTTTTATTTGACACTTTCTAAACAATTATTTTGTTTTTGTTTATTCGCACAATTTTTTTTACTGTTTTTATTATGACTAATTAATTACTTTTTTTTCTAAAGTATATAAAGTATTTTAATTAATTAAATAAATGAGAGATAAATTTACAAACATACACATTTGGTTTTATTTAATCCACTGCTTCCACGAAACGAACTTAACGAATAATAAGGTTGAAAGAATGCGAACCACAGCACCGGTCACTTGACAGATAATTGTGTTAAAATTATATACGTATATTCACTATCACATAACAACATCGAATGATTATTTTTATATGCTAAATATATAAAATATTTTACTTCATAATATGCGTACTTGGTTTATTTTAAATATTTATAATAAATAAATAATGTTATAAATTGTGTTTGAGCCAATTCTAATGAATGATTGGCAGCAAAAAAATTAGTTCTCACAAGTCATATGTGTTGAAGTGAGATAAACATATGCCAATACGCACAGTTGCCACTTGAAAATTTTTGTATTTACCAACATTGAATTAAAAAGGCACAATTTTTGTAAAAAAAAAGGTCTAATTTCTTTTTATTGTCTTTTAAAAAGTCTTTTCATCTATAACAATTTTATTATTTAAATAATCCGACTGACTTTTGCTGGCCATACATTGTATAAATATATTTTTTATGTAATAATTCTTTACATAAGTGGCGAACTCGCCACACATTGCAGCGCCCTCTATGTGTGAATGCACACGCACTCGCGCCATCTGTGGGCAAAAGGACTTTTTACTCAGTAAGCAGCAGCTTACTCAGTGGCTGGCGACTGGCTTCCTTCTTCCTTTCTTTGTGCGTTTTATAACTCAACTCCTTTTTATCGTCTTGTTTTGTACATTGTAAATATTTGTTATTCTTATTGAAAATAAAGTGTGTGGTAAAAACCCACACATACCATTCCGATCAAAATTTTCTTTTACCTCTTGTAGCCGCAATATATTTACTAAATCAACACATTAAATTATATTAGTTTAAGAGTGCACATCTATAAATAAATTTAAATAGATAATACAATATAATGTACAATAAAGTCCGCGCTTTATAAAAGTACCATTTTCTAAAAACATGTACCACATTACCACACGAAAAAATAGTACCAATATTGGTACTAAAATCCTACATGTGATATCCGTGCTAATACATATTACTTCATATATTACTTAGGTATGTAAAATAATTTATTATTCATTCAACATTAAGCCTTTTCTTTTGTAAGCATATCGCAAAAGAACAGCATAAAATAAACACAAGTGTTGTGGCAACTCTGGAAAAACAAAATTCTGTTAGGCTTATACATTCAAAACACGCAATAAAAATTAAAGTTAAAGTTTCGAAAATGAATAATAATTCTTAGCAATTATGGGTGAGTGTATTTCAATTTTTATGTGATTTGTATGTTCAGGCTTATTCAAGAATTGAATATCTTGTCAAAAATTGTTTTAAAATATTTTAGTGATTCGTTGGTATTCTAGTATATTCGTTGATTTTCAAAACTTGTTAAAAAGTCGAAGAGCTTACCGATCACAACCAAGATGATAGTACTTACCATTAAGACAACTACTGATGAGTGTAAACTAAAGTAGTATGGTGCTTTAGTATTATAATAGTCTATTTTATGAAAATTGATGGTATTATTTGTCAAGGGTACCTTGTGTAGCAAGAGAAGTGCACAAGGCAAGCTTCTTCGCTGCTATACTCTTCCCAAGCTGAAAAGTAATGCTATATACAGCATTTTTGGTTAGACTGCCCTTTCGGTAAGCAAATTAATAAAGATATAGAGGATTTTTCTTTAATTAACAGATCTTGTAATTCAGATCTAGTTTAGCAGATGTAGCTTGAATCTAATACTCTTCTCTTCTCTTCATGCCGTGTGGTGGGTATTCGAAACACAGAACGAAACAAGTCGTTAGATTTACCTTACTGTTTATATCCTGGGCAATAGGCATAAGCAATTATGCCTGTATTTCCATTTTTGGGAGTTTCAGCCAAATTTTACAATGTTTTTAAAATCAAAATCACTACCTATGGAAGTAAGTGCAGATGACAGTTAATTGGTTCGTATTCCTTAAATAGAAAGCAACTTACCTTTCTTTCGCATCTAAAGATGTAAAGGAATTGGTTTTTTAACATTAAGCTACGTCAAATAATATCTGCTTGTAAAATCAGTGGTTGCTATTCTTAGGATTAATCAGATATTCTTTTTTCTTTGGCGAGATTTGGTCAAAAAGCGCTCATCTAGCACGGTTGCAAGATTTTAAACCCCATGGTAGATCTTAACCGCTTTTGATAGAACTTGTTTTGTTCGAATAAAAATTAAGATAGCCCCTGTCTATTAGGGGTCTATTAGAGGGTTATTAGGGGGCGCCAGTTTATTTAGCTGGCTGTTTAACAGAGATAACTGATCGTCCCTTTAGATTGCTTTGTACTGGGCTTCAGATGTACAGAACTAAGTTTTTAAAATTCTGTGAAATAATATATACCTTTACGAAGCTTCCATTGGTATTTGAAATATTAGGGATATGTGCCTTATAGCATCTGTTAATGTAGAATATATATACTCACCTATTCAAAATCACATAAGAGTTATATATTGTGATTTTTTACTACTAATCCTGCGTTATATACCAGCAATGGGATGGACTGACGGTTTTGGATAAAGTCCTCACAAAAATCACCATTATTTCATAGCACTTATGGTCTGTCTGTATTATAACATACATACTAAAGTTAAATTTTAGTCAATATAAAGTTTTTCACATCCTGCTTTTAGTGATAATTATATATGACTTAATTGACTATAAGTCAAAGTTATGTTGTTCTAAATGAATACTTGTAGTAAGATAAATACTTCAAGATCAAAAGGAATGTAATGATCATATGTATCATTGAATGAAAGTTCTAAATATCAAAGGCATCAGTATTTTAGACAATAAAGCAAAATATGAAAGAATAACAGTGAAATCACAACGTTCACACTTTCAAAAAACTGTACTCCTCTATTCTCATGCCAGATTTACTTCGCAATATCTGAGCTCAGTATCCCTGCAAAGATAATATACCTCTGTGGAATAATGCTGAGAAGTATCCGTAGCTCTATTAAGGTGAAATCCAGTATCTCCATACTTTTTGATATCGAACGAGTTTTCAGAAAAGGTGATCCCTTATCATGTGAATTTTTCAATTTCATCGGTTGGTGTTCGATAGAGTTTTGTTGCTATCGAAAAGGCATGTGCGATGAGATAAATTCTGCCAAAAATGTGCGGGAAGAGCGGGAATAAAGACTAAATTACAAAAGGCAAACTCGTAACAATATATTATATATGCTTGTAAAAATATGAATAAATTTCTTTTGAAAAATCTTGTCTGAGGTTTCAATTACAGCTTTCATTATCAAAATAATATAAATAAATGTTTTTTGTTTAATATTTTTATTGCATATAAATTAGTTAATTAGTTAATTGTAAATTGTAAAATTATAAAAATCATGGTTTGCAGACCATGCAGCTGTTGGTAAATTTAAAAAAATAATCATTAAGTGTTACGGTATCGGTTAACTTTCACTCAATTCCTGTGTTTTGAGGCGTTCATGGATGTTTGTTTGTGGAGGTTACGGTTTTTCTCCTCTCATCATCGGTAACTGTATCTCTACATGAACTTCTGCCATAAGTGCTACTGTTTGACAGATATTCTCATCACTTTCGCTGGTTGAATCTTTAGACTCTTGTTCACTTGAGTCTTTCTTTATAATAATAACATTTTGACTGTTTACTTCAAATTTTTGATCTCTATTATAATAAAGAGCACTATCAGATCTGCTTTCATCTGATGATGAAGATGAATCAGTTCCGGACGATTCAGTAGACGACGATGAATTATCATCAGTATTTTCTAATGATTCAGATTTTTTTTTTTTAGCTGCTAAGATTTTTGAACTATTATGTAATGGTGAAGACAAAGTATTTTCAGATGAACTAGTAGATGACGATGAATCAGTATTTTTTAATGAGTTTTCTGAACCACTATCAGATGATGAGGAACTGCTAGATCCGGACGATTTAGTAGATGATGATACATCAGTATTTTTTGATTGTTTAGGTTTACCTTTTTTAATTACTAAGATTTCTGGAATGGATTCTGAAGACGAGGAAGAAGGCCTTGTCATGCTTTTCGAAAATTTGGAAGATGACAAATTATTGACATTCTTTAATGGCTTAGATTTTCCTCTTTTAATTTTCGTTTTTAATGATAATGAAGCTGCAAGTTTTCCTTTTCTAATTGCTAAGATTTCTGAATCAGTATCAGATAATGTTGAATATTTGAGCATTTTGGTAGATGACGATGCACCAGTATTTTTTAATTGTTTACGTTTTCCTTTTTTTATTGCTAAGATTTTTGAATCTGTTTCTGATGACGAGGACACAGAAGTGGAACAGCTTCGTGAAGAGTCAGTAGATGATGATAAATTAATTGTTTTTTTTACTGATCCAGACTTTTCTTTTTCGATTGCTGAAATTTTTGATTTAATTCCTGATTTATAATGTGGACTACTATTCAAGAATAAACGCAATTCATGGATTAAACCACGCAAACCGATTGAAGTAAAAAAATTAATTGAAAACAATGCATCTTGTTGACAATATATTGGAAATATACGCGTAACCCTATCTTTGACTTCATCCTGATTTAGTTTCGCATTTAATTTCTTAAAGCCCATATTTTCAGTCAATTGTTTAAATAAAATTTTTATGAATAGACGATTTGTGGAACTTGTTTCGAATTCATTAAGATGTAGATGTTCTAGAACATTCCAGCTAATGACATCTGTGTATAGTAAATGAGCAAGAAACTTACATGCATTAGCTAAATGACAAGCATCGAAACGATTTACATTGTTAAATGTGTCCGTGAAGACTCGTTCAAACAGTGATACATAGGCTGTGTCGATAGTACACAATTTTTTACTCATTAAGCCACAGTATTTTGTATAATTTTGGTGTTCTGCACAATAATACACAATTGCTTTGCACAGTTCCATTTCGTGTTCAGGTTTCAAATTTAATTCCATAATCATGTGTACACATTCTTCGTAGTCTTTTGTGGACTTTATTAGCAAATAAATGGTACGATGAAAGGATATGATAATCTTCTGTCTATTCTTGTTGCCATCATCGTTATCATCATTAGAAGAACTCGAGTTGTTTGAATCTGAATTGTCAAACCGATCTGAAGTTCTATCCTTAGAATGGTGGGAACTACTTGAACTAAGTGGAGTCTTGTACACTTTTTCATTGCTTTTATATTCGTCATCATTGCCTAATATAAATGCATTTAAAAATATATAAAAAATCATAAATAAATAGATATTTCAAAATGAAATATAAATGTATTTTAAAAGTTGTAGTACTCACTGAAAGCTTCTGCTGTTTCATATCTTTCTGGTGGATTTAATACCAAGCGGTGTGTAAATTGGTCCATATCTTCAACTAAGTCTAGCTTTTTAATTATGGGTGGATGATTTCTGAAGCCGTTCTTACGAATTTGAAATATCCCTTCAATCATATACTGAATGCGTTTATGTAATTTACTTTTGACAAGCGCATTCTTCAATGATTTGAATGCAGAGTCTACTGCTGTTATCGAAACTTCGCTTAATCTTATGCCACATTGTTTAAGAAAATCAATGGCAATTTCAACTGAATCATCTGTAGGTGTTTCAATTAACAGTGTGAGTAACTCAAACCCAAGAACTCCATGCGCGACCTTTTGGTTGATGAGATCTCCAATAAAACTACTTACTGTCACACATTTGCGCTTGTCGTTCCGACTATAAGCGATTTTAAATTGAAATATTAAACGCTTCAATAACAGTTCTCCAATATTGGGAAACCTGGAGTTTATGATGGCCACCAATGCAGCATAAGCATTTGTAAGGTCTGAATGTTCTGCTTGGATTAGTAATATAGAACGGCAAAATAAGTTTCGTCCTCGTACAATATCTTCACGTAACAATACGTGGGATATAATGAGCACATTGTCAACATCAATTTTAGTAATTTGACCATATATAGATTTCTTAAGTGCCTCCCAAGCAATACGTTGATACTCTGCAGAGGATTTGTCTGTGGTTTTATCTTGCGTCATACGTAATTTAGTCGGGGGTCTTTTAGCTCGACTTGTACTTGAGGTTATTCTAGCCTGACGATCAGTAAAAGTAGCGTCATTAGTAGCTTCTTTAGTAATTGGTTTCTTATTACTGTTAACTGCCTGTTTTTTAGTAATCGATGTCTTATTACTGCTTACTGCATGTTCTTGTGTGATTGATTCTTTTCTACTGCTAACTCCTGGTTGCTCTGTGCTATCTTTTTTACATTCTGCTTTATCTTTATATCCAATTACCGATTTATCTTGTCCTCTTTGTTTTTGTTGTTCTGCGTGCTTATTTTCTTTTTTTAGTTCTGTTTTATATTTATCTTCTTCATTATTATTAATTTTCTCTAACGCAGCATGGCGTTTTTTACGTTCCTCACGACGTTTCTGAAGTTCTTCCTCTTCGCGCCGACGACGCTCTTCTCTATCTTGTCGGCGTCGCTTATCATTATAAACATCGTCGTATCTACGTACGAAATTATTTCCATTACGACTATCATAACTTTTATACTTATCATCATGTTTATAACGATATCCAGAACTATTTCGATACTGTCCGTAACTACTATCATCACAAATATTATTCTTATTTGAAGTACTAAATGAAGTACGTATATCATACTGAGAAGAATAACTGTTTCTTGCATTACTACTAGTACAATCCCATTTCACAGATTCATTTTGATTACTATAGTTGTCATCACGAGATGTTAATCTACGGGAGTTGGCGCCATTTTCTCTTATCTTACGATTATCATATTCACTTTGCTTACAACTTATATTTCGAATGGATACGGAACTTTCGCCATAACTGTTTGTGCTCCGGTCATAATCTGAACGTGTTTTCGAAGTGTGATCATTTTCTTCTCCTGTGTTACTAACACTCTTCTTTCTGCTAGTGATTTTATCTTCCCAATGGTTACATGGCTTGTTATTATTATGTATGTTTGAATTCAGAGAATCTCCATTATAATTTTTTAGTGACAAAGTCATATCCTTATCGCACTGTTTTTTATTTTTATTTTTAAGATGTTCTTTATGCGAAGATAGTGATGCAGTCACATCTTGACGTGGTGTATTTAAGGGCTTCTTATACTGTTTTTCTGAACGGTTATGATCATGTGAACCATTTTCAGAATCGTCACCTTTAAATGCAGAAATCTTATCACCCGTAAGCTCTTCTGAAGTTCTATGACTTTTTTTTCGGTGATTATCATCAACAAGAGAACTATTAATTTCGAAAAATTCATGTGGTGTAGTCATATCTGGATGTGACGTATTTGAGGGCTTCTTATGGTGTCTTTTTGAACTTTTATTATCATGTGAACCATTTTTAGATTCGTCATCTTTAAATGAGGAAATCTTATCACCAGGAATCTCTTCTGAAGTTCTATGATTTATGCTTTGGCAATTCTCATCAACAAGAAAATTATTAATGTCGAAAAATCTATGTGATGTAGTCACATGTTGACGTGATGTATTTGAGGGCTTCTTATACTGTGTATCTGAACTGTTGTTGTCATGTGAATCATTCCTAGATTCGCTATTTTCAAATGAGGAAATCTTATCACCAGGAAGCTCTTCTGAAGTTCTATGATTTATATTTTGGCAATTATCATCAACAAGAAAATTATTAATCTCGAAAAATCTATGTGATGTAGTCACATGTTGACGTGATGTATTTGAAGGCTTCTTATACTGTCTTTTTGAATTGTTACTGACACGTGAATCATTTTTAGATTCGTCATCTTTAAATGAGGAAATCTTATCACCAGGAATCTCTTCTGAAGTTCTATGATTTATGCTTTGGCAATTCTCATCAACAAGAAAATTATTAATGTCGAAAAATCTATGTGATGTAGTCACATGTTGACGTGATGTATTTGAGGGCTTCTTATACTGTGTATCTGAACTGTTGTTGTCATGTGAATCATTCCTAGATTCGCTATTTTCAAATGAGGAAATCTTATCACCAGGAAGCTCTTCTGAAGTTCTATGATTTATATTTTGGCAATTATCATCAACAAGAAAATTATTAATCTCGAAAAATCTATGTGATGTAGTCACATGTTGACGTGATGTATTTGAAGGCTTCTTATACTGTCTTTTTGAATTGTTACTGACACGTGAATCATTTTTAGATTCGTCATCTTTAAATGAGGAAATCTTATCACCAGGAATCTCTTCTGAAGTTCTATGATTTATGCTTTGGCAATTATCATCAACAAGAAAATTATTAATCTCGAAAAGTCTATGTGATGTAGTCACATGTTGACGTGATGTATTTGAGGGTTTCTTATACTGTGTATCTGAACTGTTGTTGTCATTTGAATCATTTCTAGATTCGTTATCTTCAAATGAGGAAATCTTATCACCAGGAAGCTTTTCTGAAGTTCTATGATTTATACTTTGGCAATTATCATCAACAAGAAAATTATTAATCTCGAAAAGTCTATGTGATGTAGTCACATATTGACGTGATGTATTTGAGGGCTTCCTATACTGTGTATCTGAATTGTTGTTGTCATTTGAATCATTCCTAGATTCGCTATCTTCAAATGAGGAAATCTTATCACCAGGAATCTCTTCTGAAGTTCTATGATTTATGCTTTGGCAATTATCATCAACAAGAAAATTATTAATCTCGAAAAGTCTATGTGATGTAGTCACATTTGGATGTGACGTATCTAAGGGCTTCTTATAGTGTTTTTCTGAATTATTGTTATCATGCGAACCATTTTTAAATGTGCTATGTTTGTGTACATTATGCGACAAATTTTCATCTTCAAGACCCTTATGTAAAGAGGAACTAGCGTAACGGTTTTCTATTTTATCATCAAATTGCTGTAAATCTATTTTCAGATCTTTAATTAATGATACAATATCTTCCTGAAGTTCATATGAAGGTGTGGTGTCTAAGTTTTGATTTTTAGTATTATAATCAACCTGTTGATTATTATCTGCGTGTTTCTGCTTTGAAAAAGTGTCATCTAAGTATACGCGTGACTTGTCTGAAGTGTTAAAATTAAAAATCTGTTCACATGAGTTATCACCAATAAGTTCTGACTCTCCAATTATATCAACTTTGCCAGTTTTATGTGATGAATTATCATCTGCATTTTGCTTACTTAAACAAAAATCGCGATCATGTAAATCTAGTATATCTTCACCCTCAAACTGAAATTCGTCACTTTGACATTCTTTATATGATAAAGTTTCGCTCTCGTGATAGTTATCTGAAGAGGGAACAGCGAAGCTGGTTTTTTCTTTTTTATAATTTTCTTTGTTTTTTTGGTTACTGTGTGTGCTCCCACCTGTGCGACGTTGATTTGTAGAAGTATTATTGGTAGGATGTTGTTCTGATACTATATCATCGCGTATCTCTTCTGATTTATCTTTAAATATTTCACGCAAGGGACAACTGCTCGAAGAAATATTACCAGCTTCTAATTCCTTTTTTTTTCTATTTTGCATTGATAAAATAACATCTCTTCGAATTTGTTCTAAAAACATATCATCAAAATCATTTCCAATCTGATTTTGATGATTTTTTGGTTTTGGTTGACAATCTTTGCATATTTTATATGAGGAGTTATTAATTGCCGTCTGCTGTTCTTCTATGAGTTCATAATCACTATGAACAGAGTAGTCAGACGCATGTTTTTTTCTATTACGTTTACTCTTAAGTTCATTTTTCCGGTTTTTTATTGAACGTGCTAAATTTTTACGAAGCTTCTTCAAAGATTTATCATCATCTAGACTTACATTCTGAAGATAATCTTTAACATTATCTTTATCAGCATCGATATTTTTATGCGATGATTTATGATATTTGCGCAACTTATCTAAAGAAATATTAATGTTTTCATGTTTTTTTGTTGATTTATTTACAACTTGCTTTCCTGATATATCGTCTTCACAATTTTTTAGATTCAGAGTCTCATCAGATAAAGTCTCATTTGAATCTAAACTTTGGAGGACATTATCAATACGACGTTTTATCTGTTTTGTATCATTATGAACCTTATGTGATGAAGCTAAATCGTCATGGACTTCATCGAAAGTATCATCAGAGAGTTGATTATCATCATTTCCATAATATTTCTTTAACAAGTTATCCTCGCAGTATTTTTTCGATGGGTTATCAACGTGATTTCCTACTTCACTACGTTTTCGTTTTTTATAAGAGTAACTACGTTCTGTTAAGCATCCGGTATTCTTGTGTTTGTCTTCACTATATCTAGATTTAGCGATCTCCTCATCTGAGTATTTATAGTAGGAGTCCACACACTTTGTTGGAGAATTCATTTCTTGATTTGTTTGCTTGATATCAATAGTTCGTTGTCTTTGTAGTGAAGTTGTCATATCACACCTATTAGTGATATCATCATCGCATTTTTTCAGTGGTTTGTCATATTTGCCTTTTTTAGTTACTGATATGTCATTCTCAAAAATATTTTCACCAACATGACCACGTAAAAGACTATCATCTAACCGCCTTTTCAAACGATTATACTCTGAACGTCTATCTGATGACGAATTATCATGCGAAGATGTGTCCTTTTTACGCTCTTTCTGTTGTTGATAATTTTTACTACTCTTACTTGATGATTGATACTTGTCTGTCACATTATTATCAACAAATTTCTTTGGCGACTTGTTGTGATTTTTGTAATTTTCATATAAAAACCTATCATCATGATACATATATGATTTGTCACTATCATCATAGCGTGTTTTTAAATTCTCATCTTTGTTACTTTCAAATGATAACTTATCATCACCACTTTGATTTCTCGATCCTGTATCTCTGCGCTTTTTGTCGGACACTGAATTATCTGTACAATATTTATCTAAGGAAACATTATCATCTGAAATTTTACGTATTGAACTATCATTTCGTTGCTTTTGTAATCTATTATCTCTGTAAGATTGATATGATTTTTTATACTGTTCAAGACGTTCATCTAAACGTTTGTCATGTTTATTTATATATTCTTCGTCACGGCGTCTTTGAGAGCTATCAACTCTATAACTTTTTAACAACGAAGAATTTTCATCAAGGCGTTTTGAAGACAAGTCATCATCACTACGCTTATTTGAATATTCATCGTCTAAATTTGTATACCAAGAGCTATTATCATCTCTTCGGGGTGCTAATTGATCATCCCTATAACTTTTAAGTGATGATCTAAAGTCCCTTTCTGTAAATTTATCATCACGACGATTAAGTAAGGTGTTATCATCTCTTGTGGTTTGATAAAATGGTACATTATCATCCCAAATTCTATCCGAAGTTTTGTTACCACGATATATGCATGATCTGCGATAATTGCGCTGTTTATTCTTTCGACGTTTATTTGAGGCTCGACGATAGTATTCTCTACGAGATGTATTCTGAAGTTGCTTAGAGTTATGATCTCTTCCAACATCATTTTGTATATCAAGTTTGAAATTACTCGTTTTTATAACCTTATAAATTATATAAAAAAGTGTTTTCTTATAAATTAATATAAATAACTTAATAAAATGTTAATTAAAATATATTATGAATATTTATGAAAAATTAAAAAAAAAATATATTGTACAAATATTTAAAAAGAGAAGGACATTTACAAAAAATATATTGTACAAATATTTAAAAAAAACATTTTTATATGTTATATGTATAAAGCATAAAAATATATATAAAAATATATTATATATATTTAAAAGGAATATAAAAAAATATATATTGAACAAATATTAAGAAAGAAGAAGACAAATACGCTTGCAACTAACGACGATATTGCGGAATGGTGATCTACTTGGCATGGTAGGTATTCTTACGGGAGAAGCAGTTATGCCCTGCTGAAGAACGTGAAACAACTGAACCCTTTCTATGTAAATACTCGGGTCCGATCCGACGAATTTAATAGTTTTTAATTAACCGCTCCGAATGGTTTTAAAAATCTGATATTAAAGGTTTAGCTTATTTTAACAGAAGTGGCAGCAACAATTTAGTCAGAAACGAATGACAGAAACTGTTGGAACACTATATTCGTAGAATAATTACATAAAACTTCTACATATATTTGGATGGAAGCAGTTTGTAGTGACGGAAGTCAATACAGAATTAATCATATTTTAAAATGAACTGGAAAGCAAACAAAAAAAAAAACTATAGCAAAGTATATTATTCAAAGGTTTAACCAGTTCGGAGCACTATAAGAATAGGGGTACCAGTTCATAATGGAGCGGAGCGGAGCACTGCGACCATGGTTTATCTTTTGTGTTGCAACAGACCCTAACCGAACAGAAAGCCAGAATGTCGCCCATTGAGGGCCTCTTAATGTCAGAAGGGGAGAGTAGTTCTCGGCCCAGTCGAGAAGGGGAGAGAATGTGAGTGAAAGTCTAGTCTGCTTCTAAGAAGAATCGACAATCTATCTCTTCGCATAGACCTAACAAAATAGAAACATACAACATATTTATTTACTGAACATTCTACCAACTGCGAAGAAACAGAAATAATAGACAAAGAAAAACAAAACAGCATAAGAAAATCTCCACTGAGCACTGGAGACTTGTCTTCGTATACAAAGGAATATTAACAACATTTTAACTATAAAAGTGGATATCAACAATAAGTAAGTGAAACTTACTTATTAACTTAGTAAATAAAATTATATGTAATGTATATATATATATATATCCTAATAATGTTTCACTTTAGAAAATATATATATTTTAGAATATAGTTTTAGAAAAAATTGTTATAATTATTTTTTATGTTTTTATTTTTCTTATTGCTCTTATACTATTTATAATTTTTTTATTTATGATGAGTTAGTAACATTTATGTGTGTACCTCATTAGACCCTCATAATCCTGATGAGACGGAAACATGAACGGCAAAATGTTGAATAATAAATATAATTTTAAATAAATTCATGCTTTATTTTAACTCTTATATTATTCTTATTATTTTTTTTATACCCTATGATTTAAAAGGATTCTATCAATTTTAATAAAATAAATAAAATAACACGACTTTCAATCAAATTTTAATGTAAAATAAGTTTGGAAAATGTACCAACTAGCATAACCACATAAAACTAATAACTACACTTAAAACTTGTCATAAGGTCTAATTTTTTTTTTTGCATATATATAATATATATCAATGAAAAAAGCATATTCAGTACTTACCACTGATGCTGCTCTAAATGACTTTTGATCACCAAGAGCTGCATCGTCATTTTCTTGTTCCTTTTGTTCTTTAGCTAATGCATTTTCCATACAATTACCAGGTTCTGTTGCAAACTCTGATAGTTCTGTGCTGAATTTAGGGTTATTATCTGTGTCATCAAAACTGCCAATAGTGGAGCCGTCTGAAACTGGTTCAGTTAGAGTTTCGATGTTTTCAGCCATTAAGATACCTAAAATATATTTAGTTATTTATTAAATTGTATTTTTTTTTTTATTAAATTGATATTATTTTCGTCCATTTTGGCGAAAGAAATTCAATTCTTAATATAAACTATTGTTTTCAATATAGAGGTATTTATCGAACAGTATTATATTACAACAATAAAATTGTATTATTTTATTAATTAAATTAATAAAAAGTTATTTATTAATATATTATTTAGTTTTATTTTAATTAACAAAATTAAACAAAGTATGAAAGAAACCCAAAAACTAACCATTTGAATTCGATAACTATCGGCGTTAAATTAATTTTGACGTACCAATACGGAAATAAATATTTTTTCGTTTGCGTTGCCAATCACCTTAAAACTGTTGTCATTTGAAAAAATAAAAATGGCGAAATTTGACATTAAATTATTTATTTTGTTTATTTTGCAAATATAAAAAGTGATTAATTTTTAATTTGTAATATTTTAAAAACAATTATGGCAATATTTAAAATGAAATGAAAATAACTTAAATACGTTTACGATTGAATACGAGTGGAAACAAATTGCATACTATGTTTTAAAAATAAAACAATTTTTTTTATTTAAAACTTATATTGCTGTTTGCAAAAATGTCATATCCTTTAAAAATTAAATCGAACCAAAAAAATATATATTATTATTTGAAGAAATATTGAGACCAATAACCAAGCTCGGAATTTATTTCTGCTACATAGCAAAATTATATAGTATTATTATTATATATCCGTTACATAAAAACTTTATATATATAGAAAAGCTTTATCATAGAAAAAGAATAATTGCGACAAGAAAATCAAAGACAAAGTGCAGAATTTAATTCTCCTGTCAATTACATACTTTTTTATTATATTGTCCGCAATATTAAAAACTAATGAAGTCCAGCTACTAATATTTATATGGTATCAACAAAAAAAAAAGTAGGGATGATAAAACCGAATACAGAGCTCGGTATTTATATCGGCTGCTGTCCGTCATATTAAAACTACATCAGTTTTAATATTTAGATATATTATAATAATATATCTAAATATATCCTTATATCCAATAATTATATTAGATATATATTTAATATAGATTTTATATACTAATCTATATACTTCGGATTTGTTTATTTATTATATATATTAAGACCGAATATCCATAATCAAATCATGTCATTGAATTGTATGTCATATTTAAAACCGTTACAGTTCACATCAATATCGTTAAAAAACGAATAAAACCGAAATGTATTAAGTTACTGTAATGCCCGCCATATTTAAAAATGATGTACAATTTAAAAATATATGTGAATGCAAGCAAATCCATGTACAGAATAAAAACCTTACTGACTAAACGTTAAAAGAATAAACTAAAACTTATGAATAATAATATTAATTGGTAGATTCAAAAAAAAAAAATAGTTAATAGAAAATAATTAAGTAAAAAGAGTACATTTTTTATGCAAAATTTTTCTATTTTTGAAAAACAAAACTTAACCGGAAAAAAATTTAATAATTTTAGTTATTTTATATTAAATAAAAATAATATATTAATTAAACGCGAACACTTTGATAAGTAATAAACAAAAATGAATATATTATTTAAATAATACTTACTCTTTTTTAGAATTGTCTTCACTAATTTTGCTATTAAAACTAAGCAGATACCGTAACGTTGTAAAATTTATTAAATTTCTCCGAGCTTTAAAATGTGGTCTGTTCTGTTTGAAATGAAACTTAACAATAAGAATTTTTTTCTAGGAGCTAGTGAAGTCTATTTGTACAGTATTACCATACACACAAAATTGATATTTTTTAATTGTTCAGTGTATTAGTATTATTTGACAGAAAAATAATTTTTAAATTTATTGCTTTGATTATACAATATTTATACAATACAATATATACAATATACAATATTTTATAAATATTTTTTTACTATGTTGTTTCTATAGTATTATTTTTAAGAATGTCACAAAGAGAAAATTTTTAATAAATAATTTTGATTTTATTTATATTTCCATAAAAATGATTAAATTATTACAATATTTTTATATACTGTAAATAAGCTTATTTGTTTTGCATACAAATAATTTCAAAGAAAAAACTGTTAATTGTATTATTATAACAGTATGTTTACACTACAGCACTGAAGAATGTCATTCTTTCAATAAAGTACTTAAAAATATGTATTTATAAGGTTGTTACAAATTTATTTTATATAAATTTATTATTATAAATATATAAAAATATATAATAATATATACCTAATTAAAAATAAATTTCATATATATTCAAATTTCTGTCCAAAAAATTTAAATAGTAATGATAATAAAAGTCATGTAATTTGTGGTAAATTATTATTTTTTGCATTAAAACTATGCTATAAATAAAATTATCAAGTTTCATTTGTTTTATAATTTGACACAAACATTTTAATTTCCCTTTAATATATATAAAATAACGCAATTAGTTTGTAAAAAAACGAATTCAAGAAAAGCAAACACATAACTATGTATATGTTTCGTTTATTATATTTAATCAAAATAACTAGATTGAATATTAAAATGTTGATTAATTTATTTTTTATATTGTTTAATAAAAAAATTTATAAGAATTTAATATACATTCAATTCAAAAATTAAAAATAATTTATTTTGCATCGCTTTCTTGATTTAACGGTGCTGTGGTGCGTATGAGTGACGTGTAACGCACCTGATAAATTAGATTTTTTTGAATTACTTCAAGCAATGCCTCACTGAAAATATTTATTTTTCAGTAAAATTTAAAACTGAATCTAAATAAAATATAAAAAATAAAAATTCTGGCATGATGGCCTGATAGTAAAAATGTCACATCTAGGTATTCCAGGCAGACTAACTAAGATCATCGGCAGCTTCCCACGTGGGAGGTCCTTTCGCACGAAAATCAACAGCGTTCTCTCGTCAGTCCGATCTATAGAAGCAAGGTTTCCTCAGGGATCGCCACTTTCTCGCACTCTCTATAACATTTATACATCTGATATTCCAATAGTAGGTCCCTCGACTCTGGCATTATATGCTGAAGAAACATGTATGCTATACTCAGATAAATGTACTCTCAATATAACCAACACACTTCAAGAGCATATAAACCTCATTCTGGAAAATAGAAAAATGGCAGATAGAAATCAATAATCAAAAAATCAAGGCTCTGTTTATTACACGTAAGTGGAGACACAATCCGTCGAGAGTTAGAGTGAGAGATATGGTAATTAACTGGGAGGATAGCGTTAAATATCTCAGCAAACGATTTATATGGCTTAAACATGTTCAACTGAAAAGAATTAGTTGTGCCAAAGTTCTTCATCACCTCCAATCGCTATTCAAAAATGAAAATCTTAGTGCTAAGAACAGGAAGCTAATATATAACCAAATTAATTCGTCCATCACTTCTATATGGATGTATAGCGTTTAGCAAGGCTTCAAACACTACTATTCGCCAGCAAGAAATTGCACAAAGCCAGACTCTGAGAAGACTTTTCAAGATACCATGGTACATTAGTACGAATGAAATCATTAGGGACCTCAAGATTGATCAGGTCAAAAAATACATAAATGATAGAGCCCTGAAACTATTTGTGAAAACTGACAGACTTACCAACACCGTGTTTTCAAATCTCAGAACGGTTACAAGCTCCTCAGCGAGGTATGCAGATCTAAGGTCAATTATTGCTTAGTCTAATGAAGCGATAAACATTAATCCAGTCAAGGCGTAAAGAGAGGTTTTGAAGATATCTCGAGTTAATGAAGAGTAAAAGTGCTGAACTGCACTGGCTCAAATAGCTTCAACATAAAAAAAATTCTGAAGACACATTTGGAAAATTTTTTTCTTTTTAATTTAACGGTTAATATTAATACTTAAATATAAACAATCTTAATTGTTTAAACAATTTAAAGTTCAATCAATTATCTTCAAAATACAACAAATTGAAAGTTTCTATCATTTACAGAAATTGAGATATGGCCTTTTCAAAATGTGTCTACAATGGCAATTCTTAAAGCACCATATCTCCTAGCAGAAAAATTACAAAATTTTTTCTCAAGATAGGAGTCTTCTTATTTTATAAAAGGAACTCATACAAAAAAATTCAAGCCAAATCTGAGATGACGGGGTCAAAAAGGTGTCCAATTTGTAAAAGAATGACCCATATCAAACGAATTTTGCATTGAACGTACTCCATAGTGTGTGTGTGTGTGTGTGTGAGTGTATATATATAAATTGGTCATATTCTGCTGCGTTCTTTACCGTCAAATTTAAATAAGATTAGCAAAGTTTTTTTGGTTACTATTATTTTTTTTGGATGGCATAATCTTCACATCTGGATACACGATTATTTTATATTGTTTGTTTGGCTATTTGTCACTGCTCATTCTTAGAACGCAACAAATAGACGTTGGGATGAATTTTTAAGCAATCAAAAGTGAAATTCTAAGGATGATTAACCTTTAAAACCGCTGTGGACGTTATACAATCACTACAGAAATATAATAATGACTCCGACTTGTGCCTTATTTTATTTTATTACATAAATTTTTATCATATAAATTAAAAGCTTTTAACATATAATTCTTTAACGAAATTAATTTATTTTAATTAATTATAGTTTCATTATTTGAAATAACTAAATATTAGGTACACTTAATAGTTAAGGAAATTAATTGTTAAATTAATTAAACTTAAAAAGAAAATAGTTTTCTACTTTAACTTTTGGTTAGGTTTTTGTGGTCTTGTTTCTGGTGTTTTTGGTGAGAAATCATCATCATCGTCTTCACTGGATGTACTTGATACTGAGTCATGTCTCGATTTCTTTTCTGGAATTTCATAAGGGAATTCCTTCTTCTTTTCAAGTAATGCTTGTTTTAGACGAATCAAAGCAGTGCGATTTATATGTTCTAAGCTAACATCTTTAAGAGCGGTTTTTAATGCCTCCAAAGCTTTTTCAGGTTCAGCATTATTAATTTGTATATCAATTAGGCATGAATAAGCATTTCCAATTGCTCCTACAGATATTTTTGATTCACGCAATTGATCGATTACCGTTTGTACCATGCGTCCGTCTTTTTGTTCGCGTGCAGTTTGTAATACGCGTTGGAACATAAGACGTGGAGCATTTGATAAGAATTTATCCCAAATGGCTTTTGAGGCAGTTTCATTGCCGTTTGAAATGTGATATATCCATAGAACATTAATAGGTCCAAGTTGATTGAATTTTGCAAATTTCTCAGCTATTTGCTCAACTAAAATAAAATATTAAAATGATTAGACGGATTTAGAAAAAAAAATGTTAAATAAATAAGAAAAAAATACATACATTGTGGCAAAACTTCCGGATGTTTTGCTAAAATACCTAAAGCACCACCACGTGGGAATTTCACAGCCAGTTTGGCAACATCTTCAGTTGTGCTGGCTTTCGAAATGTCGTCACTTAAACTCTGTATATATTCTACTGCTTTTCCAGCATTAATGTACGCGTTGCAATACCGATTGTCAAAAGAAATTAAACGTTTTAACTCATCATCTATAAGTTTATCAATACGATCAAGTGTTGCGATATCGCCTGCAGCAGCTACTTTATTCAAATAAAATTTCAAAATCTTCAGTATTGGACGTTGTTTGTTTGTCAATAGTTCCTCAACAAATTTGTTTGCTTCAGAAAGACGATCAGCACGTAACAATTGCTCAACGAGTCGAGAAATATCTGTAACGTTTAATTTTGTTCCATTTAAATTTCTTTTGATACTTAAAGCACCTTCAATATCTCTATTAAGCAAAGCCTTACGAAATTGTGAGGAAGTCGATTGTTGTCTAGGTTCTGAAACCGCACTTATAATATTAACATTTCTTTGCGAAGAGATAGAAGCCACAGGTTTAACATTTGTAACATTTTCTTCCACAACATTTGGGACTACAAATGGTACATTTACATTCTTTTGACGTAAAAATTCTGCTAATTTGATAAGGAATGCATCACTGACATTAATATCCTCTTCTTGCATTTTTGTCCATAAGCCCAAAGCCTTCTCAGTGTCCTCAGTTTGTTGATAACTTAAGAGTAAATTGTAATAAATCTTATTGCGATCAATGTGACCAAGATCTTTAGTGGCTTCAGCTAAACCTTCAAGTGGTTGAACCTTGCCTTCGTTTCTGTAACGTTCACATGCAGAGTCTATACGGTGTGGACGTGTACGCAAACCTGGTGTTTCAAGTATTTTTCTAGCTTGGCGTATGCGACCACATTCAACAAACGAGAAGACCAAATCATATAAGCTATTTACTTCGCCGTGAATGTTAGTACTTAAATCAGTAAGTTTTTGCAAGTTAGATGCGTCCTCCTTTTGTATGAGACGACAAGCTAATTCGTTTTTCCAAGGAGTGCTCTTGTATTTCTCACAACAATTTTCGAAAGTTTCAATAGCTTTTTCAATGTTATCATTTACTAAATGTACCTAAAATTAATAAAAAAATGTATAAGAAGCTAATCGCAAACATAATAAAATATATTCACTTCATTAAAGAAACTAATTAAATATAGGATTTCAAAAAAGAAGAATAAGAAGAACTACTATTTTATTATATTACGATAATATAGGTAAATATTCTTTAATATTAGCAAATCGTATAAATTATAAAAAAAAAAACCGATTATTATTTTTGTTTATGTAAAAAATTTTAAATTTTAAATTTAATTTCACACTAAGAAGAACGAAAGACTTCCTTAGGGACCTCAAAATTGATCCGATCAAAAAATACATAAAGGATAGAGCCCTGAAATTATTTACGAAAACTGACAGGCTTACCAACACCATGTTTTCAAATCTCAGAACGGTTGCAGGCTCCTCGGAGAGGTATGCAGATCTGAGGTCAATTATTGCTTAGTCTGATGCAATGATAAACAATAATCCAGTCAAGGCGTAGAGAGGGATTATGAAGAAGCCTCGCAGTTAATAGAGAGTAAAAGTGTTCAAGTGCACTGACTCAATTAGCCTCAACATAATAACTAAGAAGTAAATATTTCTGTTTTTTTTTTAAAAGATAAACTTCGAAACGTCCCCGGTATTTATATAGAATATTATATAAAAATAAACATAAAGTAAACTAAAAACTACTCTAAAAAGTAAATAATTTCTTTGAGACATATTTTATAATAAAACTTTACTTTCAAATTACCTTAACCAATGGCCCGAGTAATGTATTCTTGGGTATGATGTAATTATTTTCTATCAGTGTATCGAACAGTTTTTGCAATTTCTGCGAATCACCCTTTTCAGCTAAAGAATTTAATAGGCGCCACACAATACTTTCATAATTAAAAGTGCCTTCTTCCTCTGGTAACTGTTGCTTTTTGTTCTTCTTCAAGAATTCGATGCCTTCATCGAAACGTTCTTCTTTTAATAATAAATCAATAAAGCGCAATGTCTTAAAATTATCCAAAACAAAATCAGCATCTTTTGCCTGGAGATCCTTATATAAAGCTAAGAATTCAGCTGATTTGCCATGGAGTGTATATAAATCTAAAAGTTGTGCATAAATGCCTACGTGCATGTTAAAATTATCCGCCTTAAGTTTTTCAATAACCTGTTCGGCCTTTTCCAAATTCTTGGAACGGAAACAGGCAGTGATTAGAAAACGTTTTATATTATTTGCATTTTCTCCTTTTGCTTCGACATTAACAATGAAACGTTCCAACTCTGTAAAGTAACGTATATCAGAAATTACACCAAATGCAAATTTATAATAAATAACATACCTTCAATTGTCAAACTTTCTAAGCCGCGTTTGCGTTGTTGTGTATTTTTTAATGGTACAGGTTCTAATTCACCAGAGCTCAATTTACCCAAATACTCAGATATCAATGGAGTCATCTCGGATCCAATACGTTCAGATATGCGATTTGCATTAGTATTGGAAATGGACAAACCTTCCTTAACGAACAATGGCAAGACGTTTTCTAAAGCTTGCACACAATCACGTCGAAGGTATACACACATATCATTTAGTGCGTTACCAACGACATCGTTTGCTCCGCTGACACCACTCTCAGTCTCGTTGTGTTCGCTAGCTTCTGCATCAGTAGCAGCCTGTTCAGATTTCTGTTCGTTTTGATTATTGTCACGATTTTCGACAGATTCATAAATTTGTCGCACAAATCGTACAAATGAACTATAGTCATTCGTTACCGAGATAGCTTGATTTAAAGGTTGCTTGAAAAACGCTAGTGTGTAGTTAGCTCTATAGGATTCTATTATAGCTGCAGCTTCTTGAAGTTTATTTTCAGTCAATGCCATAAAAGCTACGGCCGATGCTGCAACAGCATTTGAAACACCCACATCGCGCAAAGCCATAACAATTTTATCTAAATTCTTCTCCTTCATATTCGGTATAACATAGTCGCGTATGGTTTCAGCGCTCGGATGCAAGTCAAATTCATCTTGCATACGGCGTATAATATTAAGTATCTGACTTGATTCTTCCGAGCATATAATTGGCCAAAAATAGTGTTGTCTTATGGGAAGACCAGCGTTTTTCATCTCTTTGAGTAGCGGTATAGCATTATTTACCTTACCATGTTGAAGACCAGCTTCAGTAGCAATCAAAAGTGCTTTTGTGTTCAGTCCTTATATAAATAAAAAGAAAAACGTTTTTTTCTTAAGAAAAATGGAAAACAACGCAGCAAATCGTATCTTTTATTTATTTAAGCTAGAATTGGTTTTCAAAGCAATATTCTGACTAAAAGTCATAGCTACTTGGGCTTTCAGACCAAAAGCTGATTAGGTAAACAGTGTAATATTAAAAACATTACTTAAAATAAATGACTTTTAATATGCTATAGAACATATATCGAATCTAATTAAAGGATATAATATAATTGATTTTATAAAAACTCTGTATATTTTATACGATTTCTAACTTTTTTGTTTTCTATAACACTTTTTTGAATAAGAATTTATTTTTCTTTTTTGTTTTTTGTTTTTATTTTGTTGCTTTAGTTTAGGATTCACAAATTATTACCATCAGGGCGCTTAGGAGTACAAATATAGATATGTTAGGAGAGTTTTGAGCCTTTAGCTTATGGAAGTCAGAACAATGGTCTAGCATGTCTTCAATATATATTTATGGTTTAAGTTCAAAATTTATATTAAACTAATAAATTTTTGTTTCTTAAGTATTGTTTCAATGTGGTCAAGTATTAGGTTAGGTTAGGTTACACCGACGATCCCAAGGGATCCACTCAGTCCTATACGCGCCCATTATGCTACCGTATAATTAAAAACTCAATGGTCAGAACCACTTAGAATCTGTGGCAAAAATTATACTGCTATTCAGAGGGAAGTCTTGCAGTTCGTCATGATCCTCAAAAAAGAAATCCTCTAAAGTGATAAGATGGCGACGCGCATGTGCTGGAGATACTTTCATCGTCTTATCCACAATTGACGAAAGTATGGTTGAAAGGAAAATTTAGTCTTCTAGCAATGATATCTCTACAGGGCACCTCAATGAGAGAGTTTGATTGTATTTTATTAGAATGTGGCTAAATTGCGTACAGATGCCTGCATATCGTTGAGTCTTCCCATCTTTTATTAAAAAATTCGGCACAGGAAGAACTCAGTGCCAGCTTGAATAATATGAGTGATATGCCCAGTGGCTAAGTATTAGTTTTATTATATTTGTAAGGATCTTCCGCGAAAGGTTTATAATTAAAGAAACAATAAAGAACTATATATAAACGCTTAAATTATAACGCCAACGTTTATTTATTTTTATATATATAAATATATATATATATATATAAATATATATATATATATATAAATATATAAAATATATTGCCGACATTTGCATTTATTCTTTTGACTTTCATACTTCTTGAGGAACAAGTAAAAATTTGTTTCGAAATAATTATTTTATTTATTTGTAAGTTAACACTAAAATTAATTTGAAAGTTAACTAAGAATAAGGAACTAGATCACTAGGTCCTTGGCCCCATCGTTTCAAAATATATATTAATTACTAAGCTGAATTGCTTATACTAGTGATTCTCACAAGCTAGTCCGTAACTAGTCCTTTCTCCAATATTTCAACTATCTTCGAAATTAGTCATCTTGAGGGAAACTGAAGATAGTCGAAATATTGGAAAAATATTTTAATAAAATATAAATTGTTTTTAAATATAAATGATAAATTATAGTTTTTTTATTTCTATTTAAATGACAAATTAACGCGCTAATAAAGTATTATTTCTTTATCTTTCTTTATAAATTGTTATTGTACGACGAAGTACGACAATAAACCATATAAACCATATAAATAATAAACCATATAAAATAGAACAGACTTAATACTACTAAACAGCAGTAGTCTTTTTAAACAATCAAGTTTTTGAAACCTTTCAAAAAATAAGACCCCACACATTAGGTTTTAACTAAATTCGATCTCAACTGACGTGCGTAACATTTTAAAAAGTTATTATTAAACGCGATATTCGTACATTGTAGAGCTATGAGATCTATCATGTTAGTTTCTAAGGATAAGAACAACAACAATATTTCATATATATATCCGTATATCATTTATGTAAATATATATATAAATATTTGTATTGTACATACCTTCATCATGTAAAGCTTTGCAAATGCTTAATATTTTCTCCAAAGGACGATCAGCCTTCACCAATTGTTTAATAAAGAAAGTACCGACATCAACTAATTGCCCATCTACACGTGTTCCGCGTGGCATGATTCGCAAAATTTTAAAGCTTGTATCTTCATAACCTTTATTAACTAAACGTAAAATAACGTTTACTGCATCTTGATTGAAACCTGTTGAAATGCGCAATTTGGCAAGAACTGCATCAACTTTATCGCCATGACCATTTATCGTTAAATGATATACAACATCTAGCAAATCTTTGTCCAGCAAAAATATCTCCTTTACCTCGCACTCCTCGAGGGTTTTTAAAATAGATTCTATATCTCCATGACGACCGAAAGCACATAGCAGTGTGGTATATGTATCTGCGCTTAGTTCCAAGCCAGCTTGTGCCATTACAGTCAAAATACCTTTTGCAGATTCAAGATCATTTGCCTGAAATATACATGGTACATGGCATAATTAACAAAAATAATTTTAAAGAAAGCTTTAACAAATACTTACTTGGGAATGGCCAAGTATCAGTGAATTGAAAACATTTTCATTGACTGGCAGATTCTTTTCACGCATAAACTCCAAAATGCGTGTGGCACCTTCGATATCGCCTTGTTGACAATAACGTGTTATGAGACGTTGATAAGTTACTCGATTAGGTTCAATATTCTTTGATTCGATTTCGCTTAGAAAATCAGTGGGTGAAAATTGATGTTCATTTTCCAAATACACACGCAAAAGTGCATTGTAATGAGATATATCCATTGGCACATTTAAAGCATTTAATGTTTTCCATATTTCCTGAACGAGTGCAGTACGTACTTCTGGTAGTTCTTCTGGCACAAGATTACCACAACAACGTATCACCAACAGCGATTGCGAACTAGTAGCGGTTCGTTGCGAACGTATTTCTTCCATTACTTCTTCGATATCACGGCGTGATATACGCCCGACTCGCCGAACATCTTGGTCAAGTCGACGTATTTGCTTTTCTAAACTTAAATCTGCTTTCGGTGCAACGTTGTTGGCATAGCCGCTGAGTCAAGAAGAGAAAAAAGTAATATATGTAAATTATAAACATTGCAATAGTCGTAACCATAATTTTTAGGTTATGCTGAGAACTTCAAATGTTTTACAAAAAACACTAATTTTATCAATAAAAACTAAACCGAACTGTATATTATTTTGCATGACATCAATAGTAGGTTTAAAAGAAAAACATAATTTATTTCATCATCACATGCCTGATATTGCGTAATGCACTCGGCTGCCATCAGCCGGTGAACAAGATACTTACTGCTGGAATGGACTGCACATGCATGGTGTGTTTTGTAACAGAGTTCCACTTTCTGCATCTCGTATTGAATTAACAACAATATTTCTTGTGAACCCTGCGAAATGACGCAACAATTTTCCGGAACGCAAAATAGATGCCATTTCTTAAAAATTAATTATATTTATTTTAAGTAATACCACACCACACACAAAGTTAGCACACTTCACAGAAATTTCTTTTCTATTCGAACCTCCGCGTTGCCAATACGCTTCACTTGTGCGTGAAAATTCGCGAAATGTCAAACAAGACATTAACAGCTGATTGTGTTTTAAGGCAATGTTCAGCTTTTAAATTTTAATATTTAACATTAAAATTTAATGTTTAATCTTTAATTAGTATATAATTTATTAAGACATTTATATTAAATCAAACTAATATTAATATTTAGCAAAATTGTGAAAAATAAATATTTTAAAAAATATACACATAAATATGTACAAAAATTTATTGGAGCACATCAAGAAAGTGTAATTAAAAAGCAATTTAAAATTTTTAACTTATTAGTTGCTAACAAGAATATTCTTAGGCCGTGTGCGAGTTCAAGTAAATTGAGGTGAAGTAAATTGATTTACCCAGGGATTTTTTCCACTGTACTTAAGTAAATTTTTATTTATTTATTGCACTTATTATTTTTGGTTAAAAGTTTTCAAATTTATTTATTAAACATCTTTTAAAATTTTCGCAAGGGTAACACCTAATTTATTTAATTTTTATCTAATTTACCCTACTTGAAATTCAAGTAGATACCAACATTCGGTGCCATACCGACATAATTTACTATTTCCCTCAATTTACTCGAACTCGCACACAGCCTTATTATGGCAATAAATATTCTAAACTATTATATATTTTGTTGTAAAAGGAAATTTCAAAATTTCGCTCATTGTTAACATTGTTTTTAATTCATTATTCATTTTAATTTTCAATTTTATTATTTTTATTGTTTATTATCAATTTTTATACAAAATGTCATTTGCTTGCATATGTAAGATTTGTTATTTATGAAAACATAACATTTGACAGATTGAAACAGTGATGCCAATATCTTGCTTAGCGCTTATAGTAAGCAACTTGTTTTTTGCCACACTTCGGAACTGCCGAATGCAGTAAAACATTTTAGTTTTGTTTTAATTTTTGTTTACAAAGAACAGATAATTGGCATATTCGCGAGCCATTTTCGGGCAATGTAAACGCCATATTAGAAGATTAAATACTCAACAACTGGTCTGTTAGATAAAGTAGTATTGTTGTTTTGCGTACAAATTAGAGACTTAAGCAATACACTTGTTGTTTTCTGTCTCATTTTGGAGCAGCCGAATGCAACTATTGTATATTATTGTTAAAAACAAATAAGAGCTGATTTCATAGATCATAGAATCTGCATTTTTATAAGCCCTGTTATTCTGTAATTGTAACCTTGGCACTTGGTAGTCAGCTTATCGAGCTAAAATTAAATGTCGCCAAATTATTTAACTACTTTATTGTGAACGTTTATCGAAACCAAACCATACAATAAAAAAAAGCTAAATGAAAAGTTGAAAAATTCACATTTTATATATAAGAAAAACTAAATTTTGTGCTTAATTTTCAAATATTGACTTTAATGTGACTTTAAATCTTTTTAATAGTTTTATATAATAGTACTTTTTAAATTTTTAATGATTTTATACACATTATTATATAAAAATGAATAATTTGTTTTATAATTTTATTTAATTTAATATGTAAGAAATATAAGCTTGTATTTTAAAACAAGCGTGTGTCTTTCTAAACTCAAATGTCAAAATATTACTTAACAGGTATTAACATATTTTTTATCAATTATTATTTTACTTAGTTCCACTGGAATATGCCTATATAAGCTTATTTATAGCTTATATATAAATTCCATGAGTTAAACGACGACCTAAGTTTAACAACGACCCTAAACTGTATACTATTTCCTTAAATGTGAGTTGAAAAATATAATATATATCTATATACAAATATATTCTAGTATTTAAAATGTTTACTCGATCATCACATTTTTCGAACATTTTTAAGCAAATATATACATTTGTATTGATACATTACTACATATGTATAAATACACATGTAACCAGATACCCAGTCTGTCCTAGTTCATGGCTGGCAGTAATTTAATGTTAAATAAATAATATTTATATTATGTGACACTCACTAGTAAAAGTTTTAATAAAAACAAACAGAACGCTCGATGGTGAAAAACAAATTTCGAACAAAAACTTATTTTCAAAAATAAAACAATTTTTAATAATGTTCCAGTGAATAAACTATTCATAATTGAACAAACTTATATCAATAAGTATAATATTTCGTACAAAATCCATACAGAAAGTACGATTATTGTAAGTGTAAACACAATATTACAATAAAAAAATATAAATAATTAACTTTTTGAAGCCACGTTTAAATTTATATTATTCATCTTTTATAATTTAATTTTTAAGTAATTTAATTCAATTAAATTTAATATTTAACTTTTAATTTTTTGAAACACTTGATATTAATTTTAATTTGTTCTATATATTTTGTTCCTCGTTGTGTAAACATTTAATTTTAATAATGTAATATTCACTAATAGTTATGTGTGTAAACAGTGTTATATATTAGAATTATATTTATATATCAATATTAATGTATGACAAATTTAAATTTTTTTTAGCTCTGTTAAAAGCTGTAAAAAAAGAGTATTATTCTTTTTTTACAGCTTTAAACAAAGCTAAAAGGATTCTTAACGATTTTTATTTGATATGCTATACTCCTGCTAAAATGCTAAAGTATAAAATTGCTATATATAAACATGATTTAAATCAAATTTTTTAAAATTATACGAAAAGGTAATTCATAATTTTAATAAAAAAAAATTTTATTATTAATTTTTTTGTTATTTTTACTAAATGAAATTATTTATCAAATTGTCAGCGGGCAACACAAAAAACTGTCACTTGTAGTGTTGCCATTAAATTTTTTTCTGTTTTTGTGACGCATGACCAGGTGCACAACTAACAGCTGATTTTATTTATTATCAAAAGAAGTAATATTGACATATGCACTGCTCGGTGTGTATGCACGCTCACTAATTGCGAAATAATAATAATAATAATATTATTAATAAAATATCGAAAGTGTTTAACGTAAAATGCTACAAATTGTTAATAAATTATCTAAAAGTTATGGTATTAATATTGTAAGGAATTTATGCACTATAAATGTAGTGCGAAACTCAGCGGCACAAGCGGAACCATTAACCGCAGCGGAGGGTAAGATAGAAATATGTAACTTAATTACAGAAATTTAATACAATTAAAAATTATAGAATTTCGTAGAAAGCAAGTCAAATTTAATATAAAAGCGGATCATGCGGAGGGCAGACCATTGTACCTGGATGCACAAGCCACAACGCCTTTGGTAAATATTATTTTATATATACAATATTAATTACATTTTATGAAATACATACTATTTTACAGGACCCTAGAGTCTTGGATGCTATGTTACCGTATTTAACAAACTTTTATGGTAACCCACATTCTAGGACTCATGCATATGGTTGGGAAACCGAAAAGGCTGTGGAGAAAGCACGTGAGCAAATAGCAATTCTAATTGGCGCTGATCCAAAAGAAATTGTTTTTACATCCGGTGCAACTGAATCAAATAATATTGCTGTAAAAGGCGTAGCAAGGTTTGTAAACAATATTTTTTTACTAACGGTTTTAAAGCATTTACTTATTGCTCTGAAAATAGTTTATAGTCAATAAATGCATATTATAATTACAATTTTTAAGTAGAATTTCACTTAAGCACATATACATTTGCATCATTTTGATGAAAAAAGCCTCTTAATATAGATATGCCTATTATATGGCTATATAAGGTATTGCAAATGTAAACAAATCATTTATTTCGTACTTAGTTGATAAGAAGCGCAGCAATATAAACTCACTTGAACTTTATTCATATTGCAGCTTTTTGTGTTGAATGAATGAAAGAAACAAATATTTTTGCAGTCAAATAAAATTTCGATTAAAGTTAAGAAAAATGTTAATAAACTTAAATTTAAAACGTTTTAAAACAGTATAAGCGAAGTTAAAAAACTATTGTCCGACTTTTAACTTATTTTGTGAAATTAATGTAACATTAATCAAAATAATTCGACACAATACAAAGAAGACCTAATTTTGTGGCCTATGCAGCTCTGGTATGAACCCCACAACTCTGCGAGACGTAATGAAATAACACTCAATCATACAGGTTTACGGACTGCAACAGGCTCTTATCAAATGTTGACCATTTTCCTGCAGAATCTAAAATATTTCTTGTAAGAGAACATAATCAACTGCTGTCCAAACAATATCTTCTTGTCCATCTAGCATCATGTTTAGTAAAGCCTTTCGTCTAAGATGCTTTCGTCGATTCCTGTTTTCATATCACAGATATATCAACACTTTTTGCAAATAAGCTTACATTGGTGAGATCGATTATAAACTTATAAACATGAACTTACAGCTGTCCACACAGATGCAGTTTTCTCTTCGAGACCACAGTTGCATTGCAACAAATCTACTATCTGTAACATAAGTATTTTTAGAAGATTAATATAGATTCTCAAATACTATATGCTTTATTTAATCAAGCTAGATTAAGAACGTTTTTTTAATGCAGAAAAGCACACAAATATCCGATTACCTCAAAACTGCAATCACATTTAAGTAAACTTAACAAACTGAATAATCAAACTTCCTTCAAACCTTTCAAAGTTAACCCACCAATATTAGATTGATCCTTATATACGATCCAAATGGGTACATTTTGCCAAGCCTGTTTTGAAATTATATAAATGATAATTTTTATTATTGTTGAAGATTCAATGCTTTTACATTTATGTGAGTTTTGACTGCGCAAATGTCACAATTGTATGAAATACTAAAATGTTAACAAACTAATCAATTATTTATTGCTTTTACTAATATTGGAAATATCGCTTATTCTGTGTTAAAGAATTAGGTGCATAGATACAATATGTACTCCGGTGCCTCCGATTCGAGCGCCGGCAAACATGTGCCCCAGAAAATTTGATATTGCAGGCCGGCTGAGTTTGACGCCATGTCGTTCTATAGTTCTATAGTAATTTGTAAATTTCAAGTACAAGGGCCATGCAGCTCTTAACCTGGCTGCGGAAGAAATATGTGCTCAATTTATATTTTCCCGTCGCAAAAAGTGGTCATAAATCAATTTTCCGTCAATCGATTGGTTTTGTTAAAAATCAATTATTTATAGAACCGTTGCATTGGACTGGAAAAATAGAATGCATAGGTTGAGAAAACACTATTCCACTACAGACTATAATATTAAAAGAAGAAGTAGAACGATGAGTTTGCATGGAAATACAAAACCAATGTTTTTTCAATAAATAAATTAGCTTTATAGTATCTTCGATGTAATTAACATTTCTTTAAACACTATTTCTTGGCAAACATAGTATAATATTTTTCCGGCCTGTGTGAGGTGTATTAGAAAAAAAGTATTGACTCAAAGACTGAAAGATATTAAACCCTACTGTTTTATTATTTTTTGTACATTACTTAATTGAACCGGATGATGCTTCTGTAAATATAGTTTTAGGCTCCAGAAATGACCAGAACTGAGCACTACGACGACCATAGTAGTTCTTTTTTCCTAGTAAACAACCTTAACCGTGCAAAAAATGCACAACCTTTCTACTGAAGGTCAAAACTCTGCCATTGAGCATTTTTTAATATTAAACAGGGATGGAAGTCATCCGCTCTGACATAAAGGAGAATTTTAGTGGACTTTTCATCTGTCCGCAAGCTAAGCCGACAGTTTGCTTGTAAAGCAAAAGTAAAACCGCAACTACAATAGTACAATTACCGAATTAAGTGTTGTATCCATAGAGTATATATGTCAAACAAAGCCCTAGGACTAGGATTCCAAGAATAAGAATACTATTGGTAGAGTTATAGCATTGCGTATTGCAAAATATTTGCTATTATTTTTTAATAGGTGACAATAATACCTATTTATTCTATAGATCTGTATATATATTAAAAAATTAATAATAATTTTAAAATATTTCTACCATAAAGTTCCCACTAATACATGCTTTATATTTCAGATTTTATGCCAGCAGAAAGAAGCACGTTATAACAACACAGACTGAGCACAAATGTGTTTTGGATTCATGCCGTGCATTGGAGAGTGAAGGATTTCGTGTTACCTATTTACCAGTGCAAACAAATGGAATTATCGACTTGAAGATATTAGAAGAGGCAATGACACCCGAAACCTCCTTGGTATCAATTATGACAGTCAACAATGAAATTGGTAAATATCAAAACAATGCATCACCTATATACATATTTCCATAATATATATTTATTCATATATAAATATATTGTAGGCGTCAAGCAGCCAGTTGCAGAAATTGGCGCTTTATGTCGTGCTAAAAAAGTATTCTTTCATACTGACGCTGCCCAAGCAGTTGGTAAAATTCCAATTGATATAAATGCTATGAATGTAGATTTAATGTCAATATCTGGACATAAGATATATGGTCCAAAAGGTGTTGGTGCTTTGTATGTGCGTCGCAGACCACGAGTACGCGTTGAGCCCATACAAAGTGGTGGTGGACAAGAACGTGGTCTACGTAGTGGTACTGTACCTGCACCACTTGCTGTTGGTTTAGGTGCTGCAGCTGAATTGGCAATGAATGAATTGGAATATGATAAGAAATGGATTGATTTTCTATCTAATCATTTAATCGAACGCATCACAACCGCTTTACCACACGTTATACGTAATGGTGATCCCACACAGACTTATAGTGGTTGCGTTAATCTTTCATTTGCTTATGTGGAAGGCGAATCATTATTGATGGCATTGAAGGATGTAGCTTTGTCTAGTGGATCTGCTTGTACCTCAGCATCATTGGAACCTTCATATGTGTTACGTGCAATTGGCACTGATGAGGATCTAGCACATAGTTCTATTAGGTAATATTCTGAAGATGTTTTCTTTTACAAAAGATCTGATCGCAAATTTTAAACATACATATTTTTTTTTTTATTACACAGATTTGGCATTGGGCGCTTTACTACTTTGGAAGAGGTCAATTACACAGCTGACAAATGTATTAAACATGTGGAACGTTTGCGTGAAATGTCACCACTCTGGGAGATGGTGCAAGAAGGGGTCGATTTGAAAAATATACAATGGTCGCAACACTAAAATCCTTCAAATTATAAACATTTTCTGTTATAGTTTTTTTGAAGTTTTTGGGTTGAATACTCATATCACAAGTGCGTGTTAAATTTATTCCTTTTATATATACTTTGTTTTTATTACACAAATGCTGTGGTTTATTATTTAAATGGAAAAGAGAGAACGAGTATAATTGCTATAAAAACTTATTTTTATAATTCACATATTTGTATATGAAAAGGCGAATATATTTTAAGCTTAACAAAATATTAAATATAAAAGCTTTGATTATAGTTATAAAACATCATATATATGTATAGTTATATATATTTATATATATGTATATTGATATAAATACATATATATTATAATTCTATTAAATCGTTATATATTAAAAAATAATAATTCTATTATTATTTCATTGTTATTCCGTTGTTATCGAAATTACTTAAAAAATTTAATTAGTTTATTTAATGATGTCATTAAATAATGACGTAATGGAATATAACGTACTTTTGTAGTAGTACGTTATATTCCATTACTTTTTTACAAGGATATTTGGGATGTCAATTATTCACATTTTAACGACTTATACCTAACCTACCCACATTAGATAATTTCAAACCAAAGAACATTAACCGATTGATGACATATAATACTATGTATATAAAATAATATTATTTATCTATCTATCTATTTATCTTTGCTGAACAAACTATCAGTTGCTGACTTCATTCTCCATATCACCGGGCAGCTAGTTTTACCGATTATCTTATCAACTCTGTGCAGAAAGTATAATTTCTTATAAAAGCTAAAATTTGAATTTGAGTATCTTATATATATAAGTTATATAAGAATTAAGTCTCTACGGAAGATAATGTTATATTTTATGTGCTGATGAACAGAAGTGGAACAGATGGTGCATGGGGTTTGAATTACAGTTTGGACATTAAAAATTGACGTATTTATGCGTGTGAAGTAAATGTTTAGCACATAATTATATGTTAATATCAATCAAGCTATGACAGTGGTCTCGAAGAGAATACTGCATCCGTGTAGAGTCGTTTGTCGAATGTTAACGAATGGTTTACCTTTAAATTCATTTGAAGTAACTACTAACTGTATATTGCCATCATTAATATTCATCTTTGTTGTTGATAAGGTAATAAGGCTATCTCTACGCTGTAAGACGGTTTTCAAAAAACCGTTTATTTACTTAGTTGGAGTCTAAAGAACTTAAAAGATAACATTGCATGTGACAAAAGTGTCGGTTGGCGGATATAGCTTCATATTCAATTTTCTCATACTAATATACGATGAAAACGTCAAAGGTGTGAACTACTTTAACTAAGTTGTAAGCATTGTTACACTACGAAACAGAATTGATAAAACAGAAACAGAATTGACAGGGGAAAGAGTTCTTTCCACCATTTTAAATAAATGTCAGAACCTAATTTTAATTACCATAAAGTATGGCATTACAAATCCTATCTAGAGTCTGTATATCTCTATATCTGAATCAATAAGTTTAAAACTTAATTAAGTTGGTTTGAATGAAATCTCTTAAAGAACTATAATATTATAAGATGATACAGTTAATAAAATAATTTTAATAGATCAAAAATTATAAAATTTACATAAAGATAAGTTTGTGGCGCTCCATTGAGGTTTTAATTACGTTACGATAATGAAGAGTACACCAATAATGACTAGATATGATATGGTATGAAGTGCATATTAAAAAGATATTGTATTACTATTACTCAAGGGGTGAGCAAAGTTATATAGATAGTTAAACCGATTGAACACATAATGCAATATAAAATAAAATTAAACATGAATAAATAAATTAATGTATGGTTCTAAGTTTTTTATGGTATGGTCTAAACAAAGCATAAGACATGATTTGAAAGCATTTATATTTTTTAAACTTGATTAAATCAGAGTAGAAAAATTATTAGCTTTTACGTAAGACTTTCACTTTCATCTTATCTAATTTAATTCTCAAGAAGACTCAATAAAATAAAGATATTATTACAACAATAAAGTCAACATATACAACGCGACAAAAAAACTGAAGTCAATTTTTTGACATGTCATATTAGTAGTACTTTAACTTAAATAATGAACATATAAAAAGGCCAAACAGCACTGTCATCTGATAAAGCCTGAATATTGTGCATATTAAATACATGAAAGAACCATACAAATTATACCTATATAAAGGCACGTAGCCAATAGGGAAGTAAGAGGCTGAAGTACCCCTGAAATGAATCGAAGAACTCTATATATACTCTATATAGAACTCTATATATACTCTATATAGAACTCTATATATACTCTATATAGAACTCTATATATATATTGATTTTTACCGTCTCATAACTGTTAATAAGAAAAAAATTTATTTTTAAATTAGTGAAACTAACTGAAAGACAATGAATTTAAGGATATATCTAAATTGTTTTTCTTAATTTCTTGAAAGCCACCTCGAAGTACATTCGAGGCTGTGCTCCTACTTACATAATTAAGAATTCAATATTAATTGACGATTAAGTATATATATCTATACTTTTTTTCCTCTGGCAACGATTTATTATTCATTGCCTATTATAAAGAGAATAAAAAATCCAACCATGACATTTGGTTTTAATTTAATTGCATACTTTTAGGTATGCCAAAAAAATAAATTTTTCAAATTTATAAATTATTAATTTTTTCAAATTAATTTTTTCTTCGTTCCATAAATTAACAAAGGCTTTATTAGAAAACTTAACATGAAGTTAATCGATGGATTTTGGGTAGCGATCAACGGAAACAATATCTTACAGGCCAATGATTCTTAAAGAAAATAAAGCTATTAAATATAAATTAAACAATGAGTAATAAACAAATAAAATAAAGAGTTCATGATGGTTCCAAGAAAGATCCGAAGGCACTCGTCGTGACCAAGTACTGTTTGACACCTCCAAAAAGAACTTCAGAAGCAGGTTCCAGTGGGTTACAACAACAACAACAGGTCATCATACAATAGTTTGAAAAAACCAAATACAAAAAAGTTTTTCCAAGTTTTTTCACGGGTATAATTACTAATTCTGGTATACTTACTTAATCGTAATCTAAGTAATTAAAATTAAATCTTATTGATTATTACGAAAGCCTAATTGAGACAAAACTCTTTAAGATAATCCACAAAAACGATTATTGCTTACTATAGTAAGTGGCAATAAATTTATACTCTATATAATTGCAAAAAAAAAAATCTTTTAAACAATAATAAATTGAGTTAAATAAACGTGCAGGTGTATTTTTTACTGATACTGATTCTGATAATTTAACTACTTTAAAAATCGAGCGATAATATTAATAGTTTAATTAAAAACTGATAACAGCGATGAGTCACGTTTTTAACTGTTATAAGCGGACTATAAATTTAAATATATGTTATATATAACATATTAATAACATCTTTTTGGAATTATATTCAACTAATTTTATTAGATATTGAGACGTTACAGGATAGTCTTCGCAAGCAACAAAGGGGCTTTTACGTGTACCCATCATATATATGACAATATTAAAAGACTCAAAAAACTTGGAATTTTTTGAAAATAATTTAATTTGGATAAAAGAGATAATGGATAAAAGGGTACTCATAACTTTGTACTCCACAATGGAACATTAAGTGACATATTCGCGGCGATCACAAGTTTTGTATAATAAAACTACCTTTTATGATCACTACTCAGTTCTTAGGCCCTATGCTCCACTGGGAGATAAGAATAAAAGAGAGAGATAGAGAAACTCAGTGGATTCATGAAAATTGCGCTAATGATAAACACGGTATCAGTTTTAAACAATCTACCTTGAAAATCTGGAATATGCTGATGATATAGTACTGTTATATTAGAGTTATTAACGTATGTAATGTAGCTAATCGGCAAAGGTTGAATTAAAATTTCCAAAACGAAGTAAATACTTATTAAAATATCCAACAGCAACATCTCTTTATAATTTACTATACAAGTTGAAGAGAAGAAGTTAGTAGACGTCATCGGCTTTACATACTTGGGCAGCGTTATCTCCACGGATGGTGGATTTAAAGCATATACTAAACTACGTATCATTTAATAAATAAATAATCTATATGATTATAATCTATATGATCTGTCACAAACGAAATGAAGTCAAAATTGTATTGATTTTCTAATGAACTGAGACAAGTAATTAAACATAGTAACTATTAAGCACGATTTATAGAAGCTCTATCTTCCTAATAGTGACCTTTAATAGCTCCTTAAAGCATATAAATAGTTAAGTTATTAAGTACAGCTTTAAATATAAGAAGTAATTGCAGAAAAAAAGTATAGGAAGAACTTAAATAACTTATTTTACCAACTAATGTTGCTTTTACATTCAGTGTTATTATTATTTTAATCCCCTCCTATTCATCCTATTCAAAAAATGGACCTAATCAAATTTTTAGGAATTATACTTTTCGTAAGTGTTTCTGATAACCTATAGAATAAACGTGAATGAAAACAAACATAAACACTAGTAAAATATTATTTTACTATTTATTTTATTATTATTTGTTTCCAAATTATAAACGGCCTATAAACAAATTAAGAAATGAGTACTTAACAATACTCGAAATAGCGTTGTATGGTCAGCCAAATTTCAAAATAAATTTACAAAATTTTTGTGCTTCTCTTTTCTTTGCTATTAGAACCCCTCTAAATTTTAAGGAAATTAATTTGTATTGAAAAATTCAATTATATTTATTTGCTATAATAAAACACATGTACATATGAACATATCTATACCAGGTCAGGTCGATTTGCTTGATAGAAAAATCTCGATAAAGGCGTATAGAAAGGGACGATTCTATGGACAAAAATTCAATTAATTTAAATAATATAGAAAAGAATTTTTGTTGTTGTAGTTCACTACTTTTCGAAACCTCTCTATTAAATACAATAGTTTCTATTAAGTAAAATTGTCACTTTAAGACATTAAAATCAAATTTACTATATACAAATGAATGAAATAAAGACTTTTATATAAAATCTATGCCAAAACGTTTTTGGCAATTCAGCCATTAAATGAAGTAATTTATTTAAGTTAATAAATTACTATAATGCAAATATAAAGTACATTTAATAAACTTAAAAATTATTTAATAAACATAATTTTTTTTCTATTCGAATAAACTATATTAGTGTGCGAATTGCTGCATTCTTACAATTTTTAAGTGCAATATATACATTATATTTAATTAACCAATAATAAATAGATATATTATTAAAAAAATGATTTGAAGTTATTGTGATCAATTGTATATAACTTTAATTTTTTATGTATATAAACTCAAAGTATGAAATAGTTTAGTGTTATTATTTAGATCTTATATTCTAATGTATATGTTGTAAATCAAAATGAGTTATGTTTCAAAATAGTATATATATATATATATAGTATATAAATAGTATATATATATATATATAGTTTATATATATCATATATAGTAATATAAATATATACAAAATAATGACGCATTATGTTAAAGTCTTTAAGTCTTTGAGATTAGTAGGAAGTATCATATAGATTATATTGTAATAGATTAGTCAGAAAGAATATACATAAAGAATAAGAGTAGAAACAGTTTAGAAAAGCAAAAAAACACAGTATTAGAGAAAATGTTATTCCTCATAAACTTTTTTTTTTTACAAATTTTAATTTTAAATAAAATAAAAATAAAAATTTAATTTTGGGTACTATAATTTATTCTCGATACTTATGCTAAGTAACACCAATTAATTTATTTGACCTAAGTCTAGAATATCTTCTTTCGGTCACCATGAGGTTCAGTTTTTTTTTTTCAATCGTTGTACCTCGTCATTTAAGTGCAAGTAAATAAATTAAAATGAAAAAAAAAATATGATAATATATATATATTTATCCATTTATGAGAAAAAAAAATTGATAATTTTTGTTTTCTCTTTTATCATTGTTTTTTTGGAATATATATAAAAGAGGTTGTTCACAATTAAGTCTAAAAAAAATTGTGTAATTTCAAAGACAAACACAAAAAGTAATCACAATAAATTGCAAATAATTATAAAATATTTTTTTATCATTAAAAATGTTTGGATTATATAAAAACTAATAACGAAACATTAAAATAAATTAATATTATGTTTACATTTTCTTATTTACGGACATCAATTAACTATAATTGCTATATAATTAACTACAATATTGTGGTAATTCAATTAACGAATAGTAAAACAAAACAGAAATTGAAATAGAATAGCAAATATCACAAAAAAAAAATAAATATACATATAATAAAATTTAATAAAAATTATTAAAATTTATGAATTAAATTTATTTAAAATTTAAAAAATAAATATATAAAAACTATTAAAGTATCGTCGTTCAATTTAAAAAATATTATTAAATTTTAGAATATATATTTTTTAGAAATTATTTTAGTTAAAGAATGGAATTTAATATAAATTATTAAAATTTAAGAATTAAATTTAATATACTATAAATATACTATTTTAACTTTTAGTTATATAAAGAAGTATAAATAAGTAGTAAAAAAAAAATAAATAAATATACAATAAAAAATTTCGATCAGCAAGAAATTTCAATTAAGTGATGAACTAATTTAAATGCATAAATATTTATATTAATATAAATTTTAAATAATTTAAAATATCTATTATTTTGCAGAAAAAATAAACTAATATTTGTAATAAAAAATAATACTATAATAACAAAAGTTAGTTTTTTTATTCTTACTCAGTGTACACTGAAGATGGTCAGAAATATTTGTAATATAAATAATTTTGTATAAAAATTAAAATATGATTAAATACTTAACACAGTGTAATTATTTATTTAAAAAAACATTTATAATTTTATGTGTTAAATAAACGACCTAAACTCAGTAACAATGAAAAAACTAATTGAATATTGTTCGTAATAATAATTTATAAATAATAAAAATTATTATAAATAATATAAATTTTTATAAATAATATGAATTATTATAAATAATAATTTATAAATAATATTAAGTAGTAAAATTATAAATTATTAATACTCAACATTTGATTAAAAAATTCTTATATATAATTATGAAATATATAGTTGTGTTTAATGTATAATAATAGAAATTTTTTTTAAAAATATATTTCTTTTTGTGTTTATTGTAAAAGCAACTTGCTTTTAAGTAAAACAATAATACTATTAATAAAGTGTATTATTTTATTAAGACTAGTTTTATTTTTTTTTTCTATTGCCTAATAGCTTTTCAAATATCGTGTTAAACTCTGCTTGGGAAGGTCAACGATTTCATTTATAATTTAAAACCATGTCAAACTCTGCTCTGATACTGTGTCACTCACTTTTGTGCATTTTTCTTTTATTTATTTATTTAAATAATAAATATTTATATTGAGTATCATTTATATAGAGTTGTCAGACTATGCAAACTACCAGTTTCAAAAGTAGAGAAGCATGTCGTTAAATACTAACACGTAGATAAAGTGGCGATGGACTTTAATAAAATTACTGATACAGAGTAATAATAGAAATTTTTTTTTTAGTCAGAGAATTCTTGTTGTTGTTATTTAATAAACTTGAGTTCTATCAAGACTTCTGCCAATACTAAATAGTATCTGTAAAGACTATGTTTACACTTACAATTATCGATCTTTACTAGCATATGAATAATGGCATTTATGGCTTGATATTTGTCAAGTTAATTGCGTTAGTAATTTATGGATTCGTAAAGCATTCGTAAAAATGTCGGAAAAGTACCTTTACTGAGAAATTTTGTTTTACTTTATTTTATTATCACTAAATTTTTAGTAGTTTTGAGAGTACAAAGGTGTCTAAGTCGGAGGAAAGTATTTATCTGTGTCCTATTAAAAGACGTGATTGAGCACAAGTGGTTCGATATGCAATATCTGTTTTTATATAGAAAATATTACTCCAAAGAGCAATTTCCAATTTTTTAACCTTTATCACTGGATGGTGACATACTTTTTTAAAACTTATCTACTTGCAAACTGTGTCGTTTAATGGAATTATGGAGTTATTAATTATAATCTAATGTTGACCATTGTTCACGTGCTTATGTTATTAAACAAAAAACTAAAAAATAAGCAAAGATTACATAATACTGACCAATATTTATACAGTACACTCACAAAAGTCCATTTTTTTGTGTTTATTGAGCAGTTAAAAGTGTTGAGTTAATTACAGTTCCCCCTAACTGCCTCATTATCACTCAAATTGACTTGAAAATATTAAGTTTTATTTTTATTTTTACGTTTTACGTTTCTCTAAACAATTAAAAATCTCACATACATATATAATACTAAAGTAATAAAAGAAAATGTTTATAGTTTTCATACATTTACTATATCTTAAATGCAAAAAAATCACACTGAAAAAAAAAAAACTTTTTCTTGTCTTATTTAAAAAAGTTATTTTTATTAAATTCTTTTATACTATCGACACCAGGCTAATTGCTTAAATATACAAATGTAAAAAATATTATAATCTTTTTTGTAGACAGTTAACTTAACTAATTATTACTATTAACATTTTTTTGTTCAAATTTTTTCGAGAAAAATCGAGGTCTTTATAAAATATGTAATTCACCATTTTACTAAAATAAAATTTCATATAAAACAAAATAAAAAAATATGCATGTTATAAGCAAAAAAAAAAAACAAATGAAAGCATAGAAATCCAATAAAAGTTCAATATACTTATATACTAATAAATAGATAAAAAAGAAAAAAAAATACGTCAAAGTAGCGCTTAAGTGAGTGCAAAGGTGAATGAGGTTACAAAAATCATTAGTGAAACTTCGAAATTGCTTAGGCTTTGCATAAATTAATACATCAACGCAAAAAATAGCAAAAAATCTTACAATAACTACGACAACATCAATAACAACAATAACAACAAGTTTTGTATTATTAAAAGTAAATTATTGTAAAGCTTTTATTTATAATTAAAATGATTTAAATCGTACCATAGTTAAGTGGCTTTCTTGGCTGCATTTACCGCTGGGCTACTGCCGTCTTTACCACCGCCCAGTATCTTCTTGCGTTGTGCAACCATATGCAAATATAACTGCGGGAATACTGGTATATAGAGCAGCATGGCAATCCAAAGTAGAGCAAAGTATGAGAATGTTGCATTCCACTTATTGGGCATTTCAACTGACCAGACAGTATGTTGTTTAGCATAGCTTTGAGCCCACCAGAAGCACAGCAATTCACCAGTCACACCAATTGGATATAGCGCAATGAACGTTGTGTAACGCAGAAATACCAAAATGTGTGGCACGAAATTGACGATATTCAAGGCGTAATATCCATAACGTATGATTTCTGTTACAGCCCAAGCAAAAAGTGCTATTGGCAGTCCTGGTGAAATTTTTCCAGTCGGTGTGGCCATCACTACACCAACTACAACCATCATTCGACTAAATACTTGGAAAGTTGTGATGACAGGATTTGATTTTACTAAGCCTAAGACAGCATTGATGACTTCGATGAAAGCAGCATTTTGGAAAATAATGACTGTCATTCGTGTGTAATCCCAGAGTGTCGTTCTAGCACGGAAACCAGCATCCTGCAACAGGTAATAGTTGACTAATTGGTACAGCAAATAACTCCAGCCGACTACTTGTGCGGCGTTATAGGCGAAGAGATACGATTTAACAAAGCGATTTTGCTCCTTTCCAGCGGATTTAGTATTTTTTGTTGCTGATGTCATTTTTATTTGTTCTTTTTTGTATTTTCCTTATTTAACAACACTTTCACTTAATTGTACTATTATCAATAGTTTCACCAATTTTTTTCAAACTATGAGCAGCGTCGACCACACGCCACCCCGATACCAATAAGCGTAATGCCCTAAGATTCGTGCTATCAGCAGATATTAATGAAAACCGGTGTACCAAACACAAGCAACTAGATATGATGTTTTTAATAAATACAAAATATTTTACTATGGTTACCATCATTCGTAAAAGTTATGTTTTAACTAAAGCCATATTAGGCCGTGTGCGAGTTCGAGTAAATTGAGGTAAAGTAAATTGAAATTTCCAAGAGATTTTTTGCACGACACTTTTTTACCCATTTAGCGCATAAAAGTGTGCGAGTTCGAGTAAATTGATGGTGAAATTTATGAAATTTATTTATGTATATATTAAAGTCGTGAGCGAGTTCGAGTAAATTGTGGAAAATAGTAAATTATGCCGGTATGACAGCGAATGTCGATATTTATCAGAATTTTGAGTAAGATAAATCACATAAAAATTTGGTGTTACCATTGTGAAAATTTTATAAGATGTTTAATAAATAAATAAATAAATTTGAAAACTTTTAACCAAAAGTAATTAATAAGTGCAATAAATAAATAAATAAATATTTACATAAGTGCAGTGCAAAAAATTCCTAAAAAAGTCCAATTTACTTTATCTCTATTTGCTCGAACTCTTACACGGCCTATGCGGACAATTATGGTCACGTCAGTGTGAAATTGTTATCGTTGCCAATGTGATAGTAGGTTCACGCTGTCCCATTTAGGTACTTGCACATTAATATTAATAAGTGAACATTCGCATTATAATGAACTAACTTCACTTAATAATAGGTCAGTTCCACGAGCTACTCGTAGTAAAACTCAAGTAAAACACAAGTAAAGTACAAACAGAGTAACACAAATAAAGTGCGAAATTAAGCTTTTTACACAGTTTTTAACGGAACAGTTTTATGTAAAGTCTGGTGAGAACACCAGTGCTGCGCAAATAAACAACACAAAAATTTAAATTCAAACCAAAACAGCTGATTCACACATCAACACAAATTTTATTTCAAATAAATTGTCTGTGTAGCATTTTCAAAATTCGACAGGGATGTTACGCTCTCTCAGATGCTCTTATTTGCTCGAAAACTTGCTATTAAAACGCAGTTGTGTATACACAGTGTTACTAAAAGTTACTACGAGTAGCCCATAGAACAGACCTAATATAATATATAACTTTCACAGCAAATTAACAAAACTTGAAATTTGAACATACAAGTCAAGTACGGAAAAAACTCAATTGATTAAAAATAATAAAAATAAATTATTGTTGTTGCAATATCACTACTGTTCGATAAAAATCTCTTTATAGAAAATAATAGTTTACATTAAGAATTTAGTTTCTTTCTTTCGTTATGCTTGCAAGGAAACAAAAAAGAAAAAAAACAGCTGTTTTGACATCTGTTGCTCCTCATGTAGATGTGGTGTGCCACAAAAACAGTTATTTAATTTTAATGTTGCAATTCTGTAACAGACGTGTTCACGTACTCTTGTAATTTTAATATAGTATTCTGACATTTCGTGCAGCTTTGAATGACTTTGCAAGACAAAGTGAATACCCATATTATATTCAAATTTTATATGCGAAGAAAAATATTGTGGGATGTGGGAAGGTAGGCACAAATCTTGTTAAAAACTAGCTAGTGTAGACGCTGTGGTAGAACCTTAACTTTTTATCTGCACTGGCTTGGTTTTTGGCAAGATTTTTTCACATACTCTCACTTTTTCACTATGATATACAAATGTTGGTTTCCATCCATGACTTTAAAATAATGCGACTTTATATTCGAACATAAAACTCTTGCCGAAGTCTAGTCGGTGAAGACATCAAGTCATTCGCGTTGTTGGGGTGAATGACACTTTAGTAGATATGTCAATTTAGCATATGTTGAATAGTTTGGAATTAGTTTCGCACTTGGTAATGCCGTGTTTAGCTGTAGTAAAATAGAACGTAGCGCGAATAATATAAATAAGTGAAATTGTTTTTTTTTAAATAATTCTGTTAAAACGGAATGGCTAATAGAATTAATGATCTTCAATTAATAAAGCTAGTCGAAGGATATCCGATATTGTATGATAAAACTTACGCCCGCAAGCCAACTACTTCAGCATGGAAGGACAAAGTATGGAAGGAAATATCCTCTGCGTTAAACGCGTCCGGTACATAAATTGCTTCAAATATTCTGAATATATTTTTAAATGAATATAATTTACAGAACGTGCATGTATAACACGCTGGAAAAGTTTACGCGATCGCTACGTAAGAGAGTACAGACGGACGCAGACAAACCACAAAGCAGTCACGAATTGGGCCATATTTCACAAATTAGGTTTTTTACGTAATAATGTAAAATTCACGTAAGTGCGTTTTTTTGTTCGTCTTTTTTCAAATAAAATTGTAGATTGCTTTGTATATTAGATCAGATCCGTTGGGTTCCGTTGTATATATGCCCAAAAAACGTAAGGCAAGAACCAGTAAAACGACAATGAGCGACAGCTATGAATCTCCAGTTGAGGATGAAATGATTGCGGATGAAATAATGATGACACAACAATTAATTGGTCTAGTGAAACAGTACCCAGTATTGTATGATAAAATAAAAATACGTGATTCCAAGAATGTTTTGGCTAAAAATGAGGCTTGGCTAGAAATATCAGATTGTTTAGGCTTAACTGGTAAATTTTGAATTTTTATAATTATTTATTAAATAATATTAATTTGAAAAAAAAAAAAATTAAAGGAGAAGAATGCTTTAATCGCTGGAAGAAGTTGCGTGATCGTTTTGCACGGGAATATCGTACAAAAATTATTTTCCCAGATCGACCAGTTCTATGGACACATTACTCTGACTTAACGTTTTTATGTGAACATTTTCGAAAGGGGTAAGCATACGTTTGCTTTTAAAATTTTTTATAATATTAATTAAATATCAATTTTCATCAATAACATAGTGTTCCTATATCGGATGACAACGTAAATTACCATCGAATGAAATCATTTAAAATTTTAAGTGATGATGAGTACAGTAATAATTTCTATGATGAATTTTCTGAAAGTGAAGAGTGCGTATTAGAAATCAATGAAGAAACTGCTGCAAAATATGAAAATAAAGTTGAAGAATCTTATTTAGCCACAGATAGCACTATCGATGATTCTAATAAACCTCATATTATATCTGTAGTGACAACATTACCTCCAACTGAAACTGAAAGTCCATGCACGAATTCTAATGAAATAATTACTTCAATATTGCCGTTAACTCTAGTTGATAATACAGCATCAACAGTGACTACAACTGAAATGAACTTAAATTCTTTAACTACGCTTAAAGCGGAACTTGAAATGCAGGCAGTACTAAGCACTTTGAATGAAATACAAGTGGCATTAGAAAGTTCTAAAAAATGTATTAATATGCTAACTGAAAAACTTGAACAGGAAAGGGAAAAAAACACGAAACACATAATTAAACCTAACTTCATGCAGAAACTTTCTGTATTATTAGACATGCATACTGGCGGTATACAAAAAGCAGCTACAACTAAAATACTTCAATTTATAAAAGAGTGTAAAAGTCAAGTTGAAAATGGAGAACAAATTGAAAATCTTGACCCAAAAAATTTATTACAATATATCTACTTAAAATAACATTAATTTATGCATGTAACACTTCATTATACTAAAATCATTTATGCTTTTTTTTATTGTAAATATTAGTATTAAATTAAAAAATGTATTAAATTGTGTTATTGTTTGTAAGGCTTTTATAATTATTACAATATAATAATAACTGTAATTATATATAAAACTTTTTGCATATACATGTATACATGTATACATATACATATACATGTATGGTAAATATTAATTTGAATGAAATTTTATTTTATTTATTAGATATAAATATTAAATATTTTTATTGATATGCTAAAAAATTTCGAGCATATATTTCATCACATAACAATTACTAAAACTGATTATATGTTGAATATTTATTTTATATAATTAAATACTTTTAAAGGTATTTTATAATAGTTTGGAATTTGTATTCCATTCTGTAGAGTTTTCATGCGAGTATGCGTTTATGAGTGATAAAAAATATTATTACTAATATTTTATTTTACTATTAATAGTAATTATGATTACTATGCGTTTATGAGTGATAAAAAATATTATTACTAATAATTTAATATACACAATTAACTTAATGAACGGAGCTTTTGTATTTATAGAGTATGATAGTTTTAGTTTCTCAATTATGTAAATAGTGTATGATTCGAGGATATAAATAGTGTATCGCTTGAATCATGGATAAATTTTTATTAAGTTTTTAAATCTCAAGATGTATAGAAACTTCTGTTAAATCCAGTTCAAAAATATGTTTAATTAATATATATATTTGCATTTGATTTTATGTAAAAAAGAGATATTGGAACATACAGTTCAAAAAAAAAAACTAAATAATATTTTTTAACAATATTATCTGTACAAATTTTGAAAATTCAGCAAAGCCAGAACAAAATTATTTTTTAAATTATAATTTTAAAAAATATAATAATAATGCTTTAAAAAAATCAAAATAATATTAACTATAATATTGAAATTTGTACCTTAAATTTTCTCAGCAATATTTTATAATACTCGTTTAAGGACAAATAAATTATTTTACATCTAGTAATTACTATAATTCATTGTAAATACAAAATTTTTTATTTATACAATATAAGCACAAATATTAATATACTAAAAGTTATATAGTTTTGTAATTTAATTTATTCTTATAATTAAATACATTATTTTCTCTTTGTTTATTATGCATATTATTAAGAATTTTTATTTAATATATATATATATTTATTATACATAGTTTTATACAATTTTATATACATAGTTTATATATTTTAGGAAAAAAATCAAAGAAAGAAAGAAACTAGAAAAACTGACTCGTTTAGGGGCAGACCAATTAACATCTCCAAGTTTTTTAAAGCTCACCTTATAAGACTTTTGTACTTATCAAAAATAATAAATTCTATAAATTCTATTCTATTCTATTCTATAATAAATTCTATAAATTCTATTCTATTCTATAGAATTTATTATTTTTGATCGCTGTAGATATCACATATAAAGTTCGCCCTAAAATTCTTGGTTTGATTTACCTACTAGGAAATCAATGCCAATATGTGACTATATGTGACTATAATGTCATGACTGCACATAATTTTACTAGATTTATGAGCTCTTTGACCCAACTAGAAAAAAATATGCATGAATAAGAGAGTAATCTGTCCATAAAGTCTATTTATGTGTCTAATCACTTCTACAAAAAAACATAAGAGAGCAATGGACAGTTTGATCCATAAACGTAGGCTGTGTGTATATCGGGATATTGACCATTAAGCCATAGAAGAAAATGAAAGTATTCGCAGTATTCGTAAAATTGGTATCAAAATTACGAAAGGCCACATAAAAGAACTGCACAAACCGCTACATATTATAAACAGACAATTAGACGAATAAAGGTTAGAAAAACTATAGGTAGATGGTTGGCGAAACTTAAGTAGTTGCAAAATCGTCGGCGTCATGTACCTATAAACGCATAAATAATAAAAATTAAACCAGATCTTTTTTGTTGTTCGACCGGGAACCAAGAAAAATAAAATATACTAGTTTTCAGAAGCTCCCTGATGTTGTGATGAACTCTCTCGTTAAATTCGCACACATCTAAAGCAATGAGCACAGGCAATGACAGTGTTTAGATACTCTCATTTGATATTGCTACAAAGCTAACAGGTTTATGCGTGGTCTCGGTCAGCTAGCATTACCACCTACTTATCCAAAAACAGGTTTTGAAATATGAGTATTAAATGGTACGAGTTGTAAAAATTAGGAACGCTTGAAGGAAACATTTCATAAAGTATTTAAGTATATATGTAGGTATCCTGGGTAAGAATAGGTATGTTAAGGTCAGTGGCGAAGACAAAATAGTGGGGAGATGCCGAATGTGTATCAAGTAAATAAGTTAAACAATTTGTAGATTAAATAAAATTAAATTAAAATTATTATAATTATTAAATTGAAATTTGTGAATTAAAAAAATATATTATTATACGTAGTAATAATAGTGTTAATGGAATATAGTGCTAGTAAATTATATTTCTCTAAAACTACATGGGGCTGCATGTCGCTATCAGAACTATTTTATGTGAGACAAAATAGGTTGTGCAATATTCAGTTATTAATAAGAAAAATAAAATTTTGAATTTATTTACCGACCTGTTTTTTTATAATGGTTTTTATGTCCTCAATGTATTCATAATTAATCATGAAAATAATAATTAAAATATTGCAAATTGTTGTAATTTTCTTCGCAGATTGTGATTGTGATGATGACTCAAGGAGAGTCAAAATATAGAATATATTCAAAAATAATAAACAAACGTTGACCTATAGCTGGATAAAAAAAAATATATATATATGTGTATATAAAAATATTTTTATAATAAGGATATTAAAAAAGTTTTTGTGATGTATTTTTTTACTCGACTATATATATATATAGAGGTAAATATTTAGGCGATTTATAGTAGTGCTTGTCTTCTATTATTTTTGTTGTAATGGTTGTGTATGCGTGATTTAAATGAATATCAAAATTTTTTAAAAAATACATGTATTATATTTTAGTTTAATTATGTTAATTAAAAACTATGTATACAATACATGTATAGAAAAATAAAAAAATTAAAAAAAATAATACAAAAAATGTATGAATGAATGTAATCATTCAGAAGTATCTTATTTTAAGATATAGTAACTGCTAACACCGAATAAATAGATTTAGGATTTGTTATTAAAAAGATTTGTGCATGCAAATTTGTTGTCTGTCCGTCCATTTCTATAGTAAGACCCAAGACCTTTTTTCCAGTGTATACAATATTCTTATCATATACATACATATGTATCCATTTTATAAAGCTCAATAATATACTAAATGGAACTCGGTATTCGGTAAAATGGTAAACAACGTGTAGACCCGCGGAGATTGCTACGGTAGGGTACGGTACGGCAAGCAATAGCGTTGCACAATTCTGTGATAGCGATATACACAATGGTACGGTACACACATTGATGCTGTATGGTACACTGTGTTAGATTCAAATTTATGTAATGCGTCTACACTGGTAAAATTTTTATGTTTAAATGCAAATATATATTATTATTTTCAAACTTTGTTTGCATATGCAAAATGCTTGCCAAATATATTCTGGTTAGTGTAGACGCAGGGTAAACATAGCGAAATAAAAAAGTGTGATTAATATATTAAGATTATTTCCGAACTTGAATAGTGCGCTCGATAATCGAATAACATGATAAGTAACACTATAAGGTCTCAATAACAAAATGCATGTACTTGGAATGTATTTTGTTATTGATGTTTTGCACTGCTACTGTCTTGTTTGTTACAAGAGATCGTGAGTACCTCTATTATTTTATTGTCATGTTTTTACTCACAGTGTTACTCACTGATTTGGTTTTTTTTATTTGTATTAATAAGGATCAGTTGCAATTTTATCTAATAATGAGAAATAGTGAAAAATCAGATGCTTAGAAAACCGGCAAAGCGGTATGGTTGATTTATATATGTACATATGTATTGTATAAACAAAGATTTATAAGGAAAATCAATTGTATATGATACAGCTATACCTTTTTCAGCATGCTTTAAGGGATATTAAAATTATTCCTAAAGGTTTATATCAGTGCCTAAAAATAAGAACATAATACGGCGTTTACATCTAAAAATACTAATCTCGTTGTTTAATCTCAGATTGCCCATACAAAAGTTAATCTGCTTTTGGTCGAGATTAATTTTAAATCTCCTTCGCAATGCTGATTATATATCTATGCAACTCTGCAAATGTCTTCATATCGTAGATTTTTTTACGATCTAGTAGAATTTAAGGAGAAATGTCAAAATCTATTCAAAACAGACATTGAAATTTTGAAAATTCCAGAGTGAAATTAAATTTGTTTCATAATAGCTTTATACATAAATATAAATAAAATTTGTTAAATTTTTGTTATTATTATGTTAAAGCTATTTTGTACTAGAGCACTTTTACTCACTGATAATTGAGAGGTTTCTTCGTAACCCCTCTCTACGCCTTGCAATAAATGCTTTATTTACAGAATCGCCGATTGTTAGAGCCGGAATACATATCCCAAATATGGTTTTAAAATTAAATCCTAAAATTGGACTCTGGAGATCTCTCTGGACTCTGAGGAATCCAATTTTCTCATATCTCTCCTATAACGCATTTGTACAATTATTAAATATGCAAAAATTATTACCTAAAACACTATTTCCACTCATTTTTTATTACTAATTGCTATTGAAACTTTTAACAAACACACGAAACAAAACACACCAAGAGAAACGTCAAAATTAATCTCCAATATATAATTTAAAATGCAGATTAACTTAATTTCGTTCTCTTAATCTCACAATGTAAACGTAGTATAAACGTAAGGTATTTTACAGTGCAACTCTGCAAACGTCTTAATATCGTAGATTTCTTTACGATATTAAAATTACAAAATAAATCTCACAATGTAAAATTAGTATGACAATAACTACCAAACTGTAAAAATTCTCATTATTTTAAATACAAATTGCGGTTTTTGTTATACGGCATTTACACTGGTCTCAAATGGTTCATTTTGATCACAAATCGAAAATGAGAAGCGAATGGCTCATTCTTGCATACAAAATTTCAAGCGCGAATGCGATCCATTTCATCACATTCTGTATGAATGCGTCCCAACGACTTTCGAATGCGTTCCAAATATGTGTCAAATGCCTATGAATACATTGAATTTACCCTAAATAAAAGCTTTTCATGGCATTTTGACAGTTTGAGAAAGCTGTTTTTAAAATATTTACAAAAAAAGGTAAACAAATGTTTGGTGGTTGCATTTCCTTGAAAACGACACGATGCACCTTTTTTTTGGAATTTTTACTTCCCAAAAATAAATTAATCAAAGCTAAAAACAATTTTTCAGTTTATATTGTAAGGTTTGAAGATATATAACCTTCATCCAAAATTTTTTTGGCACAGGCCAAAAATCAAATTAAGAAATGAGAACAAATAAATTACAACGAATGTAAACACTATGGCCCTATGCTCCACTGGGAGATAAGGATAAGAGAAAACACTTTCAAATGACAGTGTAAATGCCATATAACATTGCACTTTCAAAATAAATAAATTTGTCAGTCTATACAGCACTTAACTGAACAGTCCTTCTGTTATGTTAAACATATCATTAAAATCTACGATATTGCTTTTAAACGTAATAAACGTCAAAAAAATCAACCATGTGCGGCAACATCCAACCTGTCACAATTAGCATAGTTCGCTACATTTTGATATCCACAAATCGCGTATTCAGTGAAAGAATTGTGGTCGGCTTTAGTTTTACAAAAAGTTAACAATTATTAATGAAAATTATAGCAATAGTAATCTTTCGATAATAAATTATTTATTTATTTTTATAATAACACAAAGTGCAACAAATACACTGCAAACAACTTCAGTATAAGCATATTAAAGCGAAACGTCCCTAGCTCTCGACAACGTCGTTCACCACATTACATATCGTGTGTCATTCGTGTCATCAACTAAAAAAAGATTGAAGAATTTTGCCGCTAAAAGAAGAAAACTTAAATTGTATATTTAACATAATTAATATATATATAAAATGATTTTGCTAGAAATCTATAATCGTATCCTGGAAGAAACGCTTCTAGTGAAATTTCGCAATGCCTTAGCTGGGTAAGTCGTACATTTGTCGGTGTATTTTTCCCCACTTATATGCAAGCATTATATATTTCTAACGTTCATAAAGCATTAAAAATTAGCTTAAGTGCTGCTTATCAGTTAATTTTTTGATATCACTCTTGTATATAATTCCACCTGCTCCACCCTATTCACTTCATTTAAAACTAATGTATATATTTAATCGAAATTCGGGTGTTGTCATTGTATGAGTTAATTTTGATTTTATGAATTTAATATCGGCATGCATTGAAATGTACTCTAGTCATCACCTCCTGTAACGCACCCTCTACTCCTCGTACTAAAGATGCACTTTATTCTTGAAAGCATAAAATATTTTAAACTATTCATTTATGTTTTTCTTATATTTTACTTCCAATTTAATAATTAGCTAAATTTTATTGAACACTGAAGGTTTTTGGCATTTATGCACATTAATCACATATTTTTTTTTCATTGGTATTTATGAGAAGTTGACTCATTCCATCTATGGTTGGTGCAACTTGTTTTTGTTGTTTGTTGTTGTTCTTTTTTAATAATTTATTTTTGTAAATTTGTATATAAATTTGTTATTTTAAGTTATTTATTTATTATGTAGTATGGTTTGTATTTGTTAAGTATTTGTATAATATATATTATAACAATGTTATGTTTTATTAATAAGTTGCTTTTTTTATAGTAGCAGATGTTTTTCAGATTAATACAAGACTTAATCTGTGAAGTGGAATTATGTCATGGAATTATGCTTTCATTCAAATTCAAATAAATTCTCACTAACGCAAGTAGCTCTAATGATAAATTGATCATTGAATTCTAACACAAGTCCGTTCAAATCGGTTTGCATATGGTCTTTAAGAACTATAAGTATTAACAAATCATAAACCTAATGGATACTCATTGTAGAATCCTATTTGCCTGTAATGGACCACGTCTTGCTTGCTCTCACTCAAGAACCAATAGTAAAGTTCAAATTCTATTAGCACAGAGCTATTTTTAACAGTACTTTGACTGTACTGTTTTAAAAAGAAAAATAATCTAGCCGTTATCATGAATACCGGGACTTATATGTAAAGGAAATTGTACTTTTCTACTATATTCATATAACAATGAATAATTTTTTTAAAAAACTAATCAACAACAATCCTAATGAAGGAAGACCAAAGTAAAATATAAATACTCAAGAAAAACATATACAAAATTCAAGTACAAATCTCAAAGTAATGAAGATACACTATTAAATAGTCCAGAAAAACATATTGAACAGTTTCAAGTACAAGTCTGGAAAAAATGTCACGAACTTACTTCCATATGTAAAACTCTTTTAATTGGACACTTATCCTTAGTCAACTTTTGGTTGCTCAAGAGTGTTGGCCGACCAAAAATTGTTGATTTCAAGAACGACCGGTTTTACATCCCGGAGTCATTCATAAATTTCGACGATCAAGTATGCCGTTGACTATTTCCTACAAAGCGACCATTAAAGCAAATCCTTACGGGCCACAACAACAAAATGAACTAAAAATTGTTAATTTGTTCCATTTCATTTCAATAGGGCCATTCAGTTAACGGAGGTGCCTATTAGAAGAGTTTTACTGTATTGTTATATAGTATAGAAAAACATATATAATAGTTTCAAGTACTATTATGTGAAAATAACGTATTGAACTCACTTCAATAATTTGTGAAACGAATATAACTCTGTTAAATATATTCAAGAAAAAACAAGAAACTGTTAAAAAAATTAAATACATTTGTCATATATCATCAGAATCTATTATAAGTATAAAATTTTGATTAAAATAATGAATTTTTAATATAATAAAGTAATAGTTTTTGCTGTTGTTGAAACTCTTACGATAAACCAATTGGTACTATTGTTGGTATAGCACGCGGGAATCTCTAAAGCAGGCAGCATGAAAGGAATTACAAGCCAAATACGTGGTTTATACTGTGGATGGAATTGAGCTTCTATTAAGTGAAGAGTTATATGGGGATTGAGCTTCTATTAAGTGAAGAGTATGTAGCACTTGGTCCTCTATACAAACAAGTTCCTGCGGGATGTGCTGTGCCCTAGGGTACTCTTAAAATCTAAATAGTAAAATTGTTTATATTAATTAGCTTTCGGTTTAAGTTGTTATGGCGGAATATGTTACTTAGTTGCAGAATTAGCATTATGATCTCGATATTGATTGAGTCTAAGTATTAGGTTGTAAGGAAAAGAAGCTTTAAAGAAACTCTTTCGAGTTTTTTTCGGCTCTTACAATACCGAAATTATTTTTTAAGTTTGAAAATAGACTGCTACATTTTATGCTACTAATAAGTGTGCATATCCGAATGCATTTTCGATCGCATTATCTGAATCTGTTTATTGTATTTATTATAATTGAAATCAATCACTTTATAATGTTGACTCATGTATATCATATTATTCATTTACGGTAACAGTTGGTAGTTCCAATTAAATTTCTAATGAATTGCACTGTACTCATATATAGATATTATCTGTCTCTAATTTCTATTTCTTTGAATTTTGTAATAATCTTGCATTGTAATTATCTTAAGTTGTAATTATCTTACATAGTTAAGAAATATGGATGACTATTAATCATTGCAATAGATATGTTCATTTTGGTTTTAGATCTTTTATGTCTGTTTTAAAAGCATTTGTGTTATGTTGTAGTTGTTGCTCCAGCTATTTTTATTTCTGTAGAAACTTGTGTTAAAGAGCCAATTAACATTTATTTGTTTAAAAATAAAAATTTAAAACTTATTGCTTACTTCTTCCGATTTTTTACATAAATGTTAGTACAAACTTTACTAACCACTATGTTCATCTAGTAAACCGAAAATATAAAGTTGATTTATTTATATCCGCATTTCCCCTATTAACCTCAAAATAATATATATATTTTAGATTGTCTTTTAAGAGATTAGAAGAGCTTATGAGACAAAAGTAATAAAAGTAAAAAAATAAAAAGGAAATTTTTTCAATGTTGTCTTAAGGCAATAAGGTTAAGTGGGATAGACTTGATAGAATAACTGTTTCTAATCTTCTTTTTTGTTCCGTTAACTCCCAGTGGAGTACAGGGCCTCAACAATTCCTCTGAACCGTATTCTATTTGGAGCTGCCGTGGAGCTAGTTTGGCATCAATTGTCCTTCGCCATGTCCTTGAAGAAGCGTCAGGCCGGCGACTGCCTGCGGGTTCCACTTTAGGGCTTGCTTAGCGATGCAGAAATTTGACTTGCGTAACGTATGTCCGATCCACTGCCATTTTTGTTTTTTGATTTCACTCTCGGCGCTTTGTATCTGCCCTATTTCCCACAATTTCGCTTTAGAGATGCGTTTTGGCCACCATATTTTGAAAGTGCGACATTTGTTTATGAAAACTTTGGTATGCGAATTGATAGATCTAGTAAACTTCCATGATTCGCACCCATGCAGAAGTACGGATACGCTTAGTTGATTTCACCATGTATTCTGATCTAAAAATAACACATTGCTCTTATTACTGATTGATTTTTTTAGATGAAAAGATAGGTAGCCTAATGAGCGAGTCTTTGAGTACACAAACTTTTCGATTGATTCCCAATTAATACCACATACTTTCTTGGATAGATGCTAGTTTTAGAATTTTGGATTAACAAGTTAAAATTATTTATAATCACATTATTCTGTGCAACAAGAATCCATATATCATATTAGATAGAATTATCTATTATCTAGAATTTTACTTTTCCACCAAAGACTGCTATATTAATTGGTTCGTTGAATTTTGCTTTCTTTTAATTGTTGTCTTGACTAGTTACAGACTAAAGCTATTTTATTAAATTATATCTATATTATTATTTTTTTTATATCAAAAAAAAAAAAAACAAAAAAAAATAATTTAAATAACTTTGTCTAAAAAAAGAAAAGTATTTTTTTATTATCGAAAGTTATCATTGTTTATATAAAATATTTATCAGTTTCTATAAGTCGATAAGATATGTGGCTATGGTCAATTTTTCAATTTTTTATTTGTTTAATTGAATTGCCTTGCTTCTGAGTTAGTCACACATAGTCAGTTTTAAATTTTTATACTCAATTATTCACATGTTTCAAATCTGGGTTGGGTTGAGTTGCGATTTTACTACGCTTTGTTTACCCTTCTAAGTTGACAAAGATTTTGTAGAGTTCTAAAATTTAAATATTTTTTAGATAAGCATTTCTTGTTTAGATAAGAAATTCATATTACGAAATTTAAATAAAAAATCAAGAAATAAGAAATAAGAAAAAAAATAGTATGACATTTGTTTGTTGGGAATCGAAATTTTGGGTGGTTATATGAACTACAAAAAATAAACATTCTTCGACTTAAGTAGTTGTATTTAGTATTAGATAAAAACAAGGAAACAAATTAGGTTTTCTTCTTTATTAAAATTTATATAATTTACTATAACATATAGATTTGGCCACAAATTTTCTAATCATGACCATTTTGGTGAATTTTTTATATTCTGTTAGGTGTGCTTATCCCTTCAGAAACATCAGTGTTGATTTTCCTAGCAGCCTTCCTTCCGATTTTGTTTAGCACTCACTTTTCGGTGTATCTGAGTTAAATATTTTGGATATATGTTCAAGTCACTTTAAGTGATGAAATATTACTTCAACTAGAAGTAAAATGTCTTCTGGTAAATAAGTCTACTTCTGTTATGTACCGGTCCAAATACAAGCTCTGATATTTCTCCATTTATTTCGCTGATTAGTAATTCCACAATATGTCAGTTGGTTAAATCGTTCATATAATCTTCGAACTTATTTCCTTAAAGTGTGCCTAAGAAAGATTATTAATAAATAAAAAGTTTTCTTATGTTATAATTATAATGTAATTTAATTAATTAGTAAATTTTATTTTATTGTAGATAAACGTACCCACTTCTCTTGCCTCTGTAAATTCTCCATAAATTCTGCAATCCTTGCTACCACTTTGTGTATTCGTTTTAGGAGGGACAAATGGTATCTAGTACGTTAGATCGGGAATATATTAAATAACTGTAGTCAATTAAATAAAAGTTTTGCAAGCATCTTAAAATACTACTTTATTTTAAAAGACTATATATGAGGAATGTTAATTAGATGATGATTATATATGCTTACCTTACAAATGGAAATCCAGACGGCATATCCATAAAAGTGATCACTTCGATTTTGCCGGCCAGTATTTTTATATGATGAACATATTGACAATAACCTCAGGAGGTACTATTAGGAAAATCTCTTTATTTTAAATCTAACACTTGCTAACTATTATTTAATATTCTTATTGATTTAAAAGATTCAAATAAATGAGACGCGTCATTTTAATTGTATTGATATTGATATTGATAGTTAATAAGTTCCAGAAGTGACCAAAACTACGCCACGGTCCATTTTTTTTTTTGTGTCGAGTCTGGAGAAATATCGTCTAAAGATACAAATGGCACTTACAATTTGCATGCCCGATTCCTGCATGAGTCATGCATGCCTTTGGACTAATAAAAAGTCCTAGATATCCCTGTAGTTAGACCAGGGAGTTAGAGGTATTCTTTCACAGGACAGGTAAGCAGAGCACCTGCGTCTTAACACCTGCGTCTTCTCAAATGCGTTCATTAACGGAGTAATCATGCGTTATTATTCGAACGCATGATTGCTGCCAAGCGGGACATCATCTTGTTTGTCTGGAAAAGTCCCGTTTGGCTTTCGTAGCTCTCAATTCCACTGAAGCATGCCTTTTGACTTTTACTTGGGCTATTAAGTGAACCATACGTGGAACATAAACCTCGTTTTATTATATGTTTATATAATTTTGTAGTATTAATTATTATTTAATTATAATTTTCATAATTTTCATTAATTATAATTAAGCTGTTTCATATATATTTAATTTAATTAGTCTAAGTTTTTATTTATAAATTTAGTAGAATTGAAAATAAATAATATACCTTACTTATTATATATTTTTTTAATTTACTAATATTAATTATTTGATTAATTAACAAAGCCTGCAAATTACTATATCAATTTCATACTCATACTTAACTAAGAAATTAATATTCTTGTATATTGAAAGTTGGAGTAGTGCTTTAAACTTCTTTGTAAAGTAATTATTTGCATTGTTGTAGTATAATGTGAAGTCCAAAGACTTTATTTTCGGGAACTGTTTTTTTTTTGTACTGTTTTTTTAATTTTTCAAATTGTAAAGTGTTTTGTTCTTTTTTAAAGTTTAATTTTGTAATAACATTATCATTAACAACTCATTTGCACATTGAATTCAATTAATTGCTTCTCTCAAACTCAATTTAACTTCATTCCTTTTCATAAAAATTGTACATGAAAATTGCTAATCTTAGAAAAAAAAAATATGTTGAAGACTTAAAGTAAGTTTCTTTCAAATTAGTTTAAAGCCGGAATCAATTGATGTAAGAATTGCAGATTTTGATGGTGTTTTATTTCACATATCAAATGTTAACGGCGATAAAACTAAAGTTAGAGTAAGTGAAACTTTTTATTTGTGTCCACTAATTTGTCTGTATTAAACATAATTAATAATAATTACCATTTCAGGTCAGCATTTCGTTAAAATTTTATAAACAGCTGCAAGAACATGGTGCCGATGAACTTTTAAAGCGAGAATATGGCAATTTGCTGACAGATCCTGAGGATGGTAAATATATGCACATTCTTATATACGTATATCATTTAATATTAATCCAGAATCAGATATCTGGTGTTTGTAGTTCAATAATATAAAAAATCCTTTGGATGGTGTATAGATGATCGATATCCGAAACAGCTGCATTGTTTATTAATATTTATGTCTTATGTATACTGAAGATGGATGGTCTATGAAGTTGTCTGAAATATTAGTATTAAAATATTTTTGTTAAAATATAAACAAATATTTCAGAGATGTTCCAAGTGTACTACAGCAACAGAAATTTTTTTTATATTATTTTAATTAACTGAATTTATGGTTAACCATACAGCTGTTTCGAGTATTGTCAAATACCCATCATCACTGGTCTTGAAAATATTTCTTGTATTTAATTATTCCTAAATAAATTTTGGACTACTTTATTCCTATAACTTTTCTTTTCCATTTCTTTTTTTTACCTTTTGAGTATTTTAACATTTTCATTTATATAATATATAATATTTTCAGTATGCTATTCTTATATCTACATATATACATATTGTAGTAGTATAAGTATTGTAGATGTATGATAGTATATAAGTATTGTAGTCATAAGATAGAATTAAGCATACACATGTAAACTAAGGTAGAATTAAGAGAAAGAATAATAAAAGAGACAGTTGCGTGACGACCGTCGAACAAAGTAGATGTTGGTTGTTTCTACTAAAATTCAGAAGTGGGATCAAGTAAAAAAAAAAAAAGTTTTTTTTTAAAGCCCGTGTGTAATAAAATATATATATATAAAATTTTTATATAAAACTGTGAAGAATGGATGGCATAGCTGACGTTTTATGTTTTGATGATCTAACAGTGGAGGAGCTAAAAAATTGGCTGACAAAATTGAAGTTGCAAGTAAGTGGAAACAAAACGCAGTCGATTGCGCGTTTAACAAAAGTGCCACAGCATATTCGCAGTGAGTGTGCGCCGATGAGTATAAAAAAAATAGTGACGCCAGAATGTGATGAAGCAGTTGAGCAGTCTGTTGTACAAAATTGTGAAATTATGAGTAACGAGCGAAATCAAATTGTAAGGGAGGAAGTGAATAACAAAGAAACAGAGGGAGCAAAAATGCAAAGAGAAACTACTATTAGAGAAGAAGAAATAAAAAAAATGCAACTCATGCAAAAAGAAATTGAGTTGCTTAAGAAAGAGCGTGATCTGTTTGAAAAAGAGAATGAATTGACAAAGAAAATGACTCAATTACAATTAAACACTTCGAGTTTAAGCGAATGTGAACATTCAGTACAAAGAAAAGAAGTACCGCTCATAATATTAAAAGAATTTTTACCGGAATGCGATGGTAACAATTTTAATGTTTGGGTTACGCAACTTGAAGCGTTAGAAAAAGCTTACGAATTAGAAGACAGTGTAGTTCGAACACTTATTATAACGAAAGCAAAAGGTAGAGTACAAAATTGGCTCCACTCTACACCAAATGTTCTTACACAAAGCAGTAAAATATTGATCGAACAAATGATTTCCGTATTTGGCTCAAAAGAGAGTATTGTTCAATTGCGTCGCAAATTTGAAACACGTTTGTGGTTTGAATGCCGTTTGGTTTGAAAAACGCGCCTTCGACGTTTCAAAGATTTATAAACAAAATTTTTGCTGATATGATTAAAAACAATAAAGTGATAATATATCTTGACGACATTATGATCGCAACAGAAAGTGTAGAAGAACATTTAGCCACTTTAGAGGAAGTCTTTAAGAGACTAGTAAAAAATAATTTGGAGTTAAGACTAGACAAATGTGAATTTTTATACAGAAGCGTTAAATATTTAGGGTATAGGATAACCGGTGAAGGCATACAAGCAGATGACGAAGGGTTGGTGGCTGTTAACAATTTTCCGTTGCCAAAAAATGCTCACGAGCTACAAAGTTTTCTGGGGTTATGTTCTTATTTTCGTAGATTTATAAAAAATTTTTCAATGATAGCCAAACCTTTGTATGATCTTACCAGAAAAGAAAAACGGTTTAGTATGGGTAGCGAGGAGTTAGCATCATTTGAAACACTGAAAGGAAAATTAGTAGAATCACCGATCCTTGCCTTATTTGATCCGAATGATAAGACAGAGTTACATACTGACGCGAGTAGTATTGGGTTTGGAGCTGTATTAATGCAGAAAAAAAAAGATGACAAATGGCATCCAGTATTCTTTTTCTCCAAGAGAACTACAGATACGGAGTCAAAATACCATAGCTTTGAGCTAGAAACACTAGCCATAATTTATGCGTTAGAAAGATTTCGGGTGTACTTTCTCACACTTCAAAAAAAAGAGTTGAATCCAAGAATAGCCAGATGGGCATTGGAATTACAGAATTATGACTATGAGGTACAACATAGGTCAGGAAAGAACATGCAACACGTAGATGCGCTAAGTAGAAGCACAAATATATTAGTAGTAGAGGGAAATTCGTTCGAACAGGATTTAGTAGTATGTCAGAACAGGGACAGTAAGTTAAAAGCTCTTAAGGTGCAGTTGGAAAAGGCAGAAAGTAAAACATATGAAATGCGTAATGGTATAGTTTATAGAAAAAATAATAACAACAACCTATTATTCTGTGTCCCTGAAATAATGGAATCAAACGTATTACACAAATATCATGATGAAATGGGTCATGTAGGGGTTGACAAAACGGTAGAAATAATTTCCAAAACTAATTGGTTTCCAAACATGAAGAAAAAAGTAGACGTTCATATAAAAAATTGTTTAAAGTGTATTGCTTTTTCAGATAAAAGTGGTAGACATGAAGGTTTTTTACACAATATTCCGAAAGGAATAAGTCCTTTTGACGTTGTTCATATCGATCATTTTGGACCGATTGAAGGAAAGAAGTGTTCTATGAAACACTTGTTAGTTGTTGTTGATGCGTGTACTAAATTTGTCAGGCTTTATCCAACAAAAACGACAAAGTCAAGGGAGGCGGTGCAAGCATTATGCGATTACTTTAGAGCTTATAGCAGACCCAGGTGTATTATTTCAGATAGAGGGTCATGTTTTACGTCTGGTGAATTCGAGTCATTTTTAAATGCTAATAACGTTCAACACATAAAAATAGCCACCGCATCTCCGCAAGCTAACAGCCAAGTAGAACGTGTTAACAGAAATCTAAAACCTATGATAGCTAAGTTAGTAAGTGCGCAGTCAGAACAAAGCTGGGACAAAGTTGTAGAAACAGTTGAATATGCCCTGAACAATACAGTTCATAGAATGATCGGTGAACATCCGAGCGTTATGTTATTTGGAGTAAATCAAAAAGGGAAAGTTATAGATAGCCTTAAAGAGAACGTAGTAGATATTGAACAAAACGCACCAGAAAGGAATTTAGAGCAGCTACGACTCGTTGCAGAAGAAAAACAACAAAAAGCTCAAAAATATAATGAAAAAATTGTGAATATGAAGCGTAGAGAAGGGACAATATATAAGATAGGTGATTATGTTATGATAAGAAATTATGATACTCATGTCGGAGTTTCAAAAAAACTAATACCTAAATTCAAAGGCCCTTATAAAATCACAAAATTACTTGGGAACGATAGGTTTGTGATAGAAGATGTAGAAGGGTTTCAACATTCTAAAGCGGTGTATAAAGGTATTTGGGCAGCTTCAAATATGAAACCGTGGTTTGGAAAATGTATGGTGTCAGATGACAGAGAGAAAAATGTTAATAATAATGAAAGCACTAGAATGTTAAGGTCTAAAAGTAGAAATCAAGAATCAGGAGATCCTTGAGGTCAGGACGGCCGAGTTGTAGTAGTATAAGTATTGTAGATGTATGATAGTATATAAGTATTGTAGTCATAAGATAGAATTAAGCATACACATGTAAACTAAGGTAGAATTAAGAGAAAGAATAATAAAAGAGACAGTTGCGTGACGACCGTCGAACAAAGTAGATGTTGGTTGTTTCTACTAAAATATATACATATATACGTGTAGGTAAATAAGTGATTTTTGTTTTTTCTTTCAGGCTATAACGTTTCTGTACTTATTAATCTAGAGGATATACCAGAAGACTGGGAAACAATTGCAAAGAAAATTGGTCTATTGAAGCGTAATTGCTTTGCTTCGGTTTTTGAAAAATATTTTGATTTTCAAGAACAAGGGGAAGATGGTCAAAAACGTGCGGTCATTAATTATCGAAATGATGAGACGCTGTAAGCTATATGATTAAGTTACTATATCAGTTTTATAGAATTATTTATTTGTAGTTATGTTGAGGCGAAATCAGATCGTGTTACCGTAGTTTTTAGCACCATATTTCGTGATGAAGACGACGTTGTTATTGGCAAAGTATTTATGCAAGAATTAAGAGAAGGTCGACGAGCATCTCATACTGCGCCACAAGTGCTTTTTTCACATCGTGAACCACCTTTAGAATTGGCTAATACCGATGCAAAGGTGGGCGATAATATTGGTTATGTTACTTTCGGTAAGTTGGTTATTATTAAAAACAGATTGAATTGTTAGATTTAGTTATTAGTTAAACTATGTAGTATTTGAAATGAAATTTCTAGTATCTGTTATATAGATGTTATATTAATTTGAATGTAAAGTCTATTGAAGTTAGTCATCATTATAATTAGCTCGAAAAATAGAAAATAGATCCCTAGATATAGGGATTTAAAATTCCATTTGGAGCGATGCATTGCAATCGTTAAATCTTTTATATTGGAAGCGAGAGCTTTCAGATGGAATTTTTCTCTTGGTTCACAGCAAAGTTAAAGTGTTTGCTATAATGTGATTAGATGTATCATTCTCTCCCTGTTATAGACTACATTTTATTATTTCGGTCATTTTGTTAAGATAATCCCCATATTGTTTTTCTGAGAGGGGAAATCATTTATATTGAATCAGATATAAATTCAGTGTACAAATTGTCCGGCATTCATAGTTTGAATTAAGCAAATATTTTTTCGTTTGTATAAATATGATTTCCCTAAAAATTGGTAAGGAGATTCGTAAACATATATTCTGTGTAAAAAGTTTTTAATTTTAAATTTAAGTAATTTCTTTCAAAACTATTCAGTCATAAGAACTATGAGTTCTTATTAAAAAACTTTCTAAAAGCAGATAACATAATAGATATTACAAGATGAATACATGAGTTAGGATGTGAATTAATGATGGCTGATGGTAAGGATGAGGGGAATAAAGGAAAAGGGGTAGATTAGGAATGAATCGAATTTAAATTGAAATGAACCCAGGTCCAGACGGAGAAACCTTGTTCATTGTAGTTGATAAGTTGTTCCAAGTTTTAGATCCGGTCGTTCTTGGAACTAAAGTTTTTAGATAGAAGTTTATTATTAAAGTTAATGGAGTTAAAAGTGGGATAGTTCTGCACTCTAAAGTTTTGTCTCTCACATACTCCTAAAGAAAATATTTTATATAGAAGTTCACGTTTTTAAATTATTATTTAAGAACACTAACTATATTTAATATAAATAATATAATTGTTTTGTTAAAGTTTTAGTGGAGTTAAAAGTGGGATAGATCCATAAAATCAGGTTTTGTCTCTCACATACTCCTAAAGCAAAGTTTTTATATATAGAAGTTCACGTTTTTAAATTATTATTTAAGAACACTGCCTATATTTAATATAAATAATATAATTGTTTTGTTAAAGTTTTAGTGGAGTTAAAAGTGGGATAGATCCATAAAATTAGGTTTTGTCTCTCACATACTCCTAAAGAAAATATTTTATATAGAAGTTCACGTTTTTAAATTATTATTTAAGAACACTAACTATATTTAATATAAATAATATAATTGTTTTGTTAAAGTTTTAGTGGAGTTAAAAGTGGGATAGATCCATAAAATTAGGTTTTGTCTCTCACATACTCCTAAAGAAAATATTTTATATAGAAGTTCACGTTTTTAAATTATTATTTAAGAACACTAACTATATTTAATATAAATAATATAATTGTTTTGTTAAAGTTTTAGTGGAGTTAAAAGTGGGATAGATCCATAAAATTAGGTTTTGTCTCTCCATACTCCTAAAGAAAGTTTTTTATATAGAAGTTCACGTTTTTAAATTATTATTTAAGAACACTAACTATATTTAATATAAATAATATAATTTTTTTATTAAAGTTTCAGTGGAGTTAAAAGTGGGATAGATCCATAAAATTAGGTTTTGTCTCTCACATACTCCTAAAGCAAAGTTTTTATATATAGAAGTTCACGTTTTTAAATTATTATTTAAGAACACTAACTATATTTAATATAAATAATATAATTATTTTATTAAAGTTTTAGTGGAGTTAAAAGTGGGATAGATCCATAAAATTAGGTTTTGTCTCTCACATACTCCTAAAGCAAAGTTTTTATATATAGAAGTTCACGTTTTTAAATTATTATTTAAGAACACTAACTATATTTAATATAAATAATATAATTATTTTATTAAAGTTTTAGTGGAGTTAAAAGTGGGATAGATCCATAAAATTAGGTTTTGTCTCTCACATACTCCTAAAGCAAAGTTTTTATATATAGAAGTTCACGTTTTTAAATTATTATTTAAGAACACTAACTATATTTAATATAAATAATATAATTGGTTTACTAAAGTTTTATATGTGTTAAAAGTGGGATGATTCCATGCCCTTAGGTTTTGTCTCTAATATACTCCTAAAAAAAAGTTTTTAAATTGAAGTTTATGTTTTGAATTTGTTATTCAACAACGCTAACTATATTTATTATTAATAATATATTTGTTTGATTAAAATTGGACTGAAGTTTGAAATATTATCTGATTTGTAATCGGCCATTGCCTAATAGAAAGGAGGGGTGGTTTATTTTTTAAAAAATGCTATGTCGAGAATTCCAAAGAACTATCTGAAGCCGATAGCGGAAGCTTCATAAAATTTTCAAAGAAAATTTATTAATTATGTTATATAAAAATCATGTCAGTGGCGTAGCGAGAGTAAAATGGGTCCACAGCATCCGGTCAGTGTCAATGTCCGGATAGCAGAAGGGTGTCAAATAGTTTGAAAGACGACTGTATATTATATTGATATATTTACTATGTATTATATTGATATATATACTATATATTATATTGATACATATACTGTATATTATAGTGATATATATACCGTATATTATATTGATATATATATATTGTATATTATATTGATAAATATATACTGTATATTGTTTTGATATATGAATATTTTTTGAGGGGCACTAAGAGGCAATGGTGCCCTAGGCGCCAGTTATGCCTGCGTTGCCATTGAATGCATGTGCGAATTATTTTCTTATACATATATAATATGTATTTATATATAGTAAAACATATTTGTTAATTTGATTTTCAATTTTTTTTTTGTTTTTGCAGTACTGTTTCCACGGCATACAAATAAGGAAACGCGTGATAACACAATCAATTTAATTCACATGTTTCGAGATTATTTGCATTACCACATTAAGGTAAATTATTTAATTTTTATAAATTTCTTTAAAAATTTTTTAATATATTTTATTTTATTATTTTTAGTGTTCAAAAGCATACATTCATTCAAGAATGCGTGCAAAAACCTCAGATTTCCTAAAAGTATTGAATCGTGCAAGGCCCGAACCGAAAAATACTGAAAAGAAAACTATAACGTATGTTTTTATTTTATTTTATTTATTTGGAAATATGAAATAAATTGAATTTTTTTATTTTTACAGGGGGAGAACATTTATACGCAAAGAATGATTTGTAGACAATGTCTAGTGTGTTTGTTTTATTATTATTAATATTATTATTATTATATATATGTTTTTTTGTAATTGTGTATGAAATAATTGAATTTAATTTTAAAGTCGATAAAATTGCAACTAATATAACTGATAACATAACAAAAAATGCGATATATATTTAAGTATGATGTAAAAGAAGACTAAAAACAAGGTACTCTAAACGTTGTAAATGTAATTCCATTATTACATCAAAGTATTTACGATATTTAACCACAATCATAGCTGATGAGTCATCATTATCCAGAAGATATACTAGCAACAAAGAAATTTAAAATAATAATAAACTTAAGAGAAAAAGAACAAAAAATGTAAGATAACTAAAATTATATTAAAAAAATTGAAGTACGCAAATAATAATACTGAAGTTTACACTAGATCAAACGTTTTTAGCAGTTAATATTTAAGTGCCGAAATTCTGTTAAAAGCAGTAATACATTTTAATCACAAACTTTAAATAATAAATTAGAATAAATACTGAATTAAAATGTTTAAGTTTTAAAATGCTTTATTTAAATAGTAAACAAATTAAAACTGTTAAATAGATTCTAGTGTGAACGCTACATAAGTCCCATAGACTTTTATGTCGTTTTTTTATATCGTCAGAAAGTGTTTTAATAAACAAATAAACAAATAAACAAATAAAAAATAAAATTAAATGAAAAAATGCTGCCCTACATATTTGATATAAAATTCCTAATAAATTAATGCAATAACGAAACAGAATTTTATTGAGTTTTATTTACATTTATTTCGTTATTTATTTACAAATATTGCGTGTCATCGCAATAAATTATACATTATGATTAATATTATATACTAATATTTTCCCCAGAAAAAGAAAACAAAAAATACCTCGAAATTTCTGCGACATTTATATAGGAACTAATTACATAAAATCAGAGACCTAACATTTTAACAGATAAGCATTTTTTGGTTATTAAAAAAATTCAATTAACTTAAATTATCATATTTCAAAAATAAAGAGGTTTCTCGAACAGTAGTGAACTACAACAACAAAAACTAATTTTATATTATTTTAATTAATTGAATTTTAGCTGTTTTGAATATTGCCAAATACCCATCATCAGTGGTCTTGGAAATATTTTTTTTATTAAAAAAAATTGAAAAATAGTTAAAAATTATTAAAAAATAAAATATTGTTGTTGTGATACATTTCTATTCAAAAATCTTTCTACAAAAAAAGTTATATAATTTCATTTGTCACAATTTACTTAAAAAAAATTAAATTTAAATATAAATATTTATTAATAATAGTTATATAACGATTAAAGAATTTTTTCGTCTTCAGAAATAATTATCAATTAATAAAAATTATTTTATACCCTCAACAATTATCCTCAATAAATATTTTTTATTTATATTTTATTATAATAATTCTTTTAATTTACTTAAAACAATAATTCTGAAGAAATATTTTTAATTGTCCTTACGGGATTAACAATATTCGATCAATATTATTCTGTACAATAACCATTGATTAATAATAGTACATAATGACAAAAACCTGAAAATACGATCTGAGTCAGTAATTATGCTGTCAGCTAATTAGCGATTAATTACTTTTTTTACGTTTATTTGTTATTATTTAATTTGTGTTATTAATTATATTATTACATTTTATTTTTAATATACAAAATAGTAAACTAGATACCATTTTTATAATATCACATCGCGTATCATATAAATTTCATCTTTAGATTTCAATTTTATTTTAATTTACTATAGAAAATAGATATAATTTGTTTTATTCAATAACTACATTTTTTTACAAATATTAAGTTTTATATATAAAATTAAATAAACAAAGAAAAATAAATTGTTATAAATAACTTTGCGAAGATTGAAATTGTTAAGATCGTATAATAATAATCTCTTAAAGATTAATAAAAATATTTGTTGGTAATTATTGCTATGAAAATATTAAAAACATTTTGATCGTATAATAATAATCTCGAGAGATTGAAAATATTTTGATCGCAAAATAATAATATCGGAAAGAATTGTTATGATAAGATTGAGAAACATTTAACCGTATATAAATAATTTTACACAAATGAACTATTATGAAGAGTTTGAAATGTTTTCGTCTTAAAAAAATCATTTAAGATGAACAAAAAATAATTATTTCAATTACAAATTACCATAGACAAAAAAAAATATATGAATTGCTAAAAGTTTGTTATTTAAAAAAAAAATGTAATACATTTGGGTCTCTGTATTATTTTTAATATACAGATTTCTTTGATCTATTTTTTAGGATTCTGTATAAAATATTTAAGAATAAAAAGCGGTTTTTTATTTAAAAGTTCACAAAAGGCCTTAAACAAGAAGCAATTTATCGATAAGAATTGAAATCAAAACAATAAAATCCATAACTATCAATAAATAATACTGTTAGAATAAATAAAAAAAAAATAATTTTAATATATAATATTTTGTAATGTTAACTTTACGTGATTGCTTCAATTTAAATTTACATAAGATTTGTTTAATTATATATACAACACGTACGAATCGAAGTGATACTTTGAACGAGTCACTTCGAGGCATACATGCGACCGCTCCTGTAACCATGGGTACGTCATTGTCTAGTACAGCTAACATTAAACTTGTTTACAATATCCTTAGAGGCTTTCGATGTCTGAATATTTATATCACTCATTTTGGTTAGATTAGCTAATTTCGGAGATTCTAGAAATCTATATAGGTTTGTGGACAATTGTGTATAACTATTTCAAACATTTCGTAAATAATATACTAACCTAACCACCTACTAACTAAGATTTTTTAGAAACTAAGTCTCTAGCAAATTTAGTCTATGTTCCATATGCGTCAAGCAGTGAGAAAGTTATATAGCCCACTTTGATTGTGTTCCTCACAGCGCGGGAAAAATTATTGAGAGAAATATTTAATATACTCGCTTGGTTTACTAAACAATACTAATCCACTACCATTTTCAAAATAAGACATGTCTTTATAGAGCTTCTTAATGGGATCGCTAGATTCTTCTTAAGAACAACTTGCTTATATGTATTGTAGCTGTTCCATACAAGAAGGCGCTGATCACAGTATACATATTGCTACTGGTACATTTTTTTCTTATTAGTGTATGTATATGCATACACAGGCCATATGCTCCACGAGGAGAAGAGGACTACAGTAAGTAAGTAAGTAATATACACACACATATATAAACATACAATTTACCAGGGTTTATAAGTAACAATGGTTAGTATTTAATAGATTTATTTTCTACTTCAAAGGTCAAGTATTGTCAATTATGGAAACACGTTGTAAGAATGTTTCTAATATTAAGAAAGTTTTATACAAAAAATTAATCAAAAAAACTATTCAAATTTTAAGATGGTGTCTCTTTAAAAAAAAACCATATCTTCTAAATCTATTGAAATATAATAGAACACATAATATTTTGATGGTGCATCACTTTTTGAGTAAATTGGATATGAATGAGATATGGAGAATTTTGTGATTTTACGATGATTTTTTGAATAGATGTTTGTTTGAAATCCTTTAACGCATAACGCATATTGAAAATCGTTTTTTTCTTCTCTTCTAACAAGATTTTTTTTGTGATACTAAACACTTCTCATATTTATGTAGTCCTTATGATGACATCTTCTATATTATATAGTGTTGCCCAAACATTTATCATTATTGCGAAAAGTAATTCCTTGATCTAAGAAAGGAAAATAAATCATCGTAAAAAAGACAGCTCTGTTTTCGTTAATGTTTGCCAAGACATGAGATTTAAAAAATAAGTTTACTGAAAACAGATCACTTATAAAATTAGTAAAATCTGAAAAAAGTTCTTTTAAGCACATTAATTCGTATATTATTTGAAATCGTTTCCTTTGAAATATAATATGCTCCTGTACTTACAAAGATCGGTTCAGAAATGATGATGTTTTGAAGTTGATTTTATTAGAAAATTGTACTAAAAAATGGTGGGACAGTGGAAGAATATTATTTATCTAAAAAAAATAAGAAACAAATCTAAGAATCATAATGGGCGTGGCGGGATTTTGTACCACAAATTCTCATTGACTAATGCACTGATAAGGTGTGTTGATGTTGAACAACAAAATAACATTTTTTTTGTTGTTTAGAAGATTTTTATTCTATATAATCATATATATTATTATTATTATATGATATTAAGTCTAAATTAAATATTTTTTTTATAGTTATTAATAATTTCAATGTATTTAATTTTATTATAATAATTTTTTTTTTGCCAAAAGTGACGCCTCTTATGCCAAAAAAAAACTATTTAAAATTTTGAAGGGTTCGAATAGAAATAAAAATACAACAAAAATTTTAGTTATTTTATTTATATTTGGCTAAGCATCAACGCTGTTTCGAGTATTCATCGTCAGTGATCTTACGAAATATTCTATCTTTATTTAATTTTATTTTAGGGTAGGTTTACCAGATGAAGTCCATAAGGAACTATTTTTAAGATATAAGATCAAGCATATTGTCATGAATTACCAGGTAAGTTCTTTTAGTACTTCCATAAATTACTTCTGAATCAGTCCATATCATTGCGCAAAGTGTACGAATTCACTGCCAGACCAGAAATCTATTAATTTCTATTTTTTTACTACAACTAATTTTGATATAATTTAATGAGATATTTATTATTTGGCAGGAAAGTGATAAATGTTTCATTAAATTATAAAATTTTTTGAATTTATTCATCGCCCTGTTTTTTTTTAATGGTTTATATATATTTTTTTATTTTTTTATCAAATAATTCAATGTCTAATATTTTTTATTCGTACTATGCTATATTTCGTTTGTTCTTGAGAGTCATCATCAGTATTACGATCTTACATAAATTAATATTACTAAAAACTATATCTATGTCATCGTCTATATGCATTGCTTTATTAATAAAAATATTTTATTTTTAATATCAAAAAGAAACTAAAATAAAAAATTTACGGTTTGTAATTCGTTTGAAAAAAATTTTTATTAATTATTTTAAACTTGATTTATATTATTTTTAAATTTAACGCTTGCTGCTTGATCCTTTGTAAGGGTTTCCAGGCTATTTTGTACCGATAGGAAATCCGTTTGAATTCTTAAAATTGCTGAAAGAAGATAAAATAGTTGAAATATTTTTTATTATAAAAAAAATAAATATTTACTATTTATTTGCTATTGCATTAGCTTAAATAAAAAATTAAAAAATATATGTATGTGCAACACTTAAACTAGAAAGGGGATTATACGTATATTATCGTATACTTACCAACTTCAATAAATAATTGTCTCCATACTGATAAAGTAATTTTGATTTAATTTGCAACTCATTTAAGGATCATCAAATTCATCCAATTTAATATAAGCAAGTGCTGTGATTTAAAGTATTTTTTTATATAGGAAGTAAAAATAGTTCATATTAGAAAAGCCAATAAATAGAAAAAACATAAACAAAAAAAAAAAAATTAATAAATAAATAAATAGTCAAAATTAAAATAATTTACTAATAGAAGCATGTTGTCATGCAAATTACTTACTTAGTCAGAAACTTTTTTAATAAAATAATTGATCCATATATAATAGTTGCTACAGAAAATAATGTATCCTTTCATAGGTACATTTGTAAGTACTGTCAATAGTAAACTCTACGATCAATTTTGCAATATATATAATTACATTTTCTGGTTAAAATTGTATTTTATGTAATCTATAGTACTGAAATATTTCAGAAATATTTGAGAAAATGATAATAATCCCGAACCTCTCTGTGGACTTACTAAAAGTCACTCGAATGAAGTTATTGGAATATGCAGGAAAAGAAATTTGCAATTAAACTATTTGACATAACCAATTATGTTTTAATTACATTGATATTAGTAAACCAGTAAGTTGATTTAATGAATTGAATTATATATTCAAACCCTACTTTGAAAACTTTGAATAAACACTTGAAGGAATATGCAAGATAATTATCTTTTGAATTAATCATGAATAATGGTACAGCAAGAGTTAAGCTTTCCTGATAATGGACGATGATGAAGTCTTTGTAGTATCAATTGTAATCGTAAAAATCAAATTTCATTGGAATTGATTGAAACAATCAAGGATATTTTATTGTATATTCAAAGCGCGCTCAGACTATGGAAGCTATAGGTTAAATCGTTTTAACCATGTAATCTTGTGGAAATTGCGAAGAAGTATTTGATTTTATTTCATGACAATTAGGATAAGTCTTGTACTAAAGACTAAATACGATCCGGTATAATGGAAAAATCATATAAATCGGTGTAGAAGTACAATAAGTGTGGATTGTCCAGTCATACTGATATGATGAATCATAATGACTAACAGATGTTGACTTTTTTTAAAATGAAATTATGAAAAATCTTAATATTATTGCAATTGTTGTGAAGATTATCTGAAGAAAAAATAGCTACAATTGATTAAGAGATATATATCCTGATTATATGCTCTGTAGCAGTCAACGCGACTACTACTCGTTTCTAAACTCAAAAAAGTGGCTTGGAGAAAAAGTATTCAAGAAATTTTAAGAAACTAAAAGAAATTTATTTGATTAGAATTTAGAGTGACAAAAAACGACTAACGAGAAAATGCTTTCCTAAAGTTTAGGACCTTACAAATTTTTTTTTGTAAGGAATTAAAAATTCAACAAACTTTGACAAATACATGCTCAGAATCTACAGATGGCATAAGAAAAAAATGGAGAGGATGAATTTACAGGCAAAACAGTGAAAGTCTTGAAAAGAAATAGACCAAAAATTTTCTGAAAATCATTAAACATACATGTATTATTTATTATTTATATTTTTGAAAGTATGTAATTTTAAGTACTGAAAACATAAACATAGTCTGATATTAATGTACAAAATATTAGAAAATCAGGTAAATATGGTAAATATTTTATATTCCTATAATATTTTATATTTCCTTTTGTAATTAAAGAAGGAGTACTAAAATTTTTTTTTCATGGGTACTGAGAGACTTATGTCGGCTCAATCAGTAATAGATAATTACTTGAATGAGAAAGAGAAGCGACGACAATCATGAAAACGGTAAGTTCAAGACGCAACGCGGAGCATACTAAAGTCAATAGTAATAGTAGATAGGTAGTATAAAGTGTGACAATCCAGGTCAGGTGGTGCGGTGGTGTTGATGGTACTGATGACAATATATGAAAATATGGCTCCGATTTTCGTGTTTTGGCACTAACACTATGTGGAGCGATGCTGGTGCTGAGAAAGTAGGGACGAACATTTTCGTTTAATATATGTATTTGGGTTTTTTATAATAGTAGCTAATAAAAATTAAATTGTCTCTTATTTTTATTTACTATATGTTTGAACTATATAGTACATTGCAATAAAACATCAGTAATTACTTGAATGATTTATTCAAAAATATTTGAATATTTTAACTTTTCGGTCAAAACTTGAGCTAATACGATATATTTATAAAATTTAATGTTAAATTTATTTAATTACGACATTATATGTTGTACATAAACCATATGGCGAATTTTAGTTGAAGCAATTTTATTTGTAATACTGAATGTGTGCGTAAATTATTATATCCTCTTAAGACGTATGTAACATACATAGTAAATAATTTTTGAAGAATTGGTTTTTTTCTCATACATAGATACAGGAACTATCCATTAAAAATATATCTATTTAAAACAAAAAAAATAAAAATAAAAAAATACAGAAAACTGTGTGGTGAAATATTCGCGAGAATATATACATTAAAACCTCATATCGGATCTAAGCATAGTAATGAGACCTATATGTGCAATTTTTTAACAAAACAATTTACACGAGTATAGCGTTAAAAATGTAGCATTTCAAAAAAAAATAATATCATATGAATAACGTTTGTGAATCAAGGTTAATATCTACACCCACTTAATCATCATCAGCACCCATATCATAATCCATTCCGTCAGCAGCCACTCCATATTCATCAGTACCCATATTTGTACACACTGAGTGAGCAGTCAATTCAAAATCATATGCATCCACGTCGTCTTCACAGACTTCATCACAGACTTCATCACAGCACAGATCAAAATCGTTAGTATTAGCAGCCACAGAAATGAAAGATGTGAAGTATGTAAGATGATTATACCAATTTAAAAAGGGCTTACTCATAAGTAAATTTCAATCAAATATGTAGATAACAATGAAGTGATATTAAACCTGAAATCTAGTTTTAGTGATAGAATTGAATTTAATATTTTTACCATAAGAGTAAGGATAAAAATAATTCCATTAAATTTAGGTAAATGCACTCGTACATCAAAGTGGTTAACGGGTTTCTCACAATCTATCAAAATTAGTAACATACTTAAGATGCTATTTTCCTTTACTTCTAGGAAAATATGTTTCCGTCTATCAGGCGAAACTTATGGTGGTTACACATGCTCTGGGTCACCTATTAGATTGTCAGGTGTATTAGAAAAAGATTCTGATAGCGCTAGACAATCAAGCAGTCATAAAAAGCATGCAAAAGACGTACATAGTCAACAGCTTAGTACAAGAATATGTCACGAAGCTCATGGAATGAGCTCCAGTCATATACTGGAGTTGTGCTTACTTTAAGGGTTATGTAACCTTTGACATCTTTAGACGTAAATGTTGGTAACAGAAAATCTATTTGAAGTTATAAAGAAAATAACCTATGAAGTGGAATATAAAACTTTTATGAAAACTATGTTTAAGAAAAAGCTTTGTCCGGAAGTAATGCAACCCTGCAATAACGAGTAAGTCTTTGAAATCATTGATAGTATATGCAAACTTCAAGCTTATCAGTAAATCCCCACATTCTCAAAAACAGCCGAAAGTTTTTGTTTTACAACAAATTCTTAATGATCTTAGACTATTATATATCATAGCTAAAAGCTCAAGAGAGTTTAAATTGATAACAGTGTTAATAAACGCTAGAAAAGATAGCGATCTATACTAACGAGTCTAAGATGAACAAAGGCATTGAAGTTGGAGTCTTTTCCAAGGACCACTTTGATTCCACCTCAATATTCCAGGCAGATATCTTCGCCATCCTTAGAGCATGTGCTCTTACTTTAAACATGCAATTTCACAAAAAGGAAGTCTATATTCTTACTGACAGTCAGGCAGCTATTTAAGCTTTATCAATGGTTTGTATTTCAACTCTATTATTTTGCAGAAGCAAATTAGAGATATCTAGGTTAATATCTGTCTTTACAGGGCACTGGACCATAGGACAACGTGGAACCGACTCTTGAAAAAAAGAAGAACAGAAGAGTTTTTGTTTGGGTCCCCTTAGTTTTTTGGGGGCCCCCTTTTCTAACACACTCAGCTATATCTTCAATATTAGCACTACTTACTATTACGAGGAATTGTGAATTCAAAACGGCTTAATTAGCTAACTGAAGAGGATTCGTTCCTTCCTCCACTTTAACTGACTAAACAATAGTGTTAATAGCCGTAAAGGCCAGTGAATAACATATAATCTGTAAAAAGGTGAAGTGATTTCAGGTTAGATCTGCTGAATAGATATTCATGGTGGTAAACTATAAATGAAAATATTTGATTCTTAATTTAATGTAATACAGACGCTCTCAGAGAAAACTAGCTTTTTTTTGCAATCATTAATATTAAGTAAAAGCGGTCTTAATGAATGAATGATTTCTATGATTTTTTTAAATATTAACTGAAAGCGTGTAATAGGCGGTCTCATAGAAGACCAATGTAATCTCAATAATCTGTGTTATTTTAATTGTTTATAAGCTATTTTGTAGTATATATTGGTAGTATGAAAGAATATATAGTAAAAAAATATATATAATATTAAAAAATTGTTAAGTTTTATAGATCTAAACTACTTGTTACTCATAGATGTCGAATATTCTTGATTTCGAATATTTCAGTATCTATGTATCCTAGTATTCTCTGAAAGTGTGTAGAAGGGGGAACTGAAAGTGTGTAATAGGTGGTCTCATAGAAGACCGATCTCAGTAATCTGTGTTATTTTAATTGTTTATAAGCAATTTTATTGTAACATATGTACTGGTAGTATGAAAGAATATATAGTAAAAAACACATAGGTATATAATAGTTATAATAGTTTTAACATATAGTTCTAAACTACTTGTTACTCGTAGATGTTGAATATTCTTGATTTTGAATGTTTTATATTTATGTATCCTACTAATCTCTTTGAAGGGGGTTAAATTGTGAATAGATTTGGTGGTGTATATTCTAATTATTATTTAAAAGATTTTATTTTTAATCAATGCATTTGTTCCTTTAATATTTTTATACTATATTCTTATATGTTGGTCAATATTAGTATAGCTCGATAGTATCTGTTGTTTTGAATAATTTTATTATTTTCCTAATTGTAATTTTTTGTGAATTTTATGTTCCTGCTTAAGCAGAAATATTTGCTACATTAATCATTGGAAGATATGGGCTTGGCACCTTTCTAATTTATTTAGCCACTTACTTTGTTGAGTTTCGTTGTCCTTTTTATGCGACATAACGACATAAAGAAATTGTGTTATAGTGAAAAGCCTTTAGAAAGTTAAAGAAGTTAAAGAATGTTAAAGAAAAAGAATAGCGAAAAGGATATTTAAAGTAAGGACACCGAACAGTTTAGGATTCATGCATAATATTTTCCAGAAAAATTTTCAAACATTCTCAATGGTTTTTTGTTTTTTTTGAAAAATATTTTAAAAATAATATTTGTTTCGCTTTTTACCTTTATGCAAGTCCATATCATCCATTTCAGAGTTTTTGATTTGTTGCAGTTTTTCGCGAAATTTTTTTGTTATCTGTTTCCTTTGGTAATCGGCCTCAATTTCCTGTTTGGTTCTCGGAATGCGGAAACGGAGGCAGCAGCATACCATAACTACTGCTTATGATTACAAAAAAATTAATTTAAATTAATTAATTAATTCAAAATAAAAACTCATCAATAGATCTTTATACCTATGCACATGAGTATGCCTATGCAAGATGCGATTATGTGCCAAACTCGAAAACCTCCAAATGTAACAGTTTCAAGCCAGGCTGGCGACTCTTCGGAATTTTCTCCAACAGTTTCGTTCGCTGCCATTATAGTAATTTCTTATAATATTTTTGTAAAAATAATTTATCATAAATTTTGTTAAACTGCTTTAAATTAATAGTTTATATATCACAATTGTTGAAGAACTCCGATCGAAAAATAAACATAATTACTGCACTCTCTCTTTTGAACGGTGAATGAACACTAAATCTAAACACTTTTTACGATTTCAATAACCTGACCGAGCGCGAAAATGTTTAGTATTTGTTATTTATATACAGGGTGGCTTAACTTATAATAAAAAAAAACAAAAAAAATATTATGAAAAAATAACAGCCATAGCAGACATAAAGACGATCCTTATAGAAGAGTCTTCTTATACTTATACTATACTTCTTATACTGAATAAAAAAAAATTTGGCAAATTTGTTGTTGTTGTTGTGGTTTGAGTTACTTTTACTCTTTTGTGGCTGGGGGCTTTTCCCTGCCCCAGACTAAACTTTAACTATACTAGAATCATTATCATTTATTTATCTTCTAACTGATGACGGACCATCATTCCCTTTTTATTATTCCCTTTTTGTTTTCTAGATGATAGATTTATAAAATAGCAAAGATCGAAATGTAGGGCATTGAACGACAGAACACAAAGTTATATTTTTACAGCAATCCCAGGCATGGGAGAGGAAAACCATTTCGCAAAAGACAGATAAAAAGAGAGAATTATAATAAGCAGAGAATATGCGTCACTAACTGACAGTGTATTGACAGCGTAAATAATGATATACGGATAATAAAGGTCCCTAATTGGAAATAATAAGTAAAAAATTGACAATAAACTGGAATACTAGAGTTTGACAAACTTACCTCTTTCAAGAACTGTTATGAACAAAAAATAAAAGATGAAAGATTAGCTGATAGTTAATAAATTATTAAAATTATTTAATTATTTCATTGGGATTAAGAGTTTGTAAAAGAGTATGATATACTTTATGAAGACAATGAAACCATCCAGCATTTTAGTAACTAGTTGTATAGAAATTATTGTACTCCTAAAACAATTTGACGTATCAAGTATCAAGAGGAATTTGCGGACTGAACCCCATTGATAACATAATCTGCTTATAATATACTGTAAAAACACTCTTAGAAGTATATTCTTTTCCCTCAGCATAATCCTGACTATGAAAACAGGTATATATTTTTCGCATAATATTGTATAATTATTACTTTGCTTTTTTTATAATAATTACTTTATGTGATATAAATCTCAAAAATCAGAAGACATAAGTTTTTTCATTGATGAAATTCTTTTCGGCGGTTTTCGAGATCGTTCTTTAGGAGAAATTTGCTGTTTCGACTGCTCTTTTAATATCTGAGTATAGTTGTTAAAAATCGATTTCAATTTCTACAGGTAAAAATCGATATAGAAAGACATGGAAAGACTTCTTTAAGTGGACAAAGTTTACTCTTCAATTGCTTTTCATGCACGATGGTGTATTCATGTTTTGTCCACAGTTATAAAAAAGTGCAGCAACTACATATTTTGTAGTTGGTTGGCTTGCTACCACATTCCTCTCAAGAACCCTTAGTATAAAAGAGTAGACACTTAATCCATCTCATCGAATTTATATAATTTAATAGGTCTCTCGTTTTCACCAATGAATAGTCTGATAGACTGTCAAAGAGGTATCTTCTTAAAAACCTATTTCTTTTGGACATCAAAACCGGGCATTCGCAGAGAATATTTTGTAATAGAATGAAATATTTGCAAACAGTGCTTGTCTACTTTAAAGGGTACATTAGCAATCCCACGCACTTTCTTTTTGTGATCTTCTATCAATAGGCTTTCGTTATTATCGACCATATTTGAAGTTGAAGTTGAGTAAATCGTCTTTAAATCATTCTATATATTTGTGGAGAGTTTTCATATTGCTTCTCAAGATATCTTTTTGTTGAAAATATTGTTTTTGTTTTTTAAATTTATGCTTAATTACCATTCGAAATATATATATGCAATATATATAATATTCTCTATTATTGCTGAGCAATTTATACTAGTGCTATGAATATAAAAGATATTTCCATATCAGAGATTCTTTTCAATTTTAACAAGAGCTTCAGACTTACAACCAATTTACAACAAAAAAAAAATTTGCTGTATATTATATATATAAAATAATAGTACTTTTTTAAAAAAGTTATTAACGATTTATCAGACAATCTTTCGTGAATATAATATAAATAGTTACAATTAAAACTGGTTTACTCAGTTCTAGCAAACAATATCGGTATTCATGATCTAGAGTACGAAGCTCGGTAATCGAGCAAGTTGGTGATTTTGTAAAGGACCAATAACAAAATACATGTATATCCTATAATATTATTTGTTGTTGTTGCTTTACACTGTTACTATTTTATTCGGTTATTGAGTTCGTTACACGCGGTCGTGAATACCCTAATGTATAAATTTCGTATACTTTCGTAATCATGGGTAACTTCATGATTTATTTATATAATCATTAGTTTATGTAAAGTATGAACAAAAAAATAAAATCAATCCAGGTAACATTTACTGCAAAGTGTTTTATTAAATAATACCTAATTACTGCCTGGATAGTAAAGTAACCTGGAGAACAAATGTTACGCGATAATAAGCTGCTAATATACAAAACTGTACTAAAACTTATATGGAGTTATGGTGTACCAATTATGGGGTACTGCAACAGGCTCAAACCAGGCAATTATCCAGCCATTTCAATCTAAAACAATACGCTTGACCACAAATGTACCTTGGTATAAACAACTACGTGCTGCGACAATCAAAAAAGAAATATCCCGAATTATAAAAAACTACGTGCATCGCATATATATGCACCCAAACCCGCTGGTTACATACCTGATGTCCCCTTTAAACACTTCTACAAGACTGAGAAGGAGAACTTCGAGAAACGTCTTTGATATGTATATGTAGATCAAACGTGTTTATTTTAAGTATATATAAGTATAATGGGGATAATCCAAACGCGCTATAATCCATTTCGTAGCTCTTAGTAAATATAACTTATTGTCATTCATATTTGGCAGATTGTAATAAAATAAATGGATCTAAAAAATGGATGTATATATTTTATTATATATAAAAATTTTCTTAGTTCTCATTTAGTAACCCTGTATACGAGGTAGAGGGAGTTCGAAAAATAAAATTAATAAGAATAATATGAAACGAAAAAGAAACATTGACACTAAGGAGTGCCATCAAACGATAAAAAAATATTTTCCAACATATTAAAGCCAACAAATCGCCTCAACAATTGCAGGAAGAAGCATCCTTTGCTAATGACTTTGTCCGTGTGGTGGTGTGTGTCCGCATTTATTGTAGGTGCTTTCGCGCCTTTTTTTACCATACACCCCACTGCTAGATATGTCCGCATATTTAAGTCTAACATGTTACATACATTGGACTATGTATGTTTGTGTGTAGCAGACGGGACGTCTTCACAATCGTGAACTTTACCAACAAATGACACTCCCTGCTGTTGATTTTTATTTGCTATTTGATGGTCTACTTTTTTATTATGCACAGTTCAGTTCTAGTCGCACTAATTCGCACTTAAGAGCAATAGAGTCAATACTGAGATATGTACTAAATTGGTACTTCTTTAATTAGACTATAAATACTACTTACGATATTAATTAGTTTTTTTGCTTCATTAACTATTATCATTGACTTGTTGAGCCCATCAAATAAATTTTCAAAAAAAAATTGTTCATTTTTTTCCTTGTTTAAAGGTACTTCGCGTCTGATCATCCTGCCATGAAAAATGTAACGCATTTTCCTAGTTGTCCTGACCTGGTTTTTATACTGATATATGCTGTATATTTTGTCATGATTTAATTTGTAACTTTGCATGAATTAACTAAGTAAAATTTGTTTCATAATTTCGTAAGTGAAAAAAATTCATAACTTAAATTTCATCTCATACATGCAAAGTGGTAGATACATTATACATTTAGGTATATAACGAGTCCTGTAAGTGGTGTGTGATAAATTTTAGTAGTCCATTTGGTTTAAAGGATTTCTGCTGCTTTCTTTGGTTAAATTTTATTTTGTTTGTATTTGTTGTCAAAACTTTGGAAGGCAAGTAGGTTTATTCATTGTGCAGATACATTAAAATGTATCTATATTATTTTTCTAGCTTTTAAGTGTGGAATGTGCAAGTGAAATAGTTTTAAGTAGGAGATTCCAATTATTCAGTGTCACATGTTTATTTTGCTGCTATCACTTCTATTTTTACATGACTAAAACTAAAACTAATTTTCTCATCCTTCCAACGCCAACTTTTGTGAGCTTTTAACGGTCCGTATAGAATAGAATCGTTGACGCAACACAAACAACAAAGCAAAAGTTTAACAGAAACTAAACAATTGGACTATTGGGAAAATTTAAAATTGTACGAAGTAAAAAAATCTTTCCGATCGAAAGAAAGTTTCAGAAAATCATCTCCGCTAGTAGGGACACATACATACGGACAAAAGGCTACAGCACCATGTGGTTAGACAAGCCTTGCAGTGAAAGAAGATAAAGGGAGAGTGGATAAGTGAAAATCTGGAAAAAACCATTAAAATTGTTATGAGCGAAGGGACAATTTAGGACCGAGCGGATTATAAAAAATTCACAAGGATATTCCAACAGAAATTGAGTAAGGCTAGAAGACAAAAAGAGAAGAAGATATAATTTTGTTGATTGCTTGGTTGCTGCTAGTTATCAGTTAGTTCATCAGTTTTTGTGGTGAGATCTACTCTATGTATTATAGTTTAGAAAACTCTAAAATTCGTTAATATTAATAACCGAAACCTTTTCAAGATTATTAAATAGCGGTTTACCTAAAGGAGCTGCTCTTTGCTTGCATATAGCAATTCATTGATATTAAATATTGTGAATATTGTTATCATTCTGAATGTCCACTTTTTAATAGGAGAGATTCCTACTTTGCATATATCGCACTAAGTTTACTTTGTTGAAGTTCTAAGATTTTCTCTCGTAC